GTGATATTGAATCCTTAATTGTTGATTCTCCTGAAGTTGCCTTCAATTACTACATCTCTCTTCTTCTCTGCCTCAAGGACACGCTTGTAAAACTCGTTGTTTTTCTCACTCATTCTCTCACCATCGATCACCACATTGCGAGGAACTCCCTTTGCTGCATTGTGCACGACATGCTTCTCATCAACGAGGCGGCATATCTTGGGTCTCAAACTCAAGAACTACATGATGCGATGCCCGTTGTGTTTGTCTTTCAAAATGCATCCAAACAACTTCTTGTTGAAGTTGAGGAACGATTCCAATGAAGGGAACTTGCTCTTGTCAACTTCATGCTCATAGTACTTCACGAGTTGTCCATAGAAGTAGCTCGTGTTATTCAATTCCGAGAAGTCGAATGACTTGTACATGTCGCACATCTTGTGAACGATGTTAGAGCGATCGTGCAACTGTACGATGAGCGAATCCATGTCCTGCCCCAACAGCTCCACGTTATCAAATGTGTTCTTGAGCACATTGTAGTAGAAATCGTAGATGATGTGCTTGGACATATCCAGAATGGCGAACCCGATGAAGAACGGCTTCAACACCTTGCGCACCGGTGTATTCAACTTGATGCCGATAATATTCTCGGAATACATGGTTGTCCCGGCAATCATGTCATATCCATGCTTCTGAATGATTGACTCGCGTTCATTCCATGTGGTGGGGAACTTCACTTGCATTCATTTCAATCCAATCTCCACGAGCTTGCTATATGTTGAGTTTGCCAATAACTAGTATAGGTTCTTCTTCACAGTAGTGATGAATTTGGCTCGTTTCTCATTCAACATGTTCACATACTCGAATATGAATGGAGCGTGTCTGAAGGGAGTGTATGTGTTAAACCCTATGAACGAAATCAACCAAAGTAAATTGAATCAATGTCGATCATATTCAGCAGCAATGGAAACATTTACACGTTCAAGAAGCTCGATAACATACTCATCAATATGCCAGAGAACGATGGCAAACATGTCCTCGTGCATGAGACAGTGGATGGCGTTCATCAATATTCATGGACGATACCTTCTGGTTGTTTTGTGAAAGTCAATAATGTCACACTGTTTGAACATACACACACACACACTCAACCATTCAATAATCAATGCCAATTTGAATTATCTTCTGCTTTATATCTCATAATCACATCGATTCCATGTTACAATGAGAATGATGCCCTATTCAAACATTGTGATTCCATCGAATCGGTTGTGGATAAGGGATACAAGGTGAGTATTTCAATGGATGGTTTGTCATTGCTCGATGTACCATTCATCGATACACTCAACAATCTTGTGACCCTTTCCCATACCAAACTGATAAATGGAATAGAATGGGCAAGTAAGAGTCATACGATCTCTGCATTCACGAATATCCCTTCTCTTGTATGTCTGAGAGGTGTGAAGAGCATCACGATCGTTTTTGAACACTTAGGCGAGGTTGTTGTTTCTTCTTCATCTGGGTGCTTGTAATGGATCGATGTGATGTTGCTGCCTCTCTCAATGCATTGGGTTCCTTATCACTCTTGGATCGAGTGATGGGTGGTTCTGGTTGTGGTTTACATTTGCTAGCCAGCAGTTCCCAATCATAGCACTTCTGTGTGCGATTGTTTCCATTCTTCACTTCGTACATCAATGGCATGATGTGATCGTCAATGTCAACAACCTCAACCAAGTCCTGAGACCATTTGCTCGTCAATGATCGCTTTTCCAGAATGTGAGGTCTTCGTGTCACTCCAACATAATCACCCACCTTGAATTGAGGTGTTGTGTCCTTTATTGTCATGTTGGATGGTTCTGTTTTATCCATGTACAAGATATCGTTGTTGTAGTTAAGCCAAATGTCATTGGGTGTATATCCGATGTCTCTGTTCTTCCTTCCATTGTGTCGACGAACTGCACCATCGATCAAATCGAACCATACACCTTTCCATTGATTGAATGGAATGAAGGAACCATGATGTGTTCCTTGATATCTCGAATTACTCGTTCGGCTAGTACTGCTTTATTCGCTGAATCCATGTGATACATGATGATGTCATACTTGTTCAAGATGTTGGTACGAAAGATGGCATTGGTGAACTCGGTACCTCGATCCGAGCATATATGCTTTGGTGATTCACCATATGTCTGAATGATATCCTTCATCGCATGCGTGACTTCTGTAGCACTCTTGCTCTTCAGTTTCCGAGTCATCAGGTATTTCGAATATCCATCAATACATACAAGGACATACTTGTATCCATGATTCTTGTAGAATCCAGTGCTCTTTTGTCTTCTCAATACTTTCTGTATCGATTTGTGTTGTTTGAAAGAGAAATCGATAAGATCGATGAAGTATATGTTTCATTTGAATCCACTGATGATCATTCGAGTTGCACCTCTTCGTTTTGCTGGTTTCCATAGTTCCTTGATCTCATTCATGTTCCCCACACACCTCGATAAATGAATCGCTTTATTCAAGGAATGAATAAGTTGTGTCAGAAGAAAAATCACAAACTGGTTATAGACTCGAAATACATTTTCTCCACTATACACTATTTCAAATAGAGCATCACTCGCATTCAACATTGCAATGATCGTTTCGATATCATATGTACCTCATGGAATCGATATTACACTTTCATCTGTTCTATTTCCATTGATCACAACTACTTGATCAGATGGTACATTATGGAATGTGAAATTGGTATAGAATGATACAAATGATATGTAACACTTATCGAATGATCGAGGATTATCCAGTTGTATCTCTTTCTTGTTCTATTGTTTCCAAATACTTCAATCATACTGAATTGGTTGGTCGATGGAACTGGAGTATGCAATTGATCACACACATCTTCAATAGTCAATTGGAATTCGAATTCACCATTCAAATGTATGATATTACCATCCATATCCTTCAACACATACATCAATCGATCAAATCGGTGAATCATCGGTATTCATATTTCTTTTACAGTATTGATATCATTGATTTCAGGATCATCAATGATCATCGTGGTGAGTGAATTGTTGTTCTGATTAGCGATTTCAAATCAGATGATTGTATCAACAAAGAATACACTTGAATCACTTGACATTTTGAGTGATTTCAATCACATGCGATCCATAGAACGAAGCAGGGAATACAATCATGTGATTTCCTAACCCAAATATCTTTAGTACATCTGGAGCAATCGTGGTATCGATAGAGTATGGAGACTGGATTTAAATACACTCATAACTTGTAGCCATTGTGGAAATTGGGAATGCAGTATTAATCATGGTGTTCAGAATGGCAATGATTTCATTCAGTGTATAATAACCAGGCGAGATCGTTGCCTCTTCACCATTGGTGTTTGTCATCACATTGGTTGAGTCCACATTATTGAACATGACTTGATTGGGTTTGAATAGAACAGTCATGGAATGATAAATGGATTTCTAAACTTGTGAGGATTGATCCAATCGAATGTACCATTGATAGGTGAATCTTGTATGAGAATGGAATAATGCATGTTCTCTCTTTACCAAAGACACTTATGACTTGCACGGACAACAATAGATGAATTTGTGATGACAATGTACACATATTGGGTTTCAGTCATTACAAATTAGTAAACAAATATGTAAATACAAGAGAAATAACAGTAATTCACCTTAGCTAGGTATGTTTGCTGCTTTCTTGCACCTGGATATTATTGACTACATAATCGGCTAGTCAACCCAGGAACGACAGTCGAGGACTCAGAGTCAATTGGTCGATTCCAACAATCAATAAAGGGTTTGTATTTGTCGCCACACCGCGTTTTGTTCTAATCAAACGGCCACCGGGTTTTACAGAAAAAGCGCCATTCCCTTACTTCTTTCCATCATTCCATTTGTGCAAATAAAATGGAAATCTAGTATTATGCCTGCTCATACTTGAATGAGCTTTTTACCATAAAACCCATCAATTGAATAGTAGCTTACAGATGTATTCTATTGTGTGTCCGCATGATAATACTTTGACTATTGTTTAGTAATACCCTTTCACAGTAATACTAATCTTCTTTTGATTGATTGAAATTAAGAACAATGAGTGATATCTTTCATTCCTAATACTCACTCTAGAATTCCAGTTGTTGATATTGCTTATGTTATCTATCTTCGCTAATTGCAATAAAAATGGTAGTTGATTACTGTCTCCAATCATAATTACAGTCAAGTCTCACAACATGGATAAGTGTGTTTATCATTAGCGTAGAGTCCATTCTTGTTATCCTCCACTCTATCATTATCAACATTGCTAACATAGATAATAGTAATGATATTAATGCTGTCAAACACCTTATTTCTCGTATATAAAGGATTTGGAAATCCTAGTATTTAATTAATAATAATCATATCTGAATACTAATACTATCGCTGATTACTGAGCATTTGTTCATAACGTCTATAGTAATCTGCAGTAATCTGAGCACTGCTGGCATCTATGCAGACACTGTTGAACATGTTCTGCAAAATTAAATAAATAATTGTGATTATACACGTTGAATAACATATAAATAAAAAAGTCTCCTGGCAACTCGTACGAGCAGCGAAGTCATTGATAAAATTCTAAACAGCTCTTGAAGTTTCACAGTTGCAGATAATATTAGCCTAGTACTTAAAACCCTCCATAGTATTTTGAAAGAATGTACTTAATACTAAACTTGGTTACAGAAATTACAAAAGCACCATATTGCTTTACCCATTATTAGAAATTGAGGATATTCAATGAGGTTATACAGATTGGATTGTTCAGCTCAATATCTTTTGTGTTATTGAGGGTGCTAAATAAAGTAGAGAATTCTTTGTTTATGACTTCAGGTATATAGATATGATATCTTCTTGCTTTCTTTGTTTTTGTAGTATCTAGCTATTTTGGACTCATAACCGCGGAACCACGAGTTGGGTTTTTTCTACTAAATAGCGATTTCCATGTTGGCCACGAAGTCCATGATGCTCGTGAAGAGCTTTACTAGACAGCCATTCTTGTTACAGAGTGCAGCTCAACGTTTGATGGCAACCACTCCCGATATGAAGATTAATGCCACCGAGAGCAAGCCAGTTGTTACAGAAAGGCCATATTATTTGTAGAAGAACTATAAGATTTTCTCCATCTTCCGTTTCGATAATGAGAGAGATAACAAGCCTCATTATGAGAAGTATGCTGTCGATATGAACGAGTACGTTTTAATTTCGAGATGCTGAAGCGTAGTTGTGGTACCATGGTACTGGACGCTCTTTTCAAGATCAAGAATGAGCAGGACCCGACCTTTGTGTTCAGAAGGTAGGTAGCATCCAATCCCTGTGAATATAGATCATGTCGTGAGGGTATTTGCGGTTCGTGTGCCATGAACATCAACGGCGAGAACGGTTTGGCTTGTTTGACTAAGATCCCCAAGGACAACAAGGTTTGCACGGTTCGTCCTCTCCCTCACTTATATGTGATCAAGGATCTGGTGGCTGGTCCTAAATCCTTGTTTGCGTTAATAATCAGATTTAACGAACTTCTACGAGCAGTACGCGTCGATCAAACCGTGGCTGCAGAAGAAGTCGGCGGTGAGCACGGACTACAAGGTGGAGAACCTGCAGTCGCACGAGGATCGTCTGCTTCTGGACGGTCTGTACGAGTGCATTCTCTGCGCCTGCTGCTCGACGTCGTGCCCGTCGTACTGGTGGCACGGCGATAAGTATCTGGGCCCGTCGATTCTGCAGCAAGCGTACCGATGGATCGCCGATTCGCGTGATGAGATGACGGAGGAGAGACTGAAGAGTCTGGACGATACGTACAAGCTGTATCGATGCCATGCGATTATGAACTGCACGCATGCTTGCCCCAAGAATCTCAATCCGGGAAGGTCGATCCACAAGCTGAAGAAGGCAATCCACCATATGCATTAATGGAGGGGGAGGAAGAAGAGGAGAGTTGAGGTGCGGTGATTTGTGATGATGAGGATGAGGAGGATGTGGAGTGTTTGTTGGAGAAAGAGAAATGGGAACTGGTTGTTTGTTGGAGGAGCGTAGAGCGTCTTGTCGAAGTATTGGATATGGCCACAAGCCTACGAAAAGCAAAAGTGAAGAATTCCCACGTAAAGGATTTCTCGCAATGGAATAGACGAATTCCTCCCTCATTCTCTCCACTCCAACCATCATTAGTTCAAACAAACACTCCATTCCTGATCCTCCTCCGAATCCGATCCAAACGCGTCATCAATCAGCTCATCGATGTCCTCTTCCTCTTCCTCTTCCTCACTGCCCTGCTTTCTCTCCTTCGCCTTGGTTACCGATTTAATCGAGAATATCTTGTGTCCGAAGTCTTTCTTCAGCATTTCCTTCCACATCTCGTCTCTTCCACGACTCCGCTTCTCACCGAACTCCTTTACTGCCTTCACCACATTTCCATCGTAATGATCTCGCAGCAAGCAGCACTCCCACAGCGTCGCCGCGTGTCCATTCACGTGCTCTGGAACGTCTTTCTGCAGCTGGAACTGTCCGCTGATTCTCCGGCCCTCCTCGTTCTCGATAAGCGAGGAGTACATGGGATAACGATTCATCAGCGCTACGTTCGATCATTAATTCAGCGAAGAGCTACAGTGAGACAGCGAGATGCACGCCATCGCGTACTTCGTGGGCAGCTGCAGCGAAAGCGTGGTCAGTGCCTTGATATACGCGGCTACTCGCTCGTGGAGAAGCTCCTTCCGCTGCAGGAAGCCGATCTGGAGGTAAGAAAAAAGCGAAATGCGGACGTCGATGCACTCGAGAAAATCCGGAATCAGCGGGTAATTGCAGGGCAGCAAATAGTCAAACCGCGTAGCGTACAGCCGGCTGAGAAACAGACTGTCGTCCGTGCTGATCACCGAAGACGCAATCTACCAATCAGAACGCGTAAAGCGCCAGAAGGAACCTGCAGAAGACGCAGCGACGCCAGCACGCACTTCAGCACGCTTTCAATCGGCAGCTCCTGCTGCAGCACCGACTTCAGCAGCTCCAACAAGTCCCCGATGATGTGCGAATTCAGCAAATGTCCGAACTTCGCGAGTCCCTCCAGCACCACGTGAATCAACTTCTCGTTCCGCGGAAGCTTCAGAATCCGGAAGTACGTCAGCAGCACTTCCTGCAACGAATCTTTCTGAAACGCCTTGTACACTGCAGGGTCCGGACCCTCGCTCTCCGCCAAAATCTTATCCCTATGACAAAAATCGGGACGATTTCTACACTTCCGAAAGATGTCGCTTCTTGTGAGATTTCACGCCAAGCTCGTCGCCTTCCACCAACGCTTCGTGCAGCGGCAAGTCCAGAAATCTACCCATTTAACGGACTTTACAACGCCACATTTGCACCGCATTCGGGGAAACGTGGTAATTCTTCGCCTTCATCTTCTCCGCCAGCTGCCGCACGATCGAAAACGTGATCTGTCCCTGCGCATCCCCGCGGAAAACCTCCCCAAAACACGCATGCACGATTTCTCCGGTTTCCACGTTTCTACGTTGGAACCCTCCCGCGGGACTACGATAACAGCGCGAAGGGAATGATGGCCTTGCTGAGCGTGTCTGCGAGATTGAACTGGTAGTGGTTCTTCAGCAATTCGCACATGCAGCGCAATGCGAGGCGCTTCGTCGATTCATCAGAACCGCGGTTCTGGGCACACTTGGTCAACGTTTTGACGTAGGACTAATGAAAAACTCGCGGTCGAAGCGGTACGGAATAGGCGGTAAGAAGGCTTTCCTCGTATTGGCGGATCTGCCGGACCTCGCGCTTGTGCAGTCCCGCCTTTTCCTCGGCGGTGGCGAGGCGGATGGGGTAGTTCTAGGTGGCAATTCCCGCGGGAGAGTACCGGGAGGATGTCGTTGAAGACCTTGAGGAGGGAAAGCATGGCGATGCGGCGAAGACGGACGTCGTGGTCCTTGAGGAAGGCGAGGACTTGGGAGAGAGCGCTGGGCTGGCGGTGCGAGCGGACCACGCCGGTGGACGGGTCTTCGATGATCTTCTCGCAGTGCACGGCGATGGCGGTGAGCGAGGCCTCGTAGTGCTCGGAGGGACTGAGCGAAGGGGCGGAGGGAGCGGCCGACTCGGGTTTGGGTTCGGACTCGGAGTCAGAGTCAGAGTCTGCGTTGGATTTGGTTTTAGATTTGGATTTGGTTTTGGTTTTGGTTTGTTTTTTGTTGGATTGGGTGGCACGGGAAGAAGAATGAGACTGATCCTCCTCCTCTTCTTCTTCTTCTTCTTCCTCTACCTCTTCTTCGTCTTTGGACACCTTCTTGTCCACTTTTACCTTCTTTGTTACATGAATTGTACCATCTTCCTGAATTGTCGGAAGATATTCATCAACATGATCATTACGTACCTAGACATCAGTAGAAATAAAGCGGAATGACGCGTCGAGGGGCCATTTCGTACTCCTCCTCCATATTATCTTTCTCCTCTTCCAATTGTCTCTTCCTATCCATTCATACTCAATTCAATACCATACGAACGTCTTTTCTCACTTACCTCTCCAAGATTCATGTCCTGGAGGAAATCAGCAAACTTTGCATTCTTCTACACCATCAAAATCCATTGCAACAACCAACCTTAAAGTAGGCTTCATCGTCCAAATAATCATCTGAACTGGAATCGGATAGGTTCAATGCTTCCACGTCACTCATCGATTAAGGATAGACGAACAAGGTTGGACTCCTTAAAGAGTTAAGCCACGAATCGCAAGTCTTGGAACTTGTGGAATTCCAGAAATAGGCCATTGGGTCAAAAAGACTATAGAAATCGACAATGGGAGTTCCAACCCTGTTTAAATGGCTTGCCAAAAAGTACCCCAAATCGATCATGAATTGCGTGGAAGAATTTGGCACCATGGTCGATGGTTTGTATATTCCCCCAGATGTATCATTACCAAATCCAAATGGAATTGAATTTGATAATTTTTATATCGATATGAACGGAATCATTCACAATTGTTCTCACAATGAGGGACTGGATAAAGTTCCCGAAACCAGTAAGGACACCTTCGAAAACATGTTTATGTGTGATTATTGCGATCCGTTCAGTGTAGGTACCTTGATCGGCTTTTTGAAATTGTCCGTCCTCGAAAACTGATTTATCTGGCTGTCGACGGAGTGGCGCCGCGTGCCAAGATGAACCAGCAACGATCTCGACGTTTTAGTGCTTTTCAAGTTCGTTTCCTTCCTTTTCCTTATTTAATTATGTGTAGGAGCGGCAAGATCGAAAGGACGCTGAAGATGAGATTCGCTCCCGGATGTTGGCAGCAGGAAAAAAAGTACCTCCTCCGCGCACCAGCTCGTTCGATTCCAACAAAATCACTCCCGGCACCGAGTACATGATGGAGATCTGCGACAACCTCCGCTGGTACATCGCCGATCGCATGTCGCACAACCCCGCGTGGCAGAACGTGACAGTAATCCTCTCGGACGGCTCCGTCCCCGGCGAGGGCGAGCACAAAATCATGGACTACATCCGCCGCGAGCGCGCCCAGCCGGGCTACGACCCGAACACGAAGTGTGTTTTCCTTGTGTTTGTTGAGCTAGACACATCATCCACGGCCTCGACGCCGACCTCATCATGCTCGGCCTGGCCACTCACGAGGCGTACTTCTACATCCTCCGCGAGGAAGTCACCTCCAGCACGCTCCAAGTCACTCGCTGCGCTTTGTGCGGCTCCGATGGCCATTTGTTTGTTCTTAAAACCTCGAGTTCACGCCTAGAGCCGCGCAGTGCCAGGGCAAAAAGCCGCAGCCGCGCGGCGCGCTGACCCGCGAGAGCAAATACATGAAGCAGCCGCTGCAGATCCTGCAGCTGCCAGTGCTGCGAGAGTATTTGCAGGGCGAGTTCGGGCTGCTGGAGCGCGTGATTTCGTTCCCTTACGACTTCGAACACGTGCTGGACGACATCGTCCTGCTCTGCTTCCTCGTGGGGAACGACTTCCTACCTCGCCTGCCCTGCCTCAGCATCCGCGAGGGCGCGCTGGACCTTCTCTTCAACCTCTACAAGTCCATCCTCCCCGCCGAGCGCGGCTATCTCACCGCCGACGGCGGGAAAATCGATCTCCCGCGCCTCCACCGAATCTTCGAGGAGCTCGCCAAAGTGGAGGGAGAAATTCTCAGACGACGCAGGTGGGTCGCTGGGCATTGCTGAGCATGCAGAGCCGTGCAGATCAACCGGGACAATCAGCAGCGCGCGCGTGCTGCGAGAACCGACCATTTGCTCAAAGCGCCCGAAGTGAAACTCCCCGTGAAGCGGAACCGCGAGGAGATTTCGCTGGAGAACGAAGACGAAGATGACGATGACCAAAATGGCGGCGATTTTGACAAGGAAACTGCCGTGGATTCGGAGGATTCCGCGAAGGAAAAAAAGGCGGCAAATTTGGCGGCAGCGGTGACGGACGCGCTCTTCGCCGAACAAACCGCGAAAATCGACGCAGACGCGGCAGCCAATCAAAACCAAGACACAAATCCGAGCGATGGGAACACAAATCCGAGTGGTGGAAACGGAGAAACCGCCTCGAGCGCGCTGAGTGCGGAAGAGAAAGACAAGATCGAGATGGAGTAGTTTCCCTGTTTCCCCTTTCCGTGTAGCTTCTCGCTGGAGTTTCTGAAGGAGTGGAAGAAGCGAAACACGGACGACAGCGTGCAGGACACGATCCGGCTGGGCGAGGAGGGCTGGAAGCAGCGGTACTACCGCGAGAAGTTCTGCCGGAAGCCTGGAGACCGTCTGGACGGTGCGTTCTACCGGTCGATCTGCACGTCGTACGTGGAAGGCCTGCGCTGGATCATGCTGTACTACTACAAGGGCTGTCCGTCCTGGGACTGGTTCTTCCCGTTCCACTTCGCGCCGTGCGCGTCGACGCTGGCCGAGTTCTCCTACGAGGCCACGCCGTTCAAGGAGGGAAAGCCCTTCCGCCCGCTGGACCAGCTGATGGCGAACCAGCCGCCGGGCTGCGCGTATCTGCTGCCGAAGCCCTTCCAGGAGCTGATGACGTCGCCGAACTCGCCGATCCGCGATTTCTACCCCAAACGAGTGGGTCTGCGGCAGGATGCGTGACGCACAGATCGAGTACGACACGGACGGACTGCCTTTTCGCTGGCTGTGGACCGCGCTGATCTCGTTCATCGATAAAGACCGACTGCTCGCCGCTATCGACAGCGTGATGGACCAGCTGACTCCCGCAGACCTCATTCGCAACCACGTCGGCGTCGATCTGCTATGCGTTCGCAGAGCCCACAGAGGTCACCTCTAGGTCCATTCTTCCCATCCAATCGTGGAAACGTGGAAGCAGAACAAGGGCGAGTTGCTGATTCTCCGCAATCCCCAGGAATTCCCCATTTTCGGAGCCATCGAGACCTCCTCCGAGCCCTCTCTCGGTTTCCACGTTTCCACTTTTTGAGGTGTAGGCGAGAAAGTGTTCTCGAACCCTCCGGAGATGTTAGAGCCTGTTAACTACAACCACTGCCTCATGCTGCATTTCATCATGCCCCCCATCCAAATCCACCAATCAGCGCTTCTCCCCGGAGTGAAACTCCCGCGGTCGGTGCTGACGGGCGAAGACATCGTGAAGGCGGTGACGCTGGACCGGCATCTGAACGTGTCCGATCTTGGCTTCGTGCAGAGCGAGCCGTCCTGGGGGTCAGGCGCAGTGCGCGAGCTGCGTCGTAATGGGTAGAGAGAGAGGAAACGGAGGGTAATGAGTAGGAATTATAACGGTGCGTATAACAGCAATGGCTATTATAACAACTATTCTTGTTATAATCCTACCAATTATTACGCGCAGAACGAACCCAATCCCAAGCGGTTCCAGGGGGTCCAGGGGGTCCAGGGGGTGCCGCCCAATTTTGCCGCCAATTTCCAGCAGGGCTACCCGCCCAATTATCCCGCGCAGAATCTGCCGGGGTCGAATTACCCGCCAAACTACCCGCCTCCGCAGCCGTATCAGCAATTCTACCCCCCACAGCCGTATCAATCGACACAATCCTATCAATCGACACAATCCTATCAATCGACACAATCCTATCAATCGCCACAATCCTATCAATCGACACAATCCTATCAACCAAACCAATCCTATCAATCTGCTTACCCTCCTCAGCCCTACCAGCAACCCTACAAGCCGCAGGACTATCCTCCTCAGCCCTACCAGCAGTCCTATCAGCAGCCCTACCAGCAGCCTTATCAGCAGTCCACGGCGTCGGCAATGCCCAGAAACCCGGGATTTGCCTACGGACAGACGACCTACCAGCAGGGACCACCCGGACGGCCGGGGCAAGGCGCGATGAATGGAGGCGGGTTTGCGAATAATCCGCTGTTTCAGGATCCGAAGGCGAAGGAAAGTGGAGCGGGAAAACGCCCATTTAGTTTTTTGTAACTTTAGTTTTTGTTGGAAACATTTTTGGAACGGGTGTGGTGGCGTGAATGCTTCTGCGAGATGAAAGAGAATAGTTGTATCCGCGTTTCCTGTATTCTTGAGTGTAGTGAATCTACTTGCTGGAGCGTGCTGTGGCATGACTGTAGATAGTATCTTATTTCCACTTGATACTCTGAAAACGTATTGTTGGAAAGAAAGCCTCAGGAATAGTCGTTTTCAAGCGCGCGCAGGGAGTGTCCTTGTTTCTCGATATTATAATTTGTTTAATGGGTTGGGGACGATTTTGGTTGGTTCCGTTCCCGCATCTGCGATGTATTGGACAATTTACGAGAGAGTGAAAGGGGAAACAAAGAAAGTGTTTAAAAACGACCCGCGGTTCTTTCCTCTATGTGAAATGATCGCTGCTAGTGTAGGTGAAGTAATTGCAGGCAGTATACGAAATCCATTCGAGATAACCAAGCAGTTTATTCAAGTTCGCGGTTATTCGAGTCCAATGAAAGCAATTGTAGCAATCTGCAAGGAAAGAGGGTTTCTCTCTCTTTACTCGGGTTATGGCATTATGCTGATGCGAGATATTCCTTTTGATATTATCGAAGTAGGTTTCCTCGATTCTTTCCATTTCCCTTAGTTCGTTCTCTATGAGTCCGAAAAGCGCTATTTCTCTCAGCGAATCGTATTTCTTTGCTTTTTCCGTTCCTGGATAGACCCGTACAGACCTTCGTCTCTACGAAAACATGGCAATGGGTCTGATCGCTGGAGGCATTTCAGCCTTCATCACAACGCCTCTGGATGTGATGAAAACGCGCATCATGCTCTCTGCAGACCTCCCTGCAGCGCAGCGACGCGGGATCGTAGCGACCTTTCGCCAGCTGCAGAGCGAGGGAATGCGGAAAATGTTCGCTGGCGCGGTTCCGCGGACGATGTGGATCGCGCTGGGCGGAGCCGTGTGGTTTGGAGCGTTCGAAGAGTATCGGCGGGTGATCAATCGCTTGTTAAACTAAGAAGGAAGGAAGTGTTTTCTTTTTTGATTGAAGAGTGGTTAAATGAATTGAATCAATGAATTGTTTGTTTCATTCATTCATTCATCTCCAATCGCCTTCTTCTTCTTCTTCTTCTTCCTCCTCCTTCCAAGACTCAAACAAACACGGCAATAGCGAATCGTTTCGTTACTCAACAATCTTTCCAACTGGTATGTGTCTCGAATCGGAGTGCGAATATCCTCCACATTTGTAAGTTTTTTGAAAAAAGGAATCAGAGCAAACAACTACGCTCAACACCTCTCCATTCACTCACTTCCTTATCATCTTTCCCTCCTTTATACGTCGAGATCGGCACAGCATTGTTTACATTGTAACTGTACACCAACGGCGTGTTATCCAGAATAAACGTCTTTTCCTATGCGTCACACTCGCTCTCCGCAATCACCAAATCGCGATTCAGAATACGGAGATCCTTAAAGTGTTCTTGATCGTTCACGAACGTTGTGTACTCTCTTGCTAAACAGTATTGAATGATCTTCTCGTCCTTATTGAAGATATCTACGAGATGCTTCGCATAGCTAGAGCTCTCATCGCGCTTTTGCATTCTCCTACGATTCTGTCGAAGCAGTAAACACAATGATTTCGTAGTATTTGTTCATGACTTCTAAAAAGTGGAACACGTAAGGTCTGTATTGTACAAACACCGTACATCGCTCTGTCTGCTGTGTGGTCTCATCGTATGTTTCGTTCTGTGAGTGACTCCGCGCTTCGAGCTGCGTACAATAAAACTATCATCGTAGTACGAAGGTTCTTTCAAACTGCAATTCACGACAGTCCCGTCGAGATCTAAAACGAGTGTATATTTGGGAACGTTGGGAGCTTTGGGGGGGAGCACGTTCGAATGGGGGTCTTGCTGCGAATATGGGTACCGATCAACAAAGGAGCGAATCGAGGAAAACACATCGAACATACTGATTCCATAGTCGAAAAGTTCGTCTGGAGTCTTTCCGCATGTCTCATCAGTACTGAAAAGAGTATCAATATCACCGTCAGGGACCAGAGAGCTGTGGTTAAGAACAACTCCGGAACACTCTTATAGGATATATTCGTTCCTCATAGCAGTTCTCTTCTACCGTCTCGACGTATGCGTTTATACTTACGCGCGATCCTAGCTGTCACGATTTACAAAAGTAGCCGAACTCGAATGAAGAACGGGCCGTGGAGAAAAAATCTCGTTGTTATGAATTTGATCTTCCGAAATCATATCACTGGTTATACTCAGCCGACTAATGTGCGATCGTCGCCTATCAGTCGCGTCAGAGTCTACAAAAAATAAGACCCGGTGATGCAATACATACAGTCATATCCTGAAATACTTCTGTGATGATTAGCTTTATTATCCATTAAATGGGTAGAATTATTCTCCAAAAGGTCTTACTAGCTGTGGATTTTAAACTACCCAAGTGATATATCTTTTATAAGCGATATTAATCACATGAAGTACTCTGCCACTTTTTATGGATTTGCAAAAACACCGGCTTTTTCTCCAACGTCTTTTTGTATTATTCTTGGTTTTTGTTGCCAATTCATAGGAAATGAGCAAGGCTTTTTTGTCTCTACCGAGATACAGACTCAACGGAAACCAATATTCGTGGATGGTCAACAAACTCTCCGACCTTCTCTCGACTGTTCCAAGAAATGGTCAGAAACTGCGAGAGAGATATGTTTCGTTATTCCACGATGATCTTTCGATCCCTTCAGATCCGTTTCGTTTGATTTTGCGGATTATTTGTAGTGATTCTGTTTCCTACCCTCCTCCAACAAAAGGGGAGCACGAGCTTATTTTATCCTATGGAAATGTGATTGTAAAGACGAAAGGAAAGTATTCTGCATCATCCGTATGCGAGCCATAGTGTTCCTGAACGATATTTTCTATTATTATTCAATTCCGTGAAGCGAATTCCGCATTATGTCACCTTGGTGCTTCAGCGCGAAAACCTACTCCGAGTTACAGAGCTAATAAAAGTTCGTATCGATTGCACAGTTTCACCTAGGTTGTGATGGATGTCGCTGTCGCTATTCCCTCGAAGAGTAACGAAATCTATCAAATGATCGAAGACGTAATCAACAGTCTGCTTTCGGATGTAAGTCCATTCCATCATGATTCTCTCCAGACGTCCCGAGAACCGCTTCTCTTCGCCGTTCTGGAGTGTCTTTCCACCTGGCAGGGCGATTACCCCTTTCCCCACAGCGCTCTGCTTTCGCTCTGCTCCTCGCTGCTGCAGTTCATCCACACTCTCAACGACCACTGTACCTCGATTTCCCCGTTTCCCCAATTCCCTATAGACATGCAAGCGCGCGGCAGCAGTCACGTGGACGTTTCGAACCGTCTCTCCGTGCTGATCCTCATCGAGGCGCGTATCTTCCGCACGATTCGCGTAGAATTCCTCGCCAGTCCGTCAGGAATAGTATTCCTCGATCAGTCTGGAACTGATCCAGCCGCCCCTGATGTCGTTATTCGACCTCGCCAAGCATTACACGGGCCGCAGCGCGCAGCAGAGCCTGCTCATCGCGTGCTTCTCCCTGCTGGAGGACGTCTGCTTCTATTTCCCCAACGAGAACGCCTGGGTGTGGAGCTGCGTGTGGCGCCGCATGCTCATCTCCTGCCAGGAGCGCTCGCTGCAGGTGTCCGTGGCGACCGCGGCGATGCAAAGCCTCGCCAATCTGCTGCCGTCGATGCTGGAGGAGATGTTGAAGTGCGCGGAGGACTTGTACGGACTGCTGGACACCGCGCACATCCGCGAGGGCTGGTCGAATCGCCCGCGTTATCACCGAAATCGCAACGGTGCGGTGAATTACGAGAGTCGGTATTGTAGGAGAGAAGGAGGAGAAGAGAGAATTATCCGTAGCGATCTGGAAGCATCCCGAGCTGTTCGCTGCGTTTACGCGCCTCATCGTCACGCTGGCGCAGACAGAACAGAACAACCGCGCGGGAGACGCGCACGTGGCGTTCAAAATGAGCCTCACGCACACGCTGATCAATAAAATCGGGTCGTTTCTGCGGAATCTGGAGGGACAGCCCTCTTCGAGCGGCGAGCTGGCGGGATTGGACGCGTCGTCGGACATCAAGCAATACGAAACGGCGGTGTTGTCGCTCTGCTCGGAGCTGGTGCACGATGTGGATTGCGAAGAAGTGCGGAACGGGATCTATCAGATCTTGGTGGAAGGATTGGGAAGCAAAACGCCGATGCTCGCAGTGCTGCCGTGCCTCGTGGATTTGGCGCTGGAGGACGGGAAGGAGCGGCAGAACGACGTGAACAATATTCTCACCGGACTTCTCATGAAGATCGATACTCATAATGTGAGGAAACGTGGAACCGGGTGAGGAATAGTATCAAGAAGTGGTGAATCAAGTGTGCAGTTGCTTGTCGCAGCTGATTCGAGGAATTCACGATCCAGCGCAGAGCCAGTTTCTGCAGAACCAGATTTTGGTTTCGTGTGTGCAGCTGGGCCAGACGTTGCTGAAAGGATCGACGAGCACGCAGCGATTGCAGTGGCAGATCAGCAAGAGCATCATCAGCGTGCTGTCCACGATCGAGAAGAAGTGGGATCCCTACCAGCTGGACTATCCGATCGACTCCAATCTCAAGAACTATGTGAATGTGTGGTTCCATCTCGTGACGGTAGCATTGAAGGGAGTGAGCGAAGGGTAGATTAAATCGCTGTCCACCGAGCCGTGGTCGGAGTCCGCGGAGAATTCGCTGACGCTGTTTGCGTCCAAATCGCCGCTATTGTATCAGTACATCACCGATATGGAGACGGACATCGAGCTGTCGTCTCTCTTCGCTTCTGCGGAGCCTGCAGCGAACGAGGAATCGCTCAAGACGGCGCTGCTGAAGCGCTTGGGAGAGAGCCACGCGGAGGAAATCAAGGCGCTGACGCACACCTCCGCGCTGTATTTGTTCACGGTGTACGAAGTGGAGTCGCGTCGAACGAAGCAGCTCCGCACGCTGAAGGGCATCTTCAGCTACTTCAAAGCGTTCACCGACACGACCCATCCGCTCTATCCGGTGCTTCTGGTGATCCTGGAAACGATCTTCAACGAGTTTGTGGAGTTGCTGGATGGGGAGGATCAGTCGGAAATGACCGAGGCGATCTTGGAGGACCACATGGAGTTCCTGATCATCACGCTCTGCCATCGCTTCGAAGTCCTTCAGGACATTTCGCTCCGATACATCTGCCTCCTCCTGGAACACTATTCCTACTTAAAAACGAACGCTCGCTGTCTCAACGTTCTTCTGAAGTGCCTTCTCACCATGAAAATCAACCTCAAACCGCTCAACGAAGCGCCCGTGACGTTGAAAGAGAGCGAAATGCTGATGCTGAAGAACGACACGCGTCTGCACTACCAGCTCGATCTCCCTCTGAGCTCCGACAAGCTCACCAACGTCTACAAGAAAGCCATGAGCGTGTTTTCGACCTGGATGGACAAGGGCGATTCCCAGTTCGAAGAGGAAGTCCTCATCAATCTGCAGAAGTAGCAGCGCCGCAGTCCGCTGATGTGTAGCACCGTCTCTCCCGAAGTGTTCTCCTTCCTCTACGAGCTCCTTCTCGAGAATCGCGAGACCATGCGGGATACGCCCTTCACCGACTTCCTCGCGCTTTCCGCGGTTCATTGTGGGAGCGAACGCGCGGATTCATCCGTAGCCCTCAAGGAAAAGCTCAGCTACAACAGCGGGATTCTGCGCGAGCGCCTCAAGACCACGCCGGAATCTGCGATTGTGGCGGAGATGCACGCCGAGATGAAAACGTACCTGGAGACCAGTTTCTCTCTGGACTACCACGATTCGCCGCACAACGAAGACGAGAGCCTCAAATCGATCTCGTTCCCCGCGGGATCCGACGATCTCGACCCGGAGCGGCAGCCGAGCGACTTGTTGATCCGCTGCGCGGCGCTGTACTCGATCCTCCGCGAAGAAACGGACCCGCTCGTGGTGCAAATCATCTGCTGGCTGCCCACCATTCTGCTTCAGTTTGAACTCCTTCGCTCCTTTTTGACGCGTAGAGAATCGCTCCTCAAGGAGGCGATCGCGATTTGGCGCTGGCTCCTCGCGGAAATCCCGCTCCTCCACGTAGAGTTTCCCCGTTTCTCCGATCTAGTCCCGCCTGATCCGCGAGCTGAGCTGCGCGTGGCAAGTCACGCGCGAGTTGGGTCTGGGGATCTTCCGCGTGTCGGACTGCTGGCGCGACGGTCGCGACCGCTGGTTCCAAGGCGGTCTGCACCACGAGCAGCACAAATGCGCCTGTCCCTGCCACTGCAACACGGTCTTCGTCAAGCTGGACCGGCGCTTCGGACATCTCCCGGCCAGGTCGCCGAGCCCGTTCGATCTGGACGGGATCATCGAGGGCCTGCAGGACGAAATCCAGCTGCAGTCGACGCCGCCGCCGATCGTTCCGCAGCTGCGCTGTGAGGACAGCGGCGACTCGCTGTGCGCGTCGTGCTGCCATTGCGTGACGATGCGGGAGCAGAGCGAGGACCACCGAGAGCAGGCCATTCCGCAGGTCTCGCTTTTCTACGCAGCGCCGACGCTGCTTCGCGATCTGTGCGGCGTCGCGGCGTTTGCGCCCGCAGTGTTCTGCTCGACGTACACGGAGGAGCACTGCAAGTGCCAGGGACTCTGGCTCGACTTCTTCCAGGAAGTGATGAACGCGTATGCGGAACGGTACTCGGATTTGGTCCGCGAAATCAGCAGCGTGTTCTTCAGCTCGCTGCAGAGCGACCTGTCGATCGGGAGCTTCTCGCTGGAGCAGCGACTGTCGTTCCTGCAGAGCGCGTGGAACTGCTATCACGTGTGCTGCGATCGGCAGCTGTTCAGTGAGAAGGAGTGCAAGGTGTTTTATGGAAGTCTGGTGATGGCGGTGATCAATCTGATCGTGAATGCGTCCTACGACGAGAACGCGCTGTTTTCTGTGGGAGCCGTGAACGGGTTTTGACGTAGACGAACAGCGACTCGATGAGCCACGCGACGAACCGCCGCCAGCTGGATTTCCTGCTGGACATCTACGACGAAATCAACGTGGTCTATCTCGAGAACAAGAAGCGACTGGCGCACCTCAAAACGTCGCGTCGATCCCACGTGGCTTCGGACGTCGGACTCGACGAAGATGCTCTCGATGTGAGTCTCTACTCGCAGCTCTTCCAGAACGTGGAGGCACGCAACGGCCGAGCGCTGCGCGAAGGCCGTTCAGGACTCACTTTCAACGTGTTCGACTCGCAGTCCACGCCGTCCGCGAGCCGATCCCCGCACATTTCCGACCACTTAACCGTGGTGACTTCCATTACCACGTCTTCCACGATTCGCCACGAAGAACTGGCGCTGGTTCTGCTTCGCGGACTGATCGAGCAGTACTTGCTGAAGGTGAATCCGTGCCAGAACCCCGAGCGCGAGCTGCTGGACGAGTCGTACATGACGCACGGGAAAATGTACACGCCCAATCAGTGGAAGGACGTCATGCAGCTCGCGCGAGCGCACTCCTCGGAGTGCACGGTGTGGCTCACTCGCCTCTACCCCCACGTGTCCGTTCTCCAGTCCGAGGTAGGGCTGCTGGCGCGTCGCGTCGATCGTAGCTGGTCCGATTGGTCAATCAGTACCCGCAGAGCTATCTCCACATCCCCGAATGCGCCAAATACTACGTTCTTTCCCTCTTTCCCCTCTCTCACTCGCAGATTTTAGATCGCACCGATGCCTCCAAGCCGTGGCTCCTCTACTGGACGCTCCCCTCCCTTCCTACCGTTTCCACGTTTCCTCCTTTCAACGCGTAGCTGATCGACGCGATGGCTCGCAACACGGCGGACCGAATGGAGTCCGCGCCGCCCATGAGCAACCCCTCCACGATGCACTTCATCACCAAGGCGCTCGGGCAGTTCCCTCCCGAGTCGCTCTGCTTCTACCTGCCCCAACTGGTCCAGGGCCTGCGCCACGACACCACCAAAATGCTCCAGGAGTACATCCTTCTGCTCTGCTCGCGGAGCATTCTCCTCACCCACCAACTGCTCTGGGCGCTCATCACCGAGAGCGAGGCCGAGGGAAGCGCCACCGGCAAGTTCGGGTTCTCCGGCAACCCGGTATCCCCGCGGGAGAGGCGTGACGCGTAGCTGACGGGGAGCGACCCGCTGCCGCAGATCTGCAGGAGTATCATCGCGAAGATCCAGGACAACTTCACGCCCGGGCAGAAGCGGCTCTACGACCAGCAGTTCAGTCTGTTCAACATGCTGATCAACGTGAGCGGCGAGGCGAAGCCGTTCAAGAAGGAGGAGCGTCGCGGCGAGATCATGACGCGCCTCACCGAGCGCCTAGCGGAGCTGCAGCGCACCGTGAAGACGCAGTACTGCTACCTGCCCACCAATCCCGAGTTCCGCATCAAGGAGGTCGTCGTGGACAGCGCCGCCGCGATGCAGTCCGCGGGGAAGGCGCCCTACCGCCTCATGTTCCGCGTGGAGCGCTGGGACGGACCGGACAGCGCGCTGCGCGCGTTGGAGCGGAAGCCCCGCGTGGGCGCGGTGCGGTTGGAGGGTCGGAGTGACGCGTAGCCTGCGAGCGGACATTCCAACGTGCGACGCTCCGCCAAGGCCGCGCTGAAGGACTTTTATTCGCCGTAGAATCGCGGGAGGAGGGAGTGAGCACTAGGCGGCTGTCCTCGCGCATCAACGTGGCCTCTCCGCAGCATCTGCAGAACTTCCGAACGCTGCAGTCGGCGTCGCTTCTGCGCAGCGATAGCTCCGTATTCAGCACCAAGTCCATTCCGGAGGTGCAGCCCAAAGAGTCCGAGACCAAGACCATGGGACTCATTCTGAAAGCCTATGATGATTGCAGGCAGGACACGCTCGCATTGCAAGTAATGCGATTGCTGCAGATCATCTGGGAGGCCGAAGGAATCGACATTCCGCTTATGGTCTACAATGTAACCCCTGCCAGAACGAGTACGGAAGACAAGGTGATGGGAGGCATTATCGAATGCGTAAGGGCCCATGTCCCGATTTTATAAATAGGTCCCAAATAGCGATTCGCGAGATAATCTGGGGAAGAAGGGATTCACCACGCTGAAGTCGTACTATGAGGTAGAAGCAGGGTGTTTTGTATTCAGTGTAGTCGTTGTTTGGACGCGAGGATGGAGAGAAATACGAAATGGGACTACGAAGATTCATTCGAAGTTCGGCGGCCTATGCAGTGGCTTGCTATATTTTATGGGTCAAGGATCGGCATAACGGCAACCTCATGATCGATAATAACGTACAAACGGAGATGCGATTTCATAGTTGTAGGGAAATTTGATTCACATCGATTTTGGCTTTTTGCTGGGTACTTCTCCCGGAGGAAATATCGGTTTTGAGAAGGCGGCGTTTAAACTGTCGAAGGAAATGTTTACGTTACTTGGCGGGAAAATCGACGCGCCTGCCTTCCAGGAGTTTTTGGACCTCACGGTGGAGGCTTTCTTGTGTATTCGAAAGTATTGGAGCCAGATCTGCTCTCTGGTGGACTGCATGTCGGATAGCGGATTGCCCTGCTTCCTTCCGGACACGCTGGTGAACCTGAAGAAGCGGTTCACTCCGGATCTGTGCGAGATGCAGGCAGCGAAGGGAATGTACGACCGAGTAGGGGGAGTTTGGGGGGATGTGAGTTGTAGTCGATTGATTCAGAAGAAAAGCTTACGACGATTCTGTACGATGGTATTCAGGTGATTCAAAATGGTATTTACTCCGATGCGTGGTAATATTCTTGTTTGTTACGAAACACGGCAGAATCTGAAATGATTCATTTTGTAGGGGATGAGGACTGGGCAGATTCCGCTGAGGATTCATGTCCTCAATATCCTTTTGTGTTTGAATAATACCCATGAATTTTCTGAATCAGGCTAAGGGATTGGTCGCGTAGGGAGTGTACGCGCAAATTTGATGGTTTAGCAAGAAGACCGAGTTGGAGAAGACTCTGGACCAGGCTCTTTCGAACGAGAACTGGGGAGCCTCTGGAACGATGCTGAACGATCTCGCTCAGGCGTCCTACAACGAGTATGGCGTAGAAAACCGGATCTAATCGTCTAGTGCTGACTACAGAGTGATTTCTGAGGCTATCTGGAAGACCCTCGCTGTCCAGCCCAAGTACTGGAAGCAGATTTTCAAGGTACGTTTCATTCTCCCAGATCTTGCTTACGTTCTAGGCTCTGAACCTGATTGACCATCTGATCCGTAACGGATCTCCCCGCATTATCGATGACACCCGTGATCGTATCGAGAAGCTGCGCGCTCTGCAGGAGTTCTCCTTCAAGGAGCAGCAGTACGAGCGTGGAAACGGAAGTACGCCCTGTGTTGTCTAGTTGACGGTCAGTCCGCGAGAAGGCCTCTCTGATCATCGAGCTTCTGGACGACGATTCTCGTCTCCGTTTCGAGCGCAAGAAGGCCAAGGAGCTCAAGCAGAAGATGGCCTCGCGCCAGAACGCTGTGGGCGGCGGCGCTCCCGCCAGCGCGGGTCCGCAGATGCGCCAGCCGTCGCGTCCGATGCCTCGCAGCCGCTACGACGACGACGACTACGACCGTCCTCGCCGCCGTCGCTTCAGCGATGACGAGGACGAGCGGCCGCGTCGCCGCCGCGCGGATGTGAGCGACGATGAGGACGAGCGTCCGCGGCGGAAGCCGGTGAAGAAGGCGTCGCGGTACGACGACGACGACGAAGAGGAGGAGAAGCCGAAGAAGCGCGTGGTGAAGAAGGCGGCGAAGAAGGTGGCGGACGACGAGGACTTCGACGAGGAGGAGGAGAAGCCGAAGAAGAAGGTGGCCGCGAAGAAGGCGCCGGTGAAGAAGGCGGCGAAGAAGGCGGCGGCGGTGGAGGACGAGGACTTCGACGAGGACGAGGAGGAGGAGAAGCCCAAGAAGAAGGCGCCGGTGAAGAAGGCCGCGGCGAAGAAGGCGGCGCCGGTGGAGGAAGCGGAGGAGCCGGAGGAGGAGGAGCAGGGCGAGACGGACTTCATGGACATGTTCAGCGCGATGCCCGCGCAGAGCAATGCGGCGCCCGCGCAGCAGATGGACTACGGATATGGAGCCAACATGAACGCCAACGCGTACGGAGGCATGGTGGATCTCAGCACTCTCGCTTACGATGCCCAGCCCCAGGACCAGCAGCAGCAACAACAGCAGCAGCAGCAGGCGTATGGATATGGTGGCTACGGATATGGAGGCTATGGAGCCTATGGATATGGAGGCCAGCAAGGATTCAGTGGATACGGATATTAGTCGCGATCGCTTGGGGTGTTTGTTGGAAACAGAAGGAGTGAATGAGCAGTTGAGAGAGTGAATCGATTAATATATATATATATATATGGGAATGGACAATTGTGACAGTGAATCGATTAATATATATATATAAGGGAATGGACAGTTGGGACAGTGAATCGATCAGTATACGAATAATGGAAAGAAAAACAAGAAAGAGTGCGCCTTAATGAAGGGAGGAGTTACAAAAATCTATAGGTTTATTTTTGTTTGGATGTTCGAATTACAAGCTATCACTTCTCTCATTGTGATCTATCTACTCTCTCTTCTCGCTTGCTATGCAGCGGTGAAGGCACAATGTCGTGGTGTTTGTAATATGAACTTTTACACTTTTAATGCCTCTGAAATTTGTATTACCAATGATGTTTGCCAAAGCACGAACAAGAATCTTCTCCAGGCAAACATCCAGTTTCCCCCTAAAAGTCTCAAAACGCATGAAGAAATGCATAAAGTGGATGACGCTGCGTCTCTTCGAACCGAGTCTGCGTCGTTATCTCAAAATGTGGGAAAACAGAAAACCTTGTTAGGTATAGATAAGTGCTCTTATCCGTCCCAAGAAGGGAACAAAGAAATCAGCTGGAACACCGGATGAAGCCAGCAATAAAAAGAAGGAGGAGTGGAGGAAGCAAATTAACCAGCTGAGAACGGTAGACTTTTTAGAAATGGAGTCTATCTTTGCTGGCCACACAAACGATTTAAATATCAACTTGCCTCAGATTCAGTATGAGGACAGAGTGAAATATTTCCCTTGGAACGATACGTTCAACTACGGTAAGTTGTGTCGGAGAGTTCTTTCCCGCATCTCCAAGAACAACACGTACTTCATCATCTCTGGAAGCATCAACGGCGGAATCGGTCACAAATACCTTTCTCTCTTATACTCGGTAACCTACGCGATTCTTCTCCGCAGAAGATTTTTCAGTAGCCCATCATCTCCTCCATAATCTCTAGTTCACATGCGCGACGCGTTTTGGAGCGAAACCAACTCCTGTCTGCGCTCTCTTCGCTACGAAGGAGGTTACCAAGGCCTGGTGGTGTGCAGCAAGATGAATCCCTGCGTGTCCTCCCTCCAATCCACCGTCGACGAGCTGCCCCAATCCAATCTCGTCGTTCTGGACTTCCGCCTCCCCACGCTCTTCTCCGACGCGAACCTGGAGCGTCTCCGCGCGCTCGGGATCATCGGGCCCACGGACTCCTGGAACACGTACAAGATGCGCATCGTTCGCCTGCTGCTGAACCCGTCGCGCACGAACATCAAGCTGATTCGACGCGAGTGGGAGCGGCTCCAGGTCCCGCGCGTGGACCTGTCCACGCACATCCGCTGCGGCGGGCAGCTCGCCGACCATCACGAAGCCACGGTGATGGTCTCTCCGCAGCAGCTGGAGCGCATTCCCGGGATGATTCGGCAGGTTCTTGCGAGCTCTTCGATGGCGTACAAGGCGAACGGGCCGCTGCAGAGCAGGCCGGTCGTGTATTTGTCGACCGATTCGTCGAAGGCGGAGGCGAAGCTGCGGTCGGAGCTGACGGAGATGACGGTCCTCACAGTGTCGTCGCTGCAACGCGGACATACTGTTTTTGCGGGGGCCACGAGCTTGCAGCGCGCTCTGCTGGATATCTATCTGATTTGCAAGTCGCATACGTTTTTGGCCACGCAGGGAAGCGGGTTCAGCCAGATCGCGCGGATGTTGTGCATGCCGGAGTATGTCGCTATCATTCCTGTGAACAAGACACACATTGCTTTTGGTGTTTGTAACAAACAGTTCATTGGGTTCGACGTGTGTTGGCTGCTCGCTTCCTACGAGTGAGAAAAGAATGAAAAGAGGAGAAGTACTGCGTGGCGCGGCGTTTGGGAGCCGGTTGAGGCGCTGCTTCTTCTTCTTCCTCCATTTTATCGTCATCGTCGTGCATATCGCTTCTTTGCGTTATTTTGATTCGTTGAACGTACGCTAAAGTCTCGAGGTATTGCGTGCTGTCCTTCTCATACGCTTCTTTGACAATCTGCACCAAACTATCGGACGTGGCATTGCGTGTATCCACTTTCTCCAACACCTCCCTTGTGCAATGATCGAAATGCTCCATCATCATATGCCACGACATCGAGCATCGCTTATTCACATACTGCGACACTACGCAATCACTCTCTCCGCCCACAAAAACAAACATGTATCACGCATATGCATTGCATTTAATATCTTCAACCCGCCTTGCTCTTTCAAAAACGTCTCGATAAACCCGACCATCATCTCGAACTGCGCCGAACTCGACAAGCTTTCATCCATTCCCATTCCTTCTTCTTCTCCTTCTCCTTCTCCTCCTCCCGCACCGAGCGTCAACGCGCGTTTTCGACGAGGATACAGCAAACTATTCGGATTGGCGATGCGTCCGACGTATTTGGCTCCGAATAATGGCGGCGAAATGGAAGGAAAGCCTGTGATATCGACGGAAAGACGCACGAGAGGAAGTTTATCGCTGGGAGGGAGTCGAGAGAGAATGGATTCGATTTGTTGATCGAGTGTTTTCTCGATGGCTTCAGCGACGGTGGGCGACGCGGCATCGAGATGCGGAAAGTCGCTCAGAGAGCACGTTTGGAAAATGAAAGGCCGCATCTAGAGTGGATAGGAGTGGAAAAGAGAGAAAAAAACGTTTTGAATGGGAATGGGAGTGACGTGGAAGTCGGTCCCTGTGATTTCTAAAAGTGCAACGTGTTTGGGAATCGATTCGGCTTCGATGAGGGACGTCACGCAGGACGATCCTGGCTGCATTGTGTAAAATCTCTATGAATCGAGGAGGAGGGAGAAGCCAACGTTCTGCGCATTGAACGTCGGATCGATTTTGCACTCGTGTTCATGGCCCCAAATCACGAAGTCGAGGAATTTCGGAAGCAAATCCAGGCGGAACGTGCGCTGCGAACCGCGCGACTCGAGGTTTTGGTGGATCAGGAAGAGATGGAACCAGTCGTCCGAGTTGGGCGGCTCGAAGAACGTTACCTGCTTCTTTTCAAACATGCGAGACAAACGCTCGTCGGGCACATAGCCCATTCCGTAAAGAGCTAAGCGTGTGGATCCTTTGGAGAGGAGGATTGGCGTGATCTCGATGTTTTGAACACTGTGGAAGAGAGGAAGAAGAAAACGACTCTGGAACGCAGGCGAAGTAGTTCACTAAGCGAGAGGAACTCAGGATGTCGAGAGCGGAGTGGGCTTTGCTTTCGGGACCCTGAGAAATGAGGGGATGTTGAAGAAGAAATCTACTTCGTGCGTTGGGTCGTCGTGATTGCCGTGGATTACGAATACAGGTAAGGCGATGTTCAGGTTTTCGTCTTCATAGTTGACCGGCCTAGCGGTAAAAGCAATGGAACACCGAAACAAGACAACTAGAGGCGATTTTTCTGTAGGATGATGCGTAAAGTTGATATCTCCCGAGCCTAGACAATATTTGTTTAAAAGCGATGTTGTTTTGTCTAGAGTACTGGGTGTAGGCTTGTTGTCATTGAATAGATCACCTCCTAACAGCAAGAAATCAACCTAGCACGTAAATTCGCTTTCAATCAATTGCATTTAATTCACGGGCCGTTTTCAGTATAAACTCAAAGGATTCGAAGGAGTCATTTCCGATAATCGGGTCGGCCTCTCTATGTACTAGTAACGTGTAGGAGGATGATACTTATACCCAAGATGGTTGTCCGTAGCAACCAAAATGCGAAATGTGTTCTCTGACATATTATTATATTATTTTATTTAAAAAAAGGCGGGAAAATTACAACAACAAACAACAACAACAAAAACAATTCTTTTGTTATTACTATTATTATTATTATTATTATTTTTTACTTAATTAAGAATGAATAAAATAGAACATGGAACTACTCACTTACTCGAAGTAAGTAATCTCGCATCGAGCCGCAGAAGCGAGCTGCCTCTTCCATGCACTTCGAAAGGCACTACAAATCAAAGACGTTCTTGGAACTCACCATCGCACAGATATCGATATCGACAGCGCCACAGTGCGAAATGTGAATGATTTCCTAGGAATGAACCCCTCCATCAACTCCAACCTTCGTAGAGTTCAAGATAGCCAGTTGCGTGTAGCACTTCGCTTTCTCTAACTCATCGGATGTGGGATTGACGATCATTTGGTTGTTTTCCATCACACTCTACAGGGGAACCCAGAAAATCGAAACGAACGACACAGCAGCAACCAAGGAGTCCAAACAAGTTCAGCCCAGCGTCCGTTAACGCCAGAGAAGCACACATGAGGGATAAGCCGAGAGGATCTCCATCCACTTCTAGCACCATGATATACAGCTCAACAACGGCTTTAGGAAAAGCCTCCAAGTCCACACTGGTAGAGAGAATCTTCTCTAGAAGCAAGGACATTGACTTCGTTTCTCTGTTCTAAACAATAAAAAGCACGAAAAACAAGAAACGAGTAAGTTTGGCTGATATACGTCTTTCTGTGCGAATGGGGCATATTTAAAATCACAGTAGAGAGCTCCCTTGTCCTGACTGTCTACGGAACGGAACGAATCACGGGGTCCTTGAACAGAACACATAATCTTCATATTTCCCAACTCTACATAAGCACTTCCGCTGGCATTCTTCACAACGCCTGTGGAGATCAACAGCTGCTTGTCCATTGGCGTAACAAAAGTGAGAAAGCATTCCAGTCTTGGAGTTTCTGGACTTCCGATAATAGGGGGTATTTTGTGCACTTTCAAAAAAACAAAATTCTCATTCAATTTCGGCTGTCTCTTTAGTTCATCCCTGATTTCTTTATTTAGAAGACTACGAAAGCATGGTCGAATATAAATTAGAAGGGTATGAATTGCTGGCTAAAATTGGAGAGGGAACTTATGGAGATGTGTATAAAGCGAAGAGAATTGCTGATGGGAAAATATGTGCGATCAAATTTGTACAGTTATCTGCGTATTCTAAGTGTATAGATCCGATTTCGCAAGTCCTCTCTGGAAAATGGGGTTAGTATGTCAACAATTCGAGAGATTCACTTTTTACGCAGCATCGATAACAAAAATATAGTAAAACTGTACGACATCGTGTCTCCAGACGGTAGTGCTTTTTTTGCATCTATTACATTAGTCAATTTATCCTTAGAGTATTCCAAATTAAACCCTATCTGTATGATTATGGAATACGTTGAGCACGATATGTGGGGTTTTCTTCAATATACCAGGGATAAGAAGTTGGCATTGTATGTGTCGTCGCGGTCTGTAATGTATAGATACTCTAAAGACCACGTTCGCTGGTACATGTACCAGTTTCTCCAGGCGCTAAGCTATCTCCACAAAAACATGATCATGCACCGCGACTTGAAGACGTCGAACCTCCTGCTGACCAACAAGCACGAAATCAAGCTGACCGATTTCGGCCTGGCTCGTCAGCTCCAATTCGGCGACAAGAATCGCTACACGACCGAAGTGATGACGCTCTGGTACCGTCCGCCCGAGCTTCTCCTCGGCAAGTCCGAGTACAGCACGGAGACGGACGTGTGGTCGGCGGGGTGCATTTTCGGCGAGCTTCTCGCATGCGGCCCGCTGTTTCCGACGCACTCGGACAACAAAGTAAGCGAACTCGCTCGCCTTCACCGCAGATCGAAGAGCTGAATCTGATCTTCAAAGCGTGCGGCACGCCCAGCGACGACGAAATGCGCCACCTCATGCAGTAGGCCTCGAGACTCGCTTCCATCGCAGGAACCAAGCGGCCGAGCTGAAGCACTACCCGGGCGATTTGGCGGGCTATCTTCGCCAGCGCGTGGAGAACTACGGCGTCAACAACGTCGACTGGATCACCGACGAGGTCGTCGATCTGCTCTCCCAGATGCTCCAGGTCGTTCCTTCCAAGCGAAAGCCCGCCAAGGAGGTTTCCACGGTTTCTCCGATTCACGCGTAGCTGCTCGAGCACGCCTACTTCGACGAGGTCCGCGCCAAGGCGCCGGAATTGCCGGAGCTGGCGCCGTCGATCCAGACGCACTCCTTCCAGGTCAAAAGCCGCATTCTCCAGAACACCGACAGCACGCACGCCGCGCGGGCCCCGCCGCCGCCCCCCGCGGAGCCCTCCTTCTTCTTCGACAACCCGCTCCCGCCCTTCGCGCCCCCCAGCGTCTTCGCGCCCGCCGGGTTCCCGCCGCCGCGCCCGCCCTTCTTCGCCCCGTTCGATCCGCGCTTCCCCTACCCCCTGCAGCCCCAGCAGCCCCAGCAGCCCCAGCAAACGCCGCCGTTGGCGGGCTATCCGCGAGCCATGGCGCTGCAGGGACCGCAGGGACCGCAAGGAGGGGCGGAGAAGGGAGTGGAGCCGTTCGGAGCGAGGAGGGGAGAGGGGAAGGAGGAGAGGAAGGCGAGGGATGGAGCGAAGAATCGGTCGGAGCCGAGGAACGCGGAGGCGGGGTATGCGAGCTATCCGCGGTCGGAGGAAGCGAGTCGAGGAGGATCGGTGAGGCGTGGAGAGAGAGAGAGAGAAAGAGAAAGAGAAAGAGAAAGGGGAGAGAGTCCGAGTCGAAGTCGAAGACCATCGAGTCGAGATCGAAGTCAAGGGCATTCCAGGGGTCCGAGTCAAAGTCAAAGTCAAAGTCAAAGTCAAAGTCATATTCAAAGTCAAAGTCAAAGTCATATTCCTAGTCAAAGTTATGGTCTAAATCGGAGTCGAACGCGAGATCGAAGTCCAAATCGATATCGGAATCGAAGTCGAAGTCGAAGTCGAAGTCATGGTCGAGGTAGAACTCGAAGCCGAACGCGAAGTCGAAGTCGAAGTCGAAGTCGAAGTCGAAGTCGAAGTCGATATAAAGATCGATATAAATATCACAATAGGAGCCGAAATCAAGATCGATTTCGACATCGCTCGCATTCGCGTTCTCGTTCTCATTCTCATTCTCGCTCTCGTAATATATATCATCGGTGAAACTATTTTGTTTGTTTGAAATAAATAGTCAATGGGATGAGACGTTTATACTCTTGTTTGTATTTTCATTGTTAACTGCACGAATGATGATCCATAGTCTCTTATTATCGAGTTGAGATAAAGAGGCAAGAATATAATAGGAAATATGGGGAATTGTTCGTTTAATATATTATAATATGTTTATATCACTGTTAGTCATAATTATAACAATAATGAAAGTCAAGTCAAGAATACAAAACAGTTGATTCTATTCTCAATCTCTTTGTTATTTTGATCTGATAGTTGCATGTTCATGGATTATAATTCATCAGGTATCTATCTTTTAGAAAAAATGATCCAAATGAACACATTAGTTTGCAAAATACATTCGATCGCTTATTGATATAAAAATGAAATTGCATAATCTATGTGGTAGCAAAAAACGAAAAATGAAGTGTTTCTGCGAATTGTCTTCTTTGAAGACTTTTGGTGATTCGTTGTATTACTGACTATAAAGCAGTGAGATTGTGATTATAATAGATATGTAATATCTTAAATTACAGAAAGTGAAGGAAAAAACACAATTAATGCAATTGTTTAGTATTTCCAAGGTAAATGTGTAATGAAAGTAATCACATATATAATAATGGACAAAGAATTAAAAAGGAAAACCATAAAAGAGGTAATAATTAATGAATAACCACTCTGTTATTGTGCTCTAATGCAGTCCTGTAATCATGTTGTGTTTTGTGACTCTTTATGACATTAGGATCAATTACAAACAAAAGTTATTCGAGAGTTTGATGTTGCTAATATAAACATGAATTAATCTTGCATGGTTTTTATCCATTTTTCCACAATTACATTTGTCTAGCACTTCATTTTCAAAAGTGGGCTATCCAGTTGTGCTGTTCCTATATACTCTTACTGCAATAGGGATTTTTGATATTATCCTTTGTGTTATAGAAAATGAGTTCAGTGAACACTTTGAGTAATTATGTTTCCTTTTCTAACACATAGTAAATCAATATTTCTTATCCGAAGGGTATATAATTGAAAATAGGAGTAGAGTAATTACCAAAGAAAATGAATCTTTTCATTTGCAGACATACAGAGGAGATCATAAAAATGAGTATACGCTATTCAATGACACAAAAATAATGCATTACAAAAATGGCTTACTAATGAAATCGTGTGACATAAATAATGGAAAAATAGACGGTGGCATTATCGTTTACGAAAATGGATACTCCAAATATTGGCAAAAGACTACATCTTCAAATGAAGAAATAGAAATTCGTATTTTAAATGCAAAGAGAGGTCTCATAAAGGAATTAATTATTACCTCTACACAAAGAGTGATTTATCGTGGAGGAGCAGATGAGAACGGGAAAAGAAAAGGAAAAGGTTTTGCGTTTGATCCTGAAACAGGAGGGTTGCAGCTAGAGGGCTTCTGGATTAATAATCAACTGAGGAGGATCACTCGGACCTTTGAAGGGGATCAAATGACTGAATATAGTAATGATTCTGATAACCTCGATATCACTAATCGTCACGCAATTTATATTGGTGGTTACTTCTATGATAAGGACAAAAATCTCTGTTATCGCAATGGAACAGGCTATTTAATCAACCAAAAGGGGTTTGCTTGTAGTAAAGGGGAATGGGATAAAGGAGAAGAGATTAGGACTGACCAGTTACGCGATGGTTGGCTAGATTCAGAAGAAGATCCTCTTAGGGATTATGACCGGCAGTGTCAAAATCTTGTCATCCCTGCCGAAAAATACAAAGAGAGTAGTGTGTTGAATCTGAATCGATTTCACGAATTGAAGAAAATTGATATTAAAGAACACAACTTTTGCAATGTGCTGCATTTTAACATTTGTGGCATAGATACATTGAAAACCATCAATATTGGAAACAAGTCTTTTTATAATGAAGATCGCGCGGAACGAATGAATCGCACTTTTAGTATAATGAATTGTAAAAACTTGCGAACTATCAAAATTGGTCTCTTATCTTTTCACTTTTTCAGCGGTGCATTTGAGCTTAGCAATCTCCCTTCTTTGGAATCCATTCAATGTGGAGAAATTGGAAGTGGTTCCTGTAACTTTTCGTTTTCGAAGTTTCTCATCAAAGGAACGCTTTGAATTGTGAACTGTTATGTCTAGATCTTCCCGAGCTTAAAACGATCATTCTAGGCGATCATTCATTTGAATGTCAGGAAGAAATTGAATTGTCAAGTAGGAAAGCGGAGCTATCCTTTTCTAATGAAAATAGATCTTCCTCGTTTGGAATCCATGGAGCTGGGATGGGCAGCTTTATCAGGAAAGCTGGATAATACTTCATTGATAATGAAAGGTACGATTTTTGGATCGAATCGTTTCTTCAGATCTTCCGAAGCTAAAATCCATGCGGTTGCTGGGTTCTAATTTTCTGTATGTTCAATCAGTGACTCTGAGCAGTCTGCTTTATAATAGAAATCATGACCGTAGATATTCCCAGTGTCGACGAAATTGTTATAGGTCCGAGCAACTACAACAATCACTTTTTGCTCTTTCCTGAAGCCACTAGAGTTCGAATCAGTAGTAAGGCAATGCGTTGTTATGTTTAAAGAAAGATATCTCCAATTATTTTAAACTACACATTACGATAGGAAACTCTCCCATTAAAATCAGTCCTGGATTGAAATTTAACGAATTGGAGTTTAGTTACGGGGAGAAGATCATTAACATTCCTGCGTATTCTGGTAATGACAGTGAAGAATTCATCAACATCAACCGATTTGCGAACCTTGAAGAACTGATTATCGGAAAGAATTCGTTTATGAAGGTTACCAGTGTCATTATTGATCATCGAGAAAAACTGAAAGACATTTTCATTCATTGTCAATCGTTTTTCACTCCTGTGAATACTCAGTTGCGCGGTTCGTTCAAGGTATCGAACTGCAAGCAATTGGAAACAATCACGATCGATTGCTTGAGCTGCATTCATTTTTGCAATGATTTTGTGTTGTTGAATCTTCCTTCACTCAAAACACTCAAAGTTGGAGAAATCGGGAAATATTCCTCCAACTTTTTTCGCATGTCCTTTTGTTTAAAAGGTGATTTCTATCCCAATCGTGTTCTATCTCTAGATTTACCAAGTCTAGAATCGGTTGTTTTGGGAGATGAGGTCTTTCAGTTCTCTTTAGACACGGTGTTTGAAAGTAGTTTTTTTCGAATTCTCACGATTCAGATCTTCCTTCTCTCCGAACAATCGAGTTGGGTTACAAAGCTTTGATGGGTTGCGATGATGATCAGTGTCGTCTTTCAATGCAGAGTTGCTTTGATTCGGATTGGTAATGTTCAGATTTGCCCAAATTAGAGAAGATCATTGCCCCTTCAAATAGTTTCCAAGAAGTGCGCATTTTGTTACTCATCAATCTTCAACCCAAGGAAGTGAAATTGGATAGTTCGTCTTTGCGAAAGGTACTCTTTTGTTTTTCGTCAGGGATTAATCATCCGTTGACTGATCTGACACGAAGGATTATATAAAGTGAGTTTAGTTTTGCTTGTATACTATTACGTTCTCAGCTTGTTTGTTTGCTACTTGTTAAGAGTCTTTTCTTTTAAGTTTGAATCAATCAATAACTGCTCGCATTATCGTTAATGATCTTGTTTCTTGTATTGTATCATCGGTGAAGTTGACTCTGAAATGTTTAATTTACAATTCTTTTCATTTCTCATCACATCAATGTATGAGTCGACGTTGATAAACGATTCATTCAGAATCTTAATCGTATTTTCAGCAAAACAAACAATCTCAATCAAAATCCCTCTTCAAATTCCACTACAATCTTCAAAATGCATGGATAACAGTAGCAAAAGAAGTCGCGAAAGGCAGCTTGCTTCCCTTTTTCATCTATCAAACTAAGAAGCGAGAAAACAGCGAGCACAGAGTGATAAAACACCTACATTCCACGCCAACTCCAGTCCTACGCTTAGATAAGTGAACAACGTAAACGCCAGCTTTCGATTTTCTACGCTTGTGTCTTTCTGAAACTTCATTTCATGATATTCTCTGTGATGCTCCAGCAACTCTTCGATAACGTTGCTGATAAGCTCCGTTTTGGACGGAAAGCAACGATTCATCACATATTTCGTCACACTACATTGAACAAAACAATTCCAATCGTCACAGAATGACAAAGCTTCGAGGATCAATTCGACACTCCTCCTCTTCAGCAACCATTTCTCGAAACACTCTTTTCAGTTTTTCGACTCTCTCTTCGTAGGGTTCTTGCTTGATCGCCCTGTAGTTGCTGATTCGTTCTTTGATCACATCAATATTGTTCTCGATTCTACACTTCTCCACTTCCATCGCCAATCCCCACCTCGCCTTCACGCTTTCTTCAGACTTGTAAAAACTCACTTCGCAGTCTTGGAAGTAATAGAACGGATGCTTTCCGAGCAGTTTATACGTTCTCTTCACGATCTTCGCGATGATTTCGGCTACGATCGAACGCTTCTCTTTCCTTTCTACAGCTCTCGTTGAATTCTGGCGTTTGCAACAGCGGAACGCCGACAAACGAAGTGAAGATCATATTGAACCCCGTTGTGTTATAGCTTCTCGAAAATTCATTGCTGATTTCGAGCAAAGCGTCTAGAATGATAAGCACGCTGACGAGAGAAAAAAACCTTTCGGAATCTTCGATTTGACCGCTTCGACTTCTGCCACATCGTTCGTCAGAGCGCTCCAAGGGAGATCCACCTGATTGCTGGCATAAAGACTCGCAACCTTCTCGTAAATCTCGCGCAGCTCTTGGTTTGTGTGCTCCTTGAAGTGCTTTTCGCAGTCTTGCTTCGTCGCGCAGTGGGTTTTAATCTCTTCGAGCAGTTGGGGAGGCGGGAGAAACTTTTTCCCGCTCTCTGTATTGATCGCTTGTCTTTTCAAAAAGTCATTTCCATTGAGAACAACGAAATAGTAGAGTTGAAACTCTTGGATGTTCAGATGTTTCATGAGCAGATGCCGTCTCGTTATGTATAACGGACCGCCCTTATACCCATTTATAAATATCACGCCTGGAAGATTGTAGAAGATGAAGTCACTGTCGGTTGTAAGAACGAGGGCGTTATTTAGATAGCTGTAGCGAGCAATATCCCTAGAAAGCAAGCACTCATCGTTCATACCGATCTCCATCAATTCCAGATAATCCTACAATACTCATACCGTATGTATCAGTGAACGCAGCCATTACAGCATCTATACAACAGTTGGGTATCCCCAAATGCTCTACTTTATAAATCACAGTGACTCCTACCCTTCTTTTTCAAACCACTTTCCCAAAATTTAATAATTTGCTTTTGCAGACTTGCTCTTCGACTTACATACGTATCCGCTTTGCTCGGATTGTTTATTGCATCGATAAACACTTTAATAACTTTTAGCTTCAGTTGCTTCAGCAGTTCAATGAATTCGATTGTCTTTTGATAAAGATATGTTGGATTATGACTGTAGGCAAAGCCAGAGGGAATCAAAGAATGGTACAGTTGGTTAGCATAGGAGAGTCCGTCAACAACCAAGTTGCATTCCGGATCTCTACAAAAAGTGCAATTCACTACATCTACCTTATCCTTCGCTTTGATGTATGCGCATGGATTTGATTCTGTATGAGAGCACGGGTACCACTAACACCCATTGAAAAAAAGTATAAAAAATGGTAATTCTGTGTTTGACATACTAGAGACAATCCTGAATGATTGATTGATCGTTAATCCGTACTCTCGAAGCTGTTATAGCGCACATGGGAATGGTAAATCTTCCTTCCAGCATGATGTCCTCCTCCTATCCATATATATATTTTTTTATTTTTTTCTCTGCACCACCCAAGTGTTCCTTTTCCCCTCACGTCTTTCTCCAACAAACATCTCATCAACTCATCACCAGTCTCTACAACGCCAGTCGGATGACAACATCCATGGGGTTCTCGGGCTCTCCGCACCAGCACTCGCACTTGGTATCCGTGAGGAAGCACGAGCACTCGCTGCCCATGTCCTCGAAGATGTATCCTCCGCTGCAGGGGTACTGTGACACCGCGAAGGCGTAGTTCTCAGGGAGGTTCAGCGCGCGATTGCCCGCGCTGTCCTTGAAGTCCTCCGCGTTGAACTTCACCGTGTAGCTGTGGCCCGCAGGGATCGCCGAGCCGCGCACCACCACGCGGTTGGCGTCCACGAACAGGCGCGGGTACACCTTGTCCTTCTCGCGCGCGTAGTGCAGCGTCACGTTCCGCGTGGTCTCGTCGGTGAGCACGAACACGAAGTCCTCCGCGAGCTCGATCCGCTTGTTGAACACCAGCACCAGGTCCTCGCTCGCGGGCACGTGCTGCTGCCCGTTGGCGGGGAAGATGCTCATCATCTGCGGCGGGGTCTGCAGGCTGCGCACCGTGAAGTGCAGCTCGATGGGCTGCGAGATGCACACGCCGAACGTCGAGCAGATCGAGCCTTCCGGCAGCACGATCCGCACCTCCGAGTCCTCGGGGTAGAACAGCTGGCGCGCGGCCACCACCATGTTGTTGCTGAACAGCATCTCGCTGGTCGGCAGGTACAGCGGCGCGTCGTTGTTCACCAGCACCTTGTAGAAGGCCGAGCCCGCCATCACCGGACGGTCGAACGTGAAGGTCACTTCCAGCGTCGACTGCTGGCTCTCCGCGCCGTTCTTCGGCATCGAGTCCACCAGGGCGGGCTCGGCCGTCAGCAGCGTGTCGTTCGTCACCACGAACGCGAACTTGTCCGCGGGGAGCAGGGCGGGAAGCGGGAAGCGGCTGAAGGCGTCCAGGAAGAGACCCAGCGTGGTCTCCACGACGTATTCGTAGGCGGGGTGCAGCGGGCGGAGCGGCGTCACGCGGACCGTGTTGCCCTGAATCTCGAAACGCGTGTTGTTGGGACGGAGAATCTGCGTGAACTCGGGGTGCTGCGGGCAGGAGAGCGTCAGCGTGCCCACGTAGGGGATCACGGGCAGCGCGCCGGTGAGCTCGATCGCCGCGTTCACGTAGACCTGCACCGATCCGCTCGGCGAGAGCGACGCCCACTGCGGACTGTCCACGGCGGCCGTGGTGAACACGAAGTCCTCCTCCGCCAGACGGCGGCGCAGCACGGTGCGCGAGGCGTCGAAGTCGGGGTCGAAGATGCAGCGCGCGTTGTACGTGGTGCTGGGCTTCAGCTCGGACAGCAGCACGCTCATCTCGCGCATCTCGGGGAACACGTAGCTGCGGTAGCCCTTCTTGATGAACTGGGCGCGCGACGGCCACACGGGGACCGTGCTGCCCTCGGGCACCACCAAGCAGTACACGTTACCGGGCATGTTCACCGCCTCCACGGCCACGCGCACGAAGGACGCGCTCGTCTCGGACAGGATCGGATCGGCCAGCAGCATGGACGGCAAAGCGAAGTCGTTGTAGGTCGCGAACATCACCGAGCCGCTGATCGGCACGAACTCCACATCGAAGCCCTGGCAGTCAATGAAGTATTCGGTATCCGGGTCCAGACTCTTGAACAGGTACGCGGGCGGATTGTTCACCGGGTCGACCACCACCTCCTGCGAGCCCAGAATCTCCGCATCGAAGCGCTGGCGGATCGTGCAGGTCGCCGTCGTGTGGAACTCGCTCGTCACGAAGAACGACACGAAGTCGTAGCCCGGACGCGCCTGGATGGTCAGACGCGGCTGCCCGCAGAACACGGTCACGCGGTTCGAAGGCAGGCCGGCGAAGTTTCCGTTGACGGTGGCGCGGACCGTGATGGTGATCGAGCTGCTCGTGCAGTACTCCATTCGGATCGGGCAGGACTCCAGAACGGTTCCGGAGATCGCGCACTCGTCGTCGAAGACATTGCCGTAGTGCACCGTGTACTTCTCGATGGGGAAGTAGTTCTCCAGCGGGTGCGTGAAGCCGACTCGCATCTCCCCCTGCGACATGCGCTCCGCGACCAGCTTGATGTTGGCGCCCTGCGGGAAGCGATCCACGTCCTCCAGATCGATCGCGGTCACGAAGTCGCGCGACACCTCCGTGCAGCGCTCGCCCTCCTCGACCTCCTGGTTCGCGCAGGTCCGCACCGTCACGCGGTAGTTGCTCACGCTGTTCGACACCGTGATCGTCGCGCTCGTCTCCGCCGTCTGCGCCTGCTCCGCCTCCGACACCGTCTGGTTGAACTGCAGCTCCGCTACCACCACGTGGTAGGTCACGTTGTTCGAGCGCGACGCCGTCCAGCACGCCTCGGCCTCCGTGTACACGATCAGGCCCGCGCTGGTCTTCACAGGATCGTTCAGGCGGCAGATTCGGAGGTCGGTGATGGGCTGCGGCGTGGAAGGCTTCGTGCGGAACTCCACCGCGTAGGAAGGAAGCGAATAGCCGAGGCTGTTGCGAGCCACCAAGCTCAGCTGGTAGAGCGTGTCGGGCTCCAGATCGGTGAGCGTCAGCACGCCGCTCTCGCGCGCCGTCGTGTCCTCCAGGGGCGCGCGGTGCGCCGAGGGCACCAGCACCGCGATCATGGACTGGATGGCGTCGCCGCCAGCGCTCGCGCCGCTGTACTCCACCGTGGCCGTCGTGGCCGTCACCGCGGTCACCGCCACGTACGTGGGCGGCATGGGAATGCCCGAGCTGGTGGTGAACTGCGGCGTGGCGAAGTCCGTCGAAGAAGGCATGTTGGTCTCATCGCAGAAGGCCTCGGCCTCCCAGGTGATCGTGTAGTTGGCGTTGGACAGCAGCGGCACGGTGAAGTAGGCGATGCGATCCATGAAGCGGACGCGGTCGTCGGTGGTCAGCAGCGACAGCACGTCGTTCGGGTAGCCCTCGGGCGTGAAGGTGACCACGCCGCCGCACGAGTGCACCGCCGTCGAGAAGTGGATCTCCACGGACATCTGGGAGTCGGCGTGGTAGTAGATCTGCAGCACCTCCGGCTTGACGTTGTCCTTGCGGAGGATCAGCTCGGAGGCGGCGGAGGGAAGGCCGAACAGGTCGGTGAACGCGCCCTCCTCGACGAACACGCGCACATAGCGGTCGGTATCGCTCACGAAGCTCACTTCGAACGTGTAGCTCTCCGAGTCCTGGTGGTACTGGAAGTTGGCGATGTCGCAGTTGGTGCAGTGAAGCAGCTGGCTGTTGAAGTCCGTGAACGAGGACAGGATGTGGGTGATGTTGGGGATCACCACGGTCACCGGGATGTTGAAGATCGAAGACTCGGAGGTCCACTCGCTCGAGAACTCGGGCTTGGTCGACTGCATGTTGTGGAAGAACGTCACCGGGCCGACAGCGTCGTTGGTGCTGTTGTACTTGTTCGCGAACACGCCCTCCGGGACGGTCAGCGACACCTCGTTCAGCGAAGTGGTCGCGTGGATGTACTGGATCTGGCACAGACCGCGCACGGCGTTCAGATACGACTGCTCCACCACGCGGTAGTCGGGGTTGCTCACCACCACCTTGCCGCACGCGAGATCGGTGGGCTCCGAGGAGAGCAGCTCGAAGCCGCAGAGCGCGCTCGAGCAGTAGAGATCGGTGACCGAGAGAGAAATCACCGGCTTCATCACATACACCGAAGAGAAGGAAACGTCGTGCTCCATCTTGTTGCCCGCATCGTTGAAGATCATCTCCGAGAGGAAGCGAATCGACCACTCGCAGCTCGTCGTGCAGGACAGCTGGATCGTCATCACGTACTGCATCACGATGTCCACGTGCTCCGTCACGACGCTCAGCACCTGCACGGAGTCGGAAGCCGTCCACATCGAGGACGTGAGATGGCTGATCGGACCGTTCTGGACGTTCAACGCCAGTTGGATCGTGTTCTCGGAGCTCGACAGCACCTCCACGGTCATGTTCGGAGAGACTTCATTGATCCACACCACCAAGCTCGATTCTGCGTTCGGATTGCCGTAGAGATCGTACACGACGCCCTGCGGGTACACGAGAGTGAACTGCACGATCGACTCGTACAGCTCCACCATCGAGAACGTCAGCGACCAGGAATACTTCTGGCCCTCCTCGATCACAGAGAACGTCTCCATGACCACCGTCGCGCTCTGATCGTCGTATTCGATCTGCAGCTGTCCGTAATCCACACCCTGCACGACCTTATCGAAGGTGCCGAACACGGTAATCGTTTCGTTGTCGTGCATGTAGCGCTGCGTCGCCTCCAGCGTCATCTTGGGCGGCACCATATCGATGGTGATCAGATAGCGCACAGGCATGCACTCGTTTCCATACGCATCGCGGCAGTTCTTCAGCGTCACCAGCACCGTGCCCAGATAGTTGTCCACGCGCTCCTCCATCGCTGTGAAGCGCAGCGTCACGTTCGTGCGATCACTATTCAATTCCTCCACGTGGTTCAGCACCACACTGTCGTGCGTGATCTCGAACAGCGTATCCTGCTCCACCGGCTCGGTGAACCAGCAACTCAACGTCACTTCGCCCACACTGATCACCGAAGGAACCTCGCACGACACCATCGGCGACACCGTATCATAGAAGCCATTCACCACAATCGTCTCCGCGTTCATGCTCTCATCCGAGCCAATCACCGCGCCCGCAGCCAGCGAGACGGACCAATCTCCCTGCTGCGTGATAGTGAACGTAAGTTCCACGGTGTAGCCGTTGATTGCCACGCTCTCCAGGACGGCATTGACGCCAGTGACCTTGCTCTCCACGATCGACACCACCGGCTGCGAGAACTCGAGAACCACCACGTTCGGACGACCCGCGGGAATCACGGGGTTTGAGCTGAGGCGGAGCACGCCGTCGGTCGCCACCAGCACAAAGGCGTTGGAAGCGGCGTTCTGGAGGCCATTGGTGGCCGTCAAGGCGCCAGCAGCGACGACGATCGACATCTCGTCGCCCGGAGCGAACTGGACCACAGTGTTGCTGAGCAGAGCGACAGACTCCACGAAGCCCTCGCCTTGCGGTTCCTGCATCACGAAGCTGATCGCGTTGCCGTTCAGCGTGCCGGTCACGTAGGTAGCGAAGTCGGCCGACAGCGAAGCTTGCTTGTTGAATGTCAGCGTGATCGTCACAGGGAGCGCGCTGAACGCAATGCCGCCCTGGATCGTCACCGATTGGACCTGAGGCGGCTCGTTATCCACGACCACCTCGAAGGAGGCGGGCGAGACGGTGTTGCCAGCCAGATCCACGAACGCCGTGGAGGACAGCGACAGCACGCAGCGGAAGGAAGTCGAGAGCAGCACGGGCGTCATGGTGATGGTGACCGTATCGGCCTGCACAGACGTCGACTGCACGGCGAACAGCTGACTCAGAGACATGCCCTCCGCGCCAGTGACCGAATCCAGCACGAACAGCTCTTCGATGGCGTCCGACACATCGGCCATTCGATGGTTGAAGACCAGCTCCACAGAGAAGGCCATCGCGCCGTTCAGCGTGGTCGTGATCACCGGGTCGATGGGCTGCATCACGGGCTGCTCCGCGTAGTACACGATCTCGTAGCGCGCGTACGTCTCCATCGCGTTGCCATAAGCATCCACGATGTTCTGGAGCGAGAACGCGACCACGCCGCTGCCCGTGGGCTGGAACTGGAGCAGGTTCGCGCAGCTCTCCGTGCTGTTGAGCGTTACAGACGTCAGCGAATCCACGTTACTCACCGTGAACTCCACGGGGTGAGTGAAGGTCACACAGGCAGTGACGGGCAGTTCAGAGACGTACGCCTCGGCAGCGACGCTGGCTTCCGGAGCAGCGCGGCTGTAGTGCACCGTCAGCGTGGCAGGGGACGAGGCGCGACCCAAAGAGTCCACGAAGAAGCCCTCCGCGAACTGCAACGTCAGATCGCAGTCCGCATCGGTCTCCCAAGCAACGCTGATCTCCACCTTCTCGTTCTGCACCTGCGTCACAGAGCCCTGGCACGTCAGGCTGCGCGTGAGCTTCGACAGCGTCATCACCACGTTGGCAGGCACCGTGATCGCCAGATGGGCATCTCCGTTCACGAACGCTTCGCCCTGGCTCGGCGTGGCCGTGTCGATCTGCACAGACGACACTCTCTCGCCCACAGTCACCGTGGTGTCGATGAGCGGGTAGGCTTCGTCGATCTCGAGGAACACGTAGCGTCCAGCAGAAGGCAGCTGCCAGTGCGTGCGCACGAAGTCCTCTTCCAGATACAGGTAGCAGCGATTGCCGGTCGTGATGTCCACCGTCAGCACGACGCACTGCGAGGTCACTTCCTTCACGACCGCACTGCTGCAGCCCTGCAGCGCGTTCACGCCTCCCTGGCCGCGCAGAATGCTCCAGTCGTAGCACAGCGTCACGTCGTTCCGAGTGTTGGCAGCGAAGACCGTAGGCGTGGTGCTGATGATCGAAGGCGTGCTCTGGTACGAGCGGAATCCGATCATGATGCTGTACGAGAGACCGCCGTAGCCGTCCTGCGCCGCTCCCTCCAGAATACGGATGAACACCGAGCCCTCCGTCAGACTGCGACCCGTAATCGTCCAGTTGCACAGCGAGTTCGGATAGGCGCTGGTGATCACCGCGTTCTCCGTCAGAATGAGGTCAGGCACGGTGAGATCCATGAGCGCGCAGTCCGTAACCGTCCACACGTCGATCGCGAACTCCTGGGTGTTCACGTACGTGTCGTCCAGCAGGTTGTGAATCTTGTAGCTCAGCTGAGGACCGTTGATCGTGAACTTCGCAGAGCAGTTGTTGCTCGCACCGCCCTTGTTGCCCACCAGATCGGTCACCTCCTTCACCGAGAAAGTGAACGTGCTGTTGCTGACGCAGGTGATCGTGATCAAGAAGGCGGTATCCGACTCCATCGTAATGTTGCGCACTTCGCAGGCGCTCGGGAGGTCCAGATTGGATTCCGCGAGCGGCTGGCACGGCTCGCTCAGCTCTCCCGGAATGGTGATCGTGTTGAGCACGGTGCTCTGCGCGGGGCAGCGCAGCGTGACCGTCGGACTCACGAAATCGTAGCTGAACTCCATGTCGTTCGACCGCAGATTGTAGTTGTTGTGGGCGTCCATCATGCACTGCTCCTTCACATACACCGTGAAGACGCCGCTCGACAGGCTCGCACGCATGTCTCTGTTCCGCACCGTCACATCCACGACCTGGTTGGACGTCAGCGACTGCTCCTCCATCGAGAAGCTCACCTCCAGATTCTCCGCACCGACAACCTCGAAGCACGAGGTGTTGAAGCTCTCCATCAGCTCGCTCACGCTCATATGCATCTGCAGAGTCTCCACCGCAGGACCGAAGAGCGTGCTGCCCATCGCGGACAGCGTGATGACTGGAGGATAGCCGTCCACGTAGATCACGCGGGAGAAGGAGGCCGAAGGGAGGCCCGTCAGCTCGATCGCGGCGCCCTCCAGAATCGTCACGTTCAGATTGCCCTCCTGGGTCAGAGGACACACGCCCCTGTAGGAGAACACGTTGTCCGTCTGGTTGCGCGTGAACACGCAGTTGGTCAGCGGCTGACCGCCCTCGAACTGCAGCAGGAAGTAGCTAGCGGGCTCCTTGTCTCCGAACGAAGCCATGTCGGTGAAGGAAACCTCAACCACGAAGTTCTCCTCCTCCTCCGTCTTGGGAGTCATCTCGAAGACAGGCACCGTGGGCGTGTTGTCGAAGTAGATCTGGAACTGCGTCGCCTCGTTGAAGAGTCCGACGCTGTTGATACACGCCATGGCCGGAATGTAGATCGTCATGTTCTTGTAGCGGTCCTCCGGATAGGTCTCGAAGTTGAAGAACGTGATGGTGAACGTCTCCAAGATCGTGCCGTTCTCGTCCACGCTGTCGCTGATCTTCTCAATGCGAGCCACATCGCGGTCGTACTCGAAGACGCTCGGGAACACGTACTCGTAGCTCGGACACAGCCACACATAGTCGATGCTCAGCGTGAAGGTGTTCTGCACCTGGCTGGTGTAGCGAGGAGCATCCACCGTGATGCGAGCGCCCTCGTTCAGCGTCAGAGGCGTCAGGGTGTTCGACACAAAGTTCGGGTTGCCGGCAAAGTCGGTGAAGCGGCCTTCCGGAACGAAGAAGATGATGTACGTTCCGTTCACGGGCTTGGGATCGAACTCGTAGTGGCACGTGTGGTCGTTCAGCTGGCTCACCGTCACGGACACTTGCTGAACGGCGATTCCGATCGAGTTGCACGTGAACAGCGTGTTGGGCTCCGAGATCGAGAACTGGATATCGATCGTGTTGGTGTACAGGTTCGACGACTCCGTCGACAGAGTCACCTGCGGACGCGTGTAGTCCATCTCCACCGACTGCATCACCATCGTGATGGCATCCTGCGAGAACACCTCATTGCCGTAATCATCGCTCAGCAAAATGTTCTCCACCAGGTCCACCTTCACCGTTCCCTCCAGACAGTTGCTCAGCTTGTAGCTCACCACGCTCTTGTCGTCCTGCACCACGTGCGACAAGAACGCAGCATCGCAGCCTTCCACCGTCACCAGGCTGATCGACTCGTTGAAGCGGTACAGCGGCTCGTCGAAGAAGATCGCCACCACAGGCGCGTGGTTCCAGTACTGCTTCAGCGTCTCGGGGAACTCGGTCGTTCCCTCCTCCACGAACGCCAAGCGACCCACCGGAGCCGCGAAATCAAACTCGATCGTGTCCTCGAACGCCAAGTTCTTGTTGCCGTAGCTGTCGACTACCTTCTCGGCCTCCGCTCCGTAGACGCAGAATCCGTCCATCACCGCCAGAGAGATCGAGGGCAGCACCGACAGAGACGAGCTGAGCACATAGCCCAGAGGGCGGCACGCGTTCCGGAAGTACATCAGCTCCGTAGGCAGCGCCGAACCGATCGTCGGGAGGAAGCCCTCATGGAACGAAGCCGTGAAGACGCCCTCGTTTGCGACAGAGCTCCAAGGCAGGTCCACGGACTGCCGCACATCGATTCCGCCCTCCGGATAGGTGAGATACACGCCCTCCAAAGACAACTTCGCGGAGGTGGAGCGGTACTGCTCCTTCACGAACAGACCCGCAGGAACGGTCACCGACTGCATCTCGCTGGTCATCTCGAAGGTCAGCTGCACTGCCTCCTCTCCCGCCAGGATCGTCATCATACCCTCGCTCACCACACTCTCGTTCAGCGTCCAGTCCGCAGCAGGCGAGCGCAGCACGATGTTCTTAGCGCCCAGCGTGTTCGTCTTCATGTCCACCAGATGGACATCGCGCAGCAAGGTCGCATCCACCGACTCGCCAGCCAGCAGAATCGGCTCCGACGCGTACGTCGCCGAGGCTACCGCATCGCTCGTCTTGCAGTAGCCAGCGTTCAGCGTGATCGTCGCAGGCACCTCCAAAGCACGCAGGGCAAGCGTCGTTCTCGAGGGAGTCTCGCTCACGAGATAGGCCTCCATGTTGCTCACCACAGGCTCTCCCCACTCGGCACAAGGAATGGACGTGTCCACCGTGATCATCTGGAGACGCTTGGAGGAATCGAAGGACACGGTCAGCACAGGAGGGTTGCGGAGATAAATGATCGTGTTGTAGGGGATCATGTTGTACGTCACGGGAATCAGAGTTGTGTTGGTGGTGTAGGAAATGGCTCCCTCCTCCATGGACACATACACCTCGTTGGCATCGACCGGACGAGGGAACGCGATGCATCGCATTCCGTCTTCCTCCTTGTCCTCGGTCGGCAGAATCTGATTGCCAGCAGTCACGTGGATCTTGCTGTGGTCGCGGTAAATGGTGTAGTTGACTCCGAACGTGAAGCAAATGTGGATCTCCGTATCCAGAACCTTCTCGTACGCCGTGTAATCCATGGGGTACTCCACATACGACACCTTGGGAGCACTCGTGAACCGATCCTTCTGGCTGGTCAGCCAGTAGGTCACGTTCGTGACCTTGTCAAGAACATGGAAATAGGTGTTCGCGTAACGCGTGAAGTAGTATTCGTTGATCGACATGTAGTTCACTCCACGAGGCACAGGATACGCAGACTCTCCCACAGCGACGCTGTAGCCCAGAAGCTGGGTGGGCAGCGAGGAATACTCCGAAGTGATGTCCATGTAGTCGTTCGTCTGCTCGGCCCACTCCGAAGAAGACCAGTACAATCCGAAGATGAAGCGGATGTGGTCGTAATCGTCATACTGCGAGTCGCTGTGATGATTGCCCGTCGTGTAGATGAACAGGTTATCTTGGAAGTCCAGCAAGAAGCCGTGCATTTCGTAGTTGAACGAGTAGTCGTTCGACACATTCGCGGGAATCTGGCGATCCAAATGCTGCGTCATGGCCACGTAGCTCCAGGACACCACCGTTCCAGCCTCCGTATCCTTCTTCGGGGTCCAGCTGATGCAGCCATCCGTTCCGTGATCGATGAAGCCGATCAGGTCGCTCACCCATCCAGAATCCGTGAAGAAGATCTTATCCCACGTGAACACCTTTCGAAGCGGAACGAAATCAAACTCGGGCGAGTAGTACGAGTTCACACGCACGATCACGATATCGCCGGGATTGAAGGCGGGATCGTACGCGAACTTGAACTGCGACTCCGTAAACTCGACAATGAAGGCTCCATCGCACGTCACTCGGTCCTCATGGATCTCGATCACGTGGTGATCGATGGTGTAGGTATGCACATCCACAACTACGCCATTGGATTGCCGACTCACGACCATGTGCACGTTGTGATCGGACGTGAACGCGTTCGAGAAGTCGCAGCGACTCGTCGGCATGTCGGAGCTCAGCAGGAATTCCAGACGGAAGTTGTCGCTGGGCAGGATGTAGGTCTCGTTCTGCGAGGGAGCACCCAGATTCTCCTGCGACAGCTGGAGCACCATCGTGATACGCGAAATGAAGATGTTCACCGGGGTCTGCTGCTTCACAGGAGCTCCCGAAATCGAGGTCACCACGTCGTGGTTCAGCGAGACATCAAACTGCGCAGTGTCCTGCACGATGCAGAGCGTAACGTCCATAGCCAGATGGCTCGGGTCCATGACAAAGTTCTTCTGCTCCACAGCGACATTCGAGACATTGTATGACAGCACGTTCTCGCTCGAGGCCTTCACCGGCGAGTCAAACGTCACATGCACAGCCGCGCAGCCCTCGCTTCCGCGTGTGTACGTCAGCGAGTAGGTGGGCTGAGGAACCTTCACCACCATAATCGAAGAGCGCGTGGGGTAGTTGAGGACACTGCACGTGCTCGGAACAAAGCCCACGAAGTCGATCACTCCAGGAGCCGCTCCATCCACCAGCACGCCGAGCAGCTCCGTTCCCTCGATCGACAGATCGATATTCTCGCCACGGAACGACAAGTCGTTCACCTGGCAGCCGTTCTCCGTAAAGCCAGACACGTCCACCACAAAGGAATCCTCCGATACAAACAGGTCTTCGTTCGAGCTCCAGCCCTGTAGGGTTCGCGAGCTGGACATGATTCTGCCCACGTTGATAGGAATCACGTTCTGCGTGTTCGATCTCTGGCCCCAGTACGAATACAGCACGCCAGCCTTGATCTCAATGTTGCTCTGGCCGACGCTTGTCGGGTTCAGCACGAACACGTCCACTAAGTAAGCATCACTAGAGGTTACAGGGCGCAGACGTCGCTACATTGTCGTTTGAACTTTCACAACTTTCAAACAGTCGGGGAAAGTAGCGATTTCGGAAACATTGGTCACATGCTGAAGGACGGTCCAGCCTCCATCAATGCGAACAGTTGCAAAATCAGGAACTTCAGAGATGTCACCGATAGAAGCCTTCACATCCACACTCTGAGCAATGTAGCTGTCTACAGTTCAAGTTCGCGCGGCAGAACCTACAGGAAGCAGAAACACTATACTCGGGAGAGAGCTCACTACCAGATCTAAACGCTCCCTCGCCCAGAAGTAAGGTAATCATTCCGATTGTTTTGTCCTCAACTTCAGCAGTAATCACAAACTCTGTAGACTCTCCAGAGGACGGAGACAACGAAACAAATCTAGGAACAAACACTCTAGCAGCATTTTCTAAAACAGCAGGTTCTGAAAAGGTACAGCGAAAGGACACCGTTCTCGAATATTGGTCCATATTCGGTGCCTCGCACTGCACTGACAATGCAGAAACTGCAGCACATATGACTAACGTAACAATCAAAGTCTAGAATGTCAGACACCGCCCAAGCGGGCAAAGAAACCTACCGAGTGCATATTTCTCTTCTTAAATTGTCAATATCAGCTAAATATGGAAGAAATCAACCAAAATAACGAACCGAGTGGTTCAAATAACTGGCGCAAAATGGAAAAATCCCCGCTCACCACAACTTTAAACACTTTACCCGTTTTTCTTTCTAACAAACAGAACATCAACTAGTGAGATGAATTACCCCTTCGCTTTGCTGCTGCCGCTGCTGCTGATGCGTGATTCTATTCTTCAAAATCCCTCCATTCCGTACTGTGTAAGGATTCTCTGAAGCCCGCACAAAAATCCGGACCGGCACTCCGTTCAGATTGAACTCTTCTCGCAGGCAGGAGCACAAGTAACGCAAATAGGTTGCATCCAGTTCTTTCACATTGCAAAACAACACAAAGCTTGGCGGTCGCGCCTTTGTCTGCGTGATATACCTACACAAACATAACCAATGTATTCCCATCCATACTTCAACTTCACTTCCTTGCCCGATTTCGTTCGAGGAGGAGGATGGCGGAAGGAAATTGCATCGAGCCATCGATTCAGAATTCCTGTCGAGATGCGGGTCCGCCATCGGTCAAAAACATCAAGCGCCAGCGGGAAGACAGCATCGGTTCCCCTTCCATAGAGTGCCGAAACGACGATCGAAGGAACGTGTCCAGCCTACTTCCACAACGCGACTCTGCCGCCTACCTGAGGCACGAATCGATCCATGTATTGGACAAGCTGCTTTTTGGCGGCTGCGGGCGACTGCATCACGTCGCTTTTGTTGAGAATCACGAAGAGTCCGCGGCCCTTATCGAGGACCTCCTTCGCGAGAGCGAGATCGTGTTTGGTGAGGAGGCGACTGCCGTCCAAAATAAGAGCGACGACGTGCGAATAGTCGAGTTGTTTGTGAGCGTGGAAGACGCTGAGCGAGTTCAGAGAGGGCGGCAAAACGCCGTCGGCCTTGGGGATTCCGGGCGTGTCGACGACGCGGATACGTCGATTGTGGAATTCGATCTCCGTGCTCACCGTGTCGCGTGTGAGTCCCGGAATACTCCCCGTAATGAACCGATCTGTCTTCAAAAGAGTGTTGAGAAGCGTCGATTTCCCGCTGTTTGGGATGCCCAAAATCGTCAGCTGCAAGATCTCATCATCCAGATCGCGCGTGTTCTTTTCGTTACTCGGCTCGCTCGATTCTACCATGTCCACGTTCGTTCGCACGCGATATCCCTGCCGGCTCCGCGACGCCTTCGCTTCCCTTGCCTCCAGAATCTTCGCGTAGCGCTCTCGCTCCGCGGCTTTGTTCAGATTGATCAAATCGCCGAACGGCTGCAGCACTTCGAACAGATCCAGCAAGCCCTCGCCGTGCTCCGCGGAAACGCCCACAGGCTCGCCCAGACCCAGCTGGTACACTTCAGATTTGAGTTCTTCCCAGGGCGGGCAGTTTCCATTGTCGTCTGTGTGGGAGAAAATGCCTTCGGTCTGCTCGTGGGAAAGTGGAAAAGAGGTACCTTGTTGACTACGACGAAGATTCGGGAATGCAGCGATTTCTGCTTCTTTCGGAGCCATCTGGGGTTGAGACAAAAAGCGGAAACGGGTACGAGGCGATGGCGCGGTCTTCGTTCGTCACCCCGACCTTGCCGTCGAGGAGGAAGAACAGAACATCCGCTTTTTCCACGGCGTATTCCGTTTGTTTGTTGATTTGCTGCTCGATTCTAGGCAATAAGGCAAGTATTGAGCGGGATACAGGCTGATGTTTTTGTTTTCAGGAACATACCCTCCGGTGTCGATCAGAGTAAACTCCAGACCCGAGATATGCCCTTTTCCCTCACGACGATCACGCGTTGTTCCAGCTTCTTTGCTCACCAGTGCATCGCGTCTGCCCACGAGTCGATTGAACAAAGTAGACTTCCCGACGTTGGTTCGTCCAACCAGAGCAACCGAAAAGTGGTTCAGCTGGACCACTTTGTCGTTCCTTTCCTTTTTCTCCTTTTTTTGTTTCAAACTAGTGCCAATAGAGTACCAAAACATACTCAATCTTCATGTACTGCTCATGATTCGATCCTATGAATCTCCTCTGAGTTGCAGTCGATAGAAAAGAAGAGTAGGCTGTTACACGATCCCAAACAACCGAAGAACACGGAAAACATCCCAGTCTCGAGATTCCTCTCCCAGAATGAATGGGTCTAATGCAACGAGCGAGTCTGAACGATTTGGCTCCAGTTCTGCCGAAAAGACAAAACATGTCTGGCACTCTGAACCAAATCGAGCGAAATACCCATTTTAAATCAATACCTATCACCTTGATGCAACAAACAAGCGGTCACAACTTAATACTTCTTCAAATTTTCTTTCAGTTCAATTCCCGCATCCCGTCGCAACTGCTTCCACTTTATGCAATCGAACAACTTCATCCCGTTAACCACACCACTCAGCTTGTCCACGATGGCACCCAATCCCGACTGCGTCGAGTCCCAAAACTGGCCAAACTCCATAAAATCCTTCGCGTTTTCCTCCGACCCCTCGCAGTTCGGATTCTGCACCTCATACGACGGCAGCATGCTCAGCGTGTACGCCTCGTACTGCTTCTTGACGTCCTCGTTCTGCCGGAACACGCGCGTCTGGATGGTTCTACGCTCGACTCCCTCGCCTATCCGCACGACTCCAAGCTGGTATCCACGAAATACGACCCCAGCAACAGATGGAACACGTAGCCTTCATGCCGCAGATACTCCGTCAGCTGCGTCGAGTCGAACCCGGGCGTGACGAAATCCTCGTCGTACGGAATATCGAACGAGTTGTGGCGACGCATGTAGAAACTATCCGTCAATCGGGGAAACTGGGGAAACTAGTCATCCAGAGGCTCCATGCAGGACAGTTTCCGCATATAGTACTTGTCCTTATTCGGCTCAAACCACGATTTCTATTCTGAACCGCGGGACCCTGGCCTACCATAAGGAACTTTCCCCGCGGGAAGCACTTTTTGGCGCGTAAACAGGCGGCCGCGTCGTTCAGAGTCTCGTGATCGCTATGTTTGAGAGGCGTTTTGTTCGGACTTTTCTCCGTAAAAGGCGGGAATGGCGACCAAATGGATGGGCTCGTAGAGCACGCTGAGCGGAATCTGGCGAAGCCGCGTGTAGAGATTGGCGGAGGGCAGCATGGAGGGCTCGATCTCGATGAAGTGCGTGGTGAAGACGGTCGAGATGGCGACGTTGCGGAGGAAATTGGCGGGGAAGACCGCGTTGTAGAAGTCGCTGTAGACCACGGTGATGGTCATCTGGCTCAGAGGGAGGGACTTGAGCGCTTCGAGGACGGTGGAGTGGGAGGAGGCGTAGGGACCAGCGAAGACGCAGAGATTCACGGGACTAGAGATTAGAAAATAAAAAGAGAAAGAGAGAGAGATACCCTTGCCACAGCGTGGGAAGGACGGACATGCTAGATAGTTTGTCGATTCTGAGGTAACAAAAAAAGACAAAAAAATACTCAAGAACACTCACCAGAGTGATGTCGTACGGGAACGCATCGTTGTGGATAACTGGGTTCAAAAGAGAGAAGAAAAAGAGTTACAGTTCTTAGGTTTCACGTAAGCTTGCTCCCCTTTCACTGTATACACCTTAATGGTCGCGGAATAACGAATCAAGCTTGCAACATCGATAGTTTCCTCTGTTATCGAGCTGGCGATCAACCCCGTCTGTTTCGCTCGCTCATACACGGCTCGACGCACCATTTTGGGAACGAACGACGTATCAAGGCGCTTTGGAGGCTTCTCTCTTTCTCCGATCACAACTCGGATCGGTCTCTTAGCTTCCTGAGAGACCAGTTGAAAACCATCCTTGTTCGCATCAGAAACATACATCTTGTTTTGGAATTTGCTGATAGGCTCCTGGAACAGCTTCAACTTGGCTGTCAAAGACTAGCATCACACCAAAACACGAACCACTACATTTTCCGGGAGGGAGCGCAATAGTACATTCAGAAAAACGACGATCGAGCACACTAAGATTCTTGGGCATTACGAAACATAGAAAACTCATACAGGTCCATGATCAGATTCACGATTGAGTACTGTCCATTCGAGTTTTTCGCCATCTTGTCTCTCAACTCTTTGAATGAGTTTCGGGTTGAAACTCCAAGAAGCGTTTCATGAGTGTCCCAATTCCAGTGTATTTTTAGGTTCTGTTAGGGACCATATATAGCTCTCCGTCCGTATATTATTGATAATCCGTTAGTAAGAGACACGAAACGATGAGCTCAAAGCTGTTAGTTGCTTTGTTTTGTCTGTCATCTGTTGCTTATGCAGCGTGTAATGCGGATGATGTGACCTGTGAAGATCCCATCCGGTTTGAACAAAGTACTTGCTGTCGCGAAAATTGTGATGAGTAGACCCGTCTAATTTTTATATTTCAAAGTATTCTCCTTATTATGGAGAGACAGACGTTCTTCTTGATACGACGTTCCAACTCCAGTTCACCGATTCCATTTATATTTCTGAGGGACTGGATCATTACTTTTTCCTTCTAAACCAGTTTAGTGGAGTGTCGACCGAACTCCCTGCTAGTTGCATAAATGTGGTGAGCGGACACACGCTGGAGATCTCCGTTATGGCTTGTTTGGGAGATATTCTCGAGGCTAACACCGTGTATGTTCTTTATATTTCCCAGCGTCTCAACGACACTGGCATTCAAACTTTGTCGAGCGTGAAGGGAATCAGTTTGAGCGAAGCCGCTTTCGGCCTCCAGTACAAGAGCATTTCGTTCCGCACCATTCAGCGTATATTTCGATTCTCCGTTTCAGTTCTAGACATTTCTGCGGACGTCGTTCCCGAGAAGTGCTCTCCCGCCTTCGGATCGACCAATGTTCCCCTGAAGCCGGTCATCACGATCGCGTTCAGCTCTGCTGTGCATCTGGGCGTTGGAACCATCGAGCTTCGTTCGTCCACGCACCACCCCTCGGCGTCCGTGACGGTGGATGTGTCGGACAAGACACACGTGGTGCTGGGCGAAGATCTGAAGTCCCTGCAGGTCTACGACGTGTCTCTGATGGGCAACGAGCAATACCAAGTGCTGTTTGACGCTGGAATCGTGCTGAGCGCGAGCGGAAGCAAGTGCGGAACGACGGACGCGTTCGTGTTCACGACGGAGCCTGGTAGGTCGCGTGGAAGCCGTGTGTAAATTGGCAGATGTGGAGAAGCCGTTCATCAAGATCATCAGTCCTGCCAACTTCAAAACGGGTCTTCCGAAGAATCTCCGCGTGTACGTGGTGTTCAGCGAGAGCGTCCGACCCAACGTGGGCATGATCAGTTTCCTCTCGGAGAAGGAGGAAGTGGCGGTGAACGTGCAGAGCAGCGGAGAAGTGCGCTGCGAGGGCGACACGTGCACGATTCAGCCGAACGGAGGCTTCCCTGCGGGGACCTACGAGATGTCGTTCAGTGAGTCGACGTTCGTGGATCAGTCGGGGAACACGCTGGTGGAGGGCGTGGCCTCGCATGTGTTCTCGGTGACCGAGGAGAGCTGTGGAATGGCGTTCCTGAGCGTGAACGAAGGCGAAGAGTGCTTCTGTCAGAGCTTGGAGAACCAGTGTCAGTGTCGATGTGGAGAGACATACTTCGTTAAGGACTACTAAATGTCATACTCACTGTATTTCTATCGAGTGTTTGTTGGAAACAGAATAGGCTCCAAGCGAATGGACTCGCTCATACAAGCTTAGAAACTGCGCAGTGAGCTTGCTTCGGTTCAAGTCGCAGCTTTGATCGGACTGGTTGTCGAGTGAATCGGTGGATGAATGCGTGGATGAGCTATTCAAAGAATGGATGGATGAGCTATCCGAAGAATGCGTGGATGAACTATTCAAAGAATGGATGGATGAACTATCCGAAGAACTCTCTGATTCGCTCTCAGTCTGCGTCTCCAGTCCGTTCTCACTTCGTTTCAACTGCCTCTCGTCTTCGTTCATTGCTCTCCGTTCCTGTTCAAAGAACAGCAGCTCCAGCTCCACTACAGTACTGAACGCTTGCTGCACTTTCTCTCCCAGCTCCTTTTTCAGCACCGAAACCAGCAGTTTCTTCTGCTGAAAAGCTTCTCTACTCTTCAGATTCGCTCTCTTCGCTCACTTTGGACAGCCGACACCGCGACGGCGCAAGGCTCGACGCCATTTCTCTGGATTCGATCCACACTGGTCCTCCACGATCTCTTCAGGCGAGTGGAACAGCTGGATGTATCCATTCACGTGGGCTTCCCCGCGGATATGAAACAGTATGATCGCCTCCAGCTCGTTCACCAAGGCAGATCGAGGCTTGTCGCCTACCACGCCGTCGTTCTCTTGGATGCTCCGAGCGAGCTCTTCGCGTGGCATGCATGCAGGGAAGTTCATTGAAAGATACTCCATGTCTTCGAGATTTGCTTCGGGAAGCTCGTTTTGCATGAGTAGATAGATCAGGGTGGACTGGGTGGATAAAGGAAAGCAGAATGGAACGCAAAAGATATTATACAGATTTATACAAAAGGTAGAGTCTCTCAATCTCCATTGGATCGAAGGGATCGAATGAATCCACTGAAAAATCGAGGCCTTGCTTTGAAAAGTACAATAGACTGCTTACCCACGTTGTTCATTCGCTTTATTAGGTGCTCACACCAGACTTTGGATACAAGAGTGCGTAACTCCTCATCTGAATATTTACAATCATAATCTAGAATCTGTCAAACCAAAATAGCATAATACTGTCTCTGGAAAAAACTGAAATCTCCTCAGACTCATATGGAATGTCGATCGAACCATGGCGACACTTCTTGTGCTTCCGGTTCTTTTTCTTTTCACTGGATCTGGGTTGGTGGATTCTCATGGTAAAAGAATACCGAAAAACATACTGCTTCTGCTTACAGGCTATGATATTGAGACGCGATGCTTCTTGGTACAACTGTTCTATCGATAACTAGAAATGATCCAAAAGATCAGGTCGCACTTTTCCTATCTGACTTGGTTTTCTCTGAAACATCAATATCACAGGAGTCTAGATATCAAATGATTTCCCAGTATCCAACATTATGTTGATAGTCAATGGCTGCTGGAGCAAAATCGAACGAAACATGCCGATTTCGAACTCTCTCCCTATCTGGTTCTTCCACAAGACACTCCATTAAAAAAATGAGATATTCCAGAAACGACGAAAATGTTGACTATTTTTGACTTGTTGTAGGCAAGTGATATGCCCTTGACAGTTCGCCATTTTCACCGTATAAACAAATATCGACTACAAGCAGCCCTTACGAATGGTTATGAAACACCCAATTAACTCAAAAATGGTCATCGAGTCTAATCAGCACTCTGGCATTGTCCTGAATGATATGCCACACACTCAGCATAAGCAAAGCAATCGTATAGTCGCACCGTTCGCCCCCAAAACAATCCTTTTCCGACAATCGAAAGTGCTCCACGAGTCTGCAGTGCCTTAGCTCACTTATTCCAGAAATTACATTTCTCTACAGGGGCTATCTATTGAAGTAAGAGGATAATGTTGTTGCACGCCTTTTCTCGAGTTTGCTTATTCCTTCATCGCTCTCAGCCTCCTTATTCCAAAATGCGTATTTTCCAAAAATACGACAATCCCATAAATGAGAGCGCGAGAGACACCCCTTAGAGTAGAACGGGCAATGGGGGGTGAAAATGGGTCTTTAGTGGTGTCAACGAGTGTTTCTTGAGTCATTAGCGTTTGTTTGTATCGATTTCCAATACCGGGATGTTCCAGTAAAAAGAAAAGTCTCGTTCAAGGAAAACCTTGCGCGTGTCAGTTGCGCACGGTTTCGAAGTGCTCTTTGTTTTTGATATCATTTCCTGACTACAAAGAGGGGGAAGGTTGCAACATTTTCGTTTTCAGACATCTAGTGTATTGACCAATCAGATTGCAGCAAGTGTACAGTAATGGCAATTGCCTATAATAATCAAGTACGGTTAATCACTCTACAAATCGTTTTCCTTACCAATTTGCATTAATTTTTAATTTTCTTCCTTTTTATGTTGAGCAGAGTCTGCCTACTCACCAAGGCTGTAGATGTTTTTCACCGAGGCCTGACTTTTTAGACCCCCCGCATGGTCCTGCGCCGTGTTGCCACCTCCACTTCACCCCTTATTGATGAAGTGTTCGGTATGTACTCATTTAACGACGAAACGCTCCAGAAGTCGGTGCCTAAATTCGCGTATGTGGAAGCGAATCGAAGTGAGGTATAGATACGAGAAGGTCCTGGAAGCGAGAAGGAGCCCTGAGATTGAGTTGGATAAGGATACTGCCGATGTGGTTGCCCAGGCCATGATGAAATGGGCGGAGAGCCTGGGAGTGACCCACTTCTGCCACTGGTTCCAGCCGCTGTCTGGAGTAACGGCTCAGAAGCAAGATGCTTGTTGGTGTGTGCAACACGATTAATTTTAGTTATTTCCCGTGTGAACGGCAAGACGGTTTCCAATTTCACGGGTAAGAAGCTGATTAAAGGAGAGCCCGATGCTTCCTCATTCCCCAACGGAGGTTTACGAGAGACGCACATGGCTCGTGGCTTTACTGTGTGGGACCCCAACAGTAATCCGATTATTGTGAAGCACGACAACGGAGGCACCTTGTACATCCCGTCGGTGTTTATTTCCTGGACGGGAGACGTTTTGGATCAGAAGATTCCCTTCCTCCGTTCGAACGAAGTGCTCATCCGCGAAGCGGACCGCTTGTTCCGCATCATCGGCCATCCGCAGACCAACTACAGCGTGAACTGCGGCATTGAGCAGGAGTTCTTCCTAATCCAACGCGAGTACTACGACAAGCGTCCCGACCTCAAGCTTACCGGTCGCACCTTGTTCGGTTGTCCTGCTCCGAAGGGCCAGGAACTCCACGACCAGTACTTCGCCGAAATGTCCACCAAGTCGCTGAACTTCATTCACGACGTGGAGATCCAGATGTGGAAGCTTGGCATTCCCTCCACCACGCGTCATCGCGAAGTGGCTCCCGGACAATACGAGCTGGCTCCGCTGTACAACGAGAGCATTCTGGCCACCGATCAGAACCTGCAGTGCATGGACATCCTCAAGAAGCAGGGACGAAAGCACAACCTGAAGGCTCTCTTCCACGAGAAGCCTTTCTACGGAGTGAATGGATCTGGAAAGCACAACAACTGGTCGCTCAGCAGCAAGGAAACGCCTACGTTCTTGGAGCTGGGATCGCATCCTGAGAAGAACATTCCGTTCATCGTTTCGGTGGCCGCATCGATTCGAGCGGTGGACAAATACGGAGATTTGCTGCGTGCCTGCGTTACGTCGGCTTCCAATGATCATCGATTGGGCGGTCATGAAGCGCCTCCTGCGATTATGTCGATGTATCTGGGCGAAGACGTGAGCAACGCGTTGGAATTGTACATGAAGCGAACGAACGCGACGCCGTACTGCGTCAACGACAATCTGAAGACGGGAATCAGTTCGATTCCGAGCATCAATCGCGAGGGAAACGACCGAAACCGAACCTCTCCGTTCGCGTTCACTGTGAATAAATTCGAGTTCCGTGCGGTGGGATCGAACCAGAGCGCGGCACGAAGCAACATGGTGATCAACACGATCATGGCCGATTCGCTGCGCTACGTTGCGGATATGATTCTGTTCAACAAGCGGAAGATGTGCTTAGAAGACGCCATCCAGCGAACTGTGACGGATATCGTGAAGAAGCACAACCGGATTATCTTTAACGGCAATGGATACTCGCAGGAGTGGGTCTCGCGGGCTGCCGAGCTGGGTCTTCCCAACAACGTCTCGTCTCCCGAGGCCATCAAAGCGTGGACCGATCCGAAGAACGTGGAGCTGTTCACCTCCATGGGAATCATGAAATCGAGCGAGATCAGCTCGCGTCAGTCGATTCTGTGGGATCAGTACAACAAGGATATCTTGGTGGAGGCTCGCTGCATGCGCGCTCTCGCCACGGAGCGCATCTTCCCCGTTGTTTTCAAGTCGCAGACGCAGTTCAACGCGTCGCTGTCGGCGCTGGCTGCGAACTGTCCGGCGGTGGATCGAAGTGCGCAGGTGTCGTACGTGAGCAGCATGGGCGAGGAGCTGAACAGCGCGATCGCGGCGCTGAATCAGCTGGAGAAGGTGATTAAGACGATCGAGACGCCGGGATTGATCGAAGGCGAGGAGGCGCAGTCGTACTTCTGCCGAGACGACATTCTCCCGGCGATGGCGGAGCTGCGAAAGCACGTCGATCGGCTGGAAGGCATGGTGGATTTCCGGGAATGGCCATTGCCGTCGTACTCCGCGATGTTCTTCAACCAGAGTTAAGATCGAGAAGATGGTTGGAGCTGTGGTTTGTCAGTTTAAGAAACAACGCTATGTTAGTAAACGGTTTAACGCAATGATTTTGTTTGTTGCAATCTGCTTTGAGTGAGGACCTAGGAGGAAGTGCATGTGAGTTCACTCCTTTTGATGAGGTCATTCTTCTATAGATTGATGACATTCAATTCTATGAAACCTATTTCATTCATTCAATCAATCAATCAATCATTCATTCATTCATTCATTCATTTCCCTTCTGTTTCTCACAAACACACCAAAAGACTTTTAGTCCAGCTTGGCTTTCTTCGCCTCTTCTTCTCCCTCTCCCTCTCCTTCATTCTCTCGTTCTCTCTTCTCTCCCTTCTCGTTCTTCTTCGCCTTCTCCCCATCGATCATCAGCGCCTTCATCTTCGTCCACACTCCGTTCGCCTTCTTTCCCTTCAGCACCTGCAACTTCAGCGGCTTCTCCGCGATCGTCGTCGTTTTCAGCTCCTCCACCGCCTTCGCCGCTTCTTCGCACGTCGCAAAGCGCACCATCGCCTGGTTCTCGCCCTCCGTGTGCAGCACGAAGCTGTACTCCGTCAGGTACGGCTTCAGCACTTCGCGCAGCTTCTCCGTCGTCGTTTCGGTGCCGATGTTGCGGATCTGAACGATGCTGTCGCGGCAGAAACTCAGCCGCTTGTTGCGCTCCTCGAACTCCTTCTCGCGCTCCGAGAGCAGCTGCTTCTCTGTGATCTCCACGCCGGCGAACACGATCTTCTTCTCCATGAACGCGGCCGCTTCCTCAGCCGTCTCGAACTCCACATTCACCGATCCCTTGAACTCGCGAGTGCTCACGAAACGACGCATTTCGATGAAGCGAACTACGAAGATGAATCACAAAAACGGACAGAAATACTGTTGCCGTAGGGCTTTAAGCCTTCAAGAAGATCGTCCAGCGTCGCACTGGTAGGGAAGCCACGCATATGGACCGTGCGGAGAGAAACATCGTTTTCAGGCTTTCTGAAATCAATGTTGCTCTTCACCTTGGTAAAGTCGCTGTTGAACTACATGAAAGCTTGCAACGAAACATACGGCTAGCTTATCGGAACTCTTAATCGCATCAACAACAACCTTAGGATCGGTTGTGAGCTGCTTCAGACGATTGAACGTCATGAGGGTTTCAATGGTCATAACTACCTGTAAAATACGTCTCGTACACGATACATCCCTCAGGATCAGCAGACATCTTTTCCCTCATAAACTTGTCGCGTCTCAAATTCAGTCCACTGAAATAGAACTCCACTTGCTTCCGAATCTTGCTAGCCAAGTCTTCCGACATGATAAAATGGTATGGAACCAATTGTAAAAGAGCAACAAAAATATCCCCGACTTTTGGAATTCCGAAAAACAAACACATTTTACCCATTTCAAATCTAAACTACGTAAAAACAGCTATTGCGAGCCGCGGCACGCCCCGTCGAGAACAAAAGAATGAAAATCCTCTGGAATATACACGTCGGGAGCCCCAAACTCTTCCTACACAGTAATTCCAAAACCTCGCTTCTCTCTACCATTGCGATGCTTTTCATATGCTGAATCGTTCGAAAGTAGTGAAGATCGTCCAAATAGTCGTAGCGATTGGAGATGTGGTTCAGTATTAATTGCTTCGCTTTCATCTCCCTCGCAAACGCTGCAGCCTCAATCGCAGTGCTGTGTCCTTTCGAATGGACTTTCTTCTCCAGCAAGCGACGCTGCTTACAACTCAGCGCGGCCGTGGCTTCCATGGCGTCCGGTTGGAGCTGCATATTCCCAATGATGTGTTCGGATCGCTCAAAATCCTGGGGTAAGGGACCGACCGTCGCTTCATGCACCAAAACATCACAGCCACGAATCAAATCGGCCATGCGTCTAGAACTCAGAGATTTGGTTCTGCCTCTCTACTGTGGATTTCTAGTGTCGCCGAGGATCGAAATATGCCTTCCTTTTTTCACTTCCGAGATGAGTTCACGATTGGAAGGATCGAGAACGGTTTGATCGGGTAAAACGCATATTTCTCCGCTCTGCAATTAAGTTACGCCCGAATACACGACATACCTTAAAGCGTTTCAACACATCATAAATGGTTCCGCCTGACTTTTCGATTTCGATTTTGTTTCTTTGGAGAAGAGGCACCACGACATCTGCATTTACGTTCCCTGGCTGGTCCTTTTCAAAGTAAGAGTATCCAAATGTGGTAATGGGATGAGAAACAATTCCCGCCAAAACGCTGCCAAAGTCCTCAGACACACATTTCCATTCGAATTTGTCGTTGGGATACAGCGCTCTTACGGTGATGCGATCTCTGTTGATTCCACTAGCAGGAAGAGTACTACAAGGTTGATCTGGGAGACAGAGCTCTGTGATATCGATATTGCATTGGATATGCGATTCGCACACATCAAAACAACTGCTGATGTAGTTCCCCAAGCCAGAAGGTCCATAGAGGTGGATCGGCGATTCCCTTAGCAATTCTGGATTTTTCTCAAAATTGATGCCTAAAATGACAGAGGGAAGACCAAAAATGTGATCTCCGTGGAGATGCGTGATGAAAATCCGATTTAGCTTATTACAACCAAACCGGAAGTTTTCTAAAGACTGTAGATGCGACTTGTTCACAATGTGCCGCTTCGAACTCTTGTTGAAAATGCACAACTGACGGAACGTGCCTACGTGCTCACCATGCACCACTCCTCGGTTTACCTTCTCCACAATCGAATAACCAACTTTCTGAACCTCGTTTCGTTGGGAGGAACATTCCCATCGCGCTCGCTATTGGATCAATGGGTCTTTCGCTACCACTCACTTCCACGACGTAATGAAGGCTTCATTGCCCCCGTCCCAAAAAAGGTCATAATGAGGTCTCTACTCGCCATAGAATTGCTTCAGCCTTAAACTATCCCTCTTCCTTGAGTTTCGAAGAAAATCGAATAAAAAGTTTGAGTACTTTTTAGTACAATATTACTTTGCATCGGTTTGTCTGTTTCTCACTAAACTTTGATTTGTAAAATTGGAACTTGAAGGAGAAAAATACAACCGCGGGAATAGTTTCGAATTAAAATCATTACGGAACATTTTTTTCGAAAATCATGAGATTCATCTTTGTATTGCTTTTGCTATTTTCTATTGCGCTCAGCAGAGACTACTATGCGATGTGAGGTCATGGTGAGAAGTTTAATGTCCAGGGAGGTCAACGAGCTGGAGCCTGAAGACCTTAACGAGTTTCTCAGCGATGATTCAGACAGATATTTGGTTCTTTCGTTCCGAGGAGAGCAATGTCTGACTTGCAAGTGGCAACTCTATTATCCCACCCTTTTGACCTATCACTTTGAAGGAGAAAATGATGTATGACACTCTAGCAAGATTTAATGACGCAGATCATCTTTGGTGTGATCGACACGAACAAAGCCGGCAGAGTCGCCGAGTTCTGCGATGTGGATCCCGAGTCCGCAAAGCTCGAGCTCCGCATTCTCACAAAAGGCGGTACTCGTTGTGAGCAGTACATCGAGCCCGAACCACTCGTTTTCTCTATTTCTCTGTGTTTCACTCCCTCAGACCGATTTCGTGACGAGCGTAACCGGTCGTATCGCCAAGAAGAGCTACGTCATTCCTCACAATCGTCCCACGTTCGAAGCCATGCGCGCCGATAAGTCCAAATCGCACTTCATCGAAGTCATGTCTCCCTTCGAGCGTCCCTGCTACGATTTCTCCATCCAAGTCGAAAAGGCCGCCGAAGCCTTCGCCGTACCTCCGTTTCCCCGTTTCCACGCTAGATGGAGCCGTCCGTGGACTTCAACCGCATCGACTGCTCGCTGATGCACGACCTCTGCGAGGAGCTGCACGTGCAGGGCGTCCCCGCGGTGATGTTCTTCCCCGCGGAGAACGTGGCGTACAACCAGACGTACCCCGAGTACCCGACGGTGAACGGGATCGTGGACTTCCTCAACGGCGTGCTGGGCACGCACCGCTCTCCGGACGGCGGGCTGGACGAGCTCTATGGGCGGGACGCGGCGCTGGACGCGCTGGCGGAGCGGTTCGCGACGGTGAGAGAGAGAGAGAGAGAGCGGTGATGCGTAGGCGACGGAGGCGGAGCGACGAGAAATGATGAAGCAGGTGAAGCGGGAGCGGAAGCAGCACTTGAACAGCGCGCTGTACTACACGGTGATGAAGGATGTAGCGAGAGAGAGAGGGAGTGAGAAGTAGATTCTGGCCAACGGCATCGATGTCGTGTTCGATCGAGTCAATGAGACGCTTCTCCAGGCGCGCGAGGTGGGCGTGCTGGACCCCAAACACGCGCCGCTCATCGCTCGCCTCAACGTCTACCGCGCGTTCGAGCCCATCGAGCCCTCGCGATCCGTGCTCCCTGCTTCTCGCCTCTTCCCATAGATCATCCTGACGCCGCAGAACGTGGACCGCGTGCTGAACGGGCAGCGGAACGTGATGGTTCTCTTCTACGATCCGCGCTGCCCCGTCTGCAGAGACTTCGCGCAGGTCTACCGCGACGCCTTCGAGAAGCATCCCTTCACCGTTTATTTCGCCTCTCTTAACGCGGCTCATTTTGAAGCGCTCCGAGTAGGGTTCGGTTCGAATTCGCGAGAAGATTCGGTTCAATGTCACCGATCATCCCGTGTTGAAGTACTTCGCCGAGGGAGAGCCGCTCGAGAACGCGCTGGAGATCCCGGAGAGAACGCCCGATGGCATCGTGGAGTGGCTCCGAGCGCAGCTGGTCGAGCAGACGCGGAGAAAGAAGGAGATGGAGATGAAGATGGCCATGGAGGGGTCGGCGGCGGAGAAGGTCGAGAAGGAGGAGCAGGAGCAGGAACAGGAGTTGTAATTTGGAACGGGGATTGTTGGAGGGTGGGTTGTTTGTTGCACACAGCTTTTCAAATTGACATGAGCTGATCTGCCATTTTTTGAGAAGTGATGAGTGTGAAAAACGTTTCGAACGTGGGAGAAGTCGAACCTGTAGTTTCCGTGCTCTCCCAGGCATTTGTGGATGATCCGAGTTTAGTTTTCGTTGGATCCATGATTCATAGTCGTAACGCGCCTGCTTAGAAAAGATAGTCAAGCTCCCTATGCTGTGCGATGCCTCTTTGAGCACATGGTACCCTCCTGTATAACCAATGACACAAACGTGCAGATCAACAATGAAGAAAACGCTACCATTATCTGGTGAGGCAAAAAGTGCAGGCTAACATGAAGGTGGAAAAACTGCGATGCTCCTCTGGGATATACGTTCATTCTCAAGTCTCTAATGAATCTGCCGACATGGGCAGACATGATCGGTTCCTACTACGAAGTATGGACCGTAGGGGCTACAAACAGTATTTCACATAGGCAATCAACTATCTCCGCAATATCTTCGGGAAAGAGCCCAAAGTGAGTCATCCTCAAAGCGTACTCATGTAGTTCCCCCATCTGTATGTATTTGCAATTGCTGTGGATCCCCTGATGAAGCACCAAGGTCTCGGCTCCAAAATGATGGCCTTGGTAACCGAATACGCAGACACGTAAAGTGAACAAAACTATTTTTGAAGGTAGATACAATTACCCGGTTTACCTTGAAAACTCAAAAGAGGAGAACTTAAGGTTTTACGAGAAGCACGGGTTCGTCGCCCTCGAGAGACTGCAACCCTTCGGAGACACTTCCTGCTTGTGGCGAATGCTCCGACCCATGAAGAATCCCAAGCGACCTGCTGGTGAGAGACTTTCCGACTCCGATGTTTGTTGCTGAACAAACAGAAAACTAACTACTTGTGACTAACATAGTATGTCTTTTCAGAATGAGATAGAACCGAGGCAAGTCTTCCATATGAACTATCCTCTGTGTAGATTAAGTAGTCACAACTAGATAAAATCATCAAGTCGATCAACGCTCGTTGTCCATGATTCGATCCATCAGAACTGCGTAAATTTGATGTGTGTCCGATCTTAAAGTCATCGGAAGTGTGTATCAACTGCGGAAAGATGGATTTGAGTTCGGTTAAGACTTCCTGTGAATCAGTGGAGACAAACAAATTATAGTTAAAAATATAATTCTCTGTAACAACCTTGTTGATCATATCAATCACACGATACATAGTAGAGGGGGAAAAGAACACATTATCTTCATTATCGGAGGCAAGCGAACCTCCAGTTCGAATTTGAACACCAATACTCGGGTATTTGTGCAAATTTCGAACAAACTCTTTTGAATAAGAAGCAAGATTGCTCTTAGGCACAAAGAAGGTATACGTAAGTAGTTTACGAACATCAATGTCTGTTGGAAGAGACTCAAAAAGACCTAGTGATACTAGACGCTGTCGGTTTTCGGATTTCAACAGTATTTTTTGTATATCATCTTCTGTAAATAACACTCTTTGGCATATATCTTTCCTTATGTAAAGCGAATCCACACGAGATAAAAGGGGGCATCTCATTGATTCAATGAACCCCCCGGCCTTTAATGGATGAATTTTATCATCCATAAGATCAAAATAAGACATCCAATTAACTACGATTAAAGGTTCACCAAACACCAACTCTTGAGTCTCATTCCTGTCACCAAAGCTAATAAGGCCGCTGTACGCAGGCCTTGAAACACATTAGCAAACCCACCCCACTGATTCTGGTCAAAATAGATAATACCGGAGGCTTGGGATCCCTGCTGTAATAGACTGAGCACTTTATCTGTGCGATTCACAACGAACGACTGGGCAATACTATTACTATTCTTTCCGAAAAGCGCGTCATCCTACCTCAAACGATACACATAATCCTACAGCGTTCACTAAAGTGATCAAAAGTATATAAAGTACAAAATAAACACAAGTTGTAATCATTTTTTGGGAAGTTAAGTATTTTTAGTTGTCTCAAATAGTGTGTTTTGAAAACTGGAACAGGTCCCATATAGTCTAATAGGTTAGGATAGCAGGCTCTCACCCTGCCGATCCGGGTTCGATTCCCGGTGTGGGAACTCTTTTTAACTCGTATTTTTTCTTGATCTGATATTTCCATTTGAATGGAAACCAAAGATCGTATTTTATCAGTTTTGACGCGACAAAGACAGCGATATGAAGAGCAAATGAAAACTCTGTATGAGGTACATGTGTATCTTGTTTTGTAATTACTAGTTTACAAATCTGTATCAAAACAGTACAGGTGTCAATCCGCTAACGGGCCAAGTAAGAATATTGTGATTTGGGAGATGTGTAGAGAATTGTCGCTTTACAAAGTATTTCAGATCAGGAAATTAAGGTAGTAAGGAAATCTGCGTCAAACGCGTTTGTATATCCTCTCACTTGGTTCGAACAGCAAGTTTTGGAATGTATTGATCCAAATTCGGGCGTGGTGAACACTGTGGAGGGTGCAAATCGTTTGATGCAGTTGATGAAGTCTACAAATACGGTGTGTATTCTGATTGTTTCATCATCGATAGATTGGGGAGCGTTATTTGCTCATAGAGTGTATCCGAAATATATCCAATCGCTCTGCACTTGATTACTGCTATTTGAAAGGTCTTCAACCCACTCTGATAAGGTATATGGAAGACAATCATGATATTGTAACCAACTATGACTATATTATGAATTTGCTACACTTGTTATGTACGATTGAACTGCCTAATTCAAACCGTACACCCCTGAACTCGTCACAACTCACCTATTTTCTTCATTGCGGCGATCCCGATATCGAAACGGAAGCCCACAATGTTCTAGAGCATTGGTCCCGTTAGTTTTTACCATCCTTCCATTGAATCCTTGATGATCCATTCACTCATTTACTAATTCACGCACCCATCCACTCATTCACTAACTCACCCACTCATTTGATAATCTATCCCATAGCCATTTCTCTCGTGTTTGTAACAAACACTTGAAACACTTCACTTAAACACCCTTAACGGATGGGCCTCCGTATTAAACACTTGTTTCGTAAGATCCACAATCTTCTCGTCCTTGAACAACAAATACACGTATTTCAGCGTCTCTGCGAAGAAGAAGCTCTCCGCACGATCCTCCTGCGACGCTTTATCGTTCACATTCCGCAAGTGGGTGTATCCATAGTTCGTGCGGCAGTACGTATCGATTCCCTTCCACATCTCCCAGCCCCACTCGCGATAGATCGGGTCGCCCGTGATCTGGTTCAGGTAGTACATCGTCTCCAGCGCCTCGGGCCGCAGAATGTAGTACGTCGCGCGCGAGTTCACCGTGGGCTTGTCCCCGTTGAAGAACATTCCCTCCGCCGAGATGCCCGTCTGCGTGCTCCGGTACATCAGGTAGCAGCTGTACGCCAGAGCCTTCGCGTTCTCCAGATCGCGCTCCGAAGTCGCGGGACTCACGTTGTGCAGCACGCCCAGCGCCAGCATGCCGCCCACGAAGCAGGTCAGATGGCCCATCTCCGCCTTGAACGAGCCGCTCGCGCTCTGCTCGCCGCAGTAGAGAAGCCCGCTGGGGCTGCGCCGGAGGAGCCGCTTGGTGAATCCGTCGACGGCCTCGTTGTACATCTTCTGGAGCGTCTAGGCGTGATGGAGAGAGAGGAGCAGCGGACTTTGTCCTTTTTGCCGCTCTGGATCCACATCTTGAGGAGGTATTCGTAGTAGGAGTCGCTGCTCGCGCCCATGCTGAAGGTCTGGCCGTCGTGTTTGCCCGTGTTGGGGTTCAGGAAGAGCGACAGCATGCCGTCCGCCGTCGGCGTGTTCTTCAGCGTCTCGTACATCTTGTCGATCACCTTCTTGTATTTCTTCTCCTTCGACGCACGCGCCAGGTATCTCCGTTTCACCGTTTCCACGTTCCTTACAAGTACTCCAGCGACATCGAGCCCAGCTCGGCGAGAATCACTTTCCCGCGGGTCCACGACGGCACCTGCGCCTCGCCCGTCTTCAGATTGATCGAGGACTACGCGTCATCGCTCTCCCTCTCCACGTAGTACTTTGGGATAGCCAGAGGGCGTGTTGAACGCGGGGAGCAAGCGGTCCGCGATGTCCCTCGCCTTCTTCAGGAACATCTTGTTCTCCGTGAGGTCGTACGCCGCCAGCAGGCCGCCCACCACGCGGATGTTCGTTTCGAACACCGACACGCTCACGTACCGGTCGAACTCCACGTTCTTCTCCACCCACTCCGTCGCGTCGCTCAGCTCTTTCTCCAGCCCCAGCAGCTTCAGCGTGTCCAGCGCGTCCAGAATCGTCATCCCGAACCCGCCCCAGTTGTTTCCGCGGCCTCCCGACCGCGGATGCACCTCGTCGGCGCCCCACGCGAACTTCCGGTACCTGCGTCTCACCCTCCCCGCGGGACCCTACCCCGCCCACGCGAAGCAGAACGCATCCCGGACGTACTTCGCGCGGTACTCGCTCAGATAGTGATACTCGTCGTGCAGGGCGTCGGGCACCGCGAACTGGAACTTCCCGTTCTTGATCTCCGCTCCGTCCTTCTCCAGCAGCAGCGAAACGAATCGCTCCAGATCTCCGCTCAGCACCGGCAGCGGCGTGGGCGGCGACAGCGCGCAGTACTCGTCCTTTTCCGCGGGAGGCGGGCGCAGAAGAACGTCGTCGCCGCCTCGCAGCAAGCCGGGGACTTTCTTCTTCGGTCGGAACGGCTCGCGGTCCAGATAGCGCTGCAGAAGCTCGGAAGGCGGCGTCTGCAGGTCATAGAAATCGAGGGATCCCACGATGGGGCACTGAGCGACCTCCTCGAGCTGGGCCTGGGCCTCACGCTCCTCGCTGTCGTGGAGATCGGCTTCGGCGACGGTGTCCTGGGCTTGAGCGGGGCTCTCCGTGGGCGCTGCGTGGCTTCGAAGCGCCTCCTCGCTGGGCGCGGCGTCCATCGCTTTGGGTCCCTGCTGTCCGGCCCGTTCTGCTGAGGCCTCCGCTCTCTGCTCCTTCTCCAACCCCGTCGCTTCCATCGAGCTCTCTGCGCCTTTGGATGCCCTCGCGCCCGCTGCGCCCGCTGCGCCCGCTGCGCCCTCCGATTCCATCGAATTCTCCTCGGCCACGGCGGGTCGGGCGGGCTTCGACGTCTCCACGGCGCCCTGCGCCACCGCGATGAACCACGGCATGGGCTGCGGCGTGGTGCTGGCGGGCCGCGGCGCGGGCTCGGCGTGGAGCAGGTAGGTTCCTTCGCAGAGCAGCGCGATGGTCCGCACGTCGTCGGCGTGGTTCGTCATCAGCGACGCTACTTGGTCCTCCGAGAACGGATAGCTCGACAGCAGCAGCTGGAACATCCGGCCCTGCACGCCGTACCGACGGGACGGGCTCGCGCCCACGTACAGGGTGCGCACACCCGCGGGGAAACGGACGATTCGGCTGGTGTGGCCGAGCGCGCCGTTCACGAAAAGCTCGATCGTGGAGGAGTAGGCGCCGTTGCCTTGCGACTGGGAACGCAGGAAGAGGAACGTCACGTGGTTCCAGTTGTTCTTGCTATGCGTGAATTGGGGAAACAGCAGAAACCGAAGGCGATGAGAAGTGAGCTTGAGAACGGTGGTGAGTTGGTTGGGAGAGCGCCAGATCAAGTTAAATCGCCTGTGGGTTGAGAAGGAAGACGGGGAGTACATTTCTTCAGGGTCCAAAATCAAAGCAAAACCATTACAGCTCTCGGCGGTAGAACATGTTAGGTCACGATTTCCAAGAACGTAGTAACCGGACTTCGAAACTTTTTCAGGTAGATAGATCCAAAAAGACATCTAGACATGGTTACTGAGCAGGGGCAATACTGTCCAGTTCGGCGTATCCTTGAATGAAGAAACGCTGTAATAATTGTATCCATTCAACTCAAGACCGCTATTATCCCTGTTGCTCACTTCAACTGAGAACACTTACGGAACGTTCACAATTTTCTTTATAGCCGGCTTGGGAACACGTCTACTCGATGTAGAACCGAAAAAGCTAGGTCTAGTTTGTCTAGATATCAAGATCACGCACAACTGCCTACTTCATGGAATACTTATCAGCATTGCTAGCCAAACGATATGCATAGCGAATAGCCAAAGTTACACAAAAAAGCATGAGACAGGCAGAAATCAACAAGGCATAGCGAAAAACGCGAACGCGGCTCCACGGCTCTCTCTTTCGCGTGGCTATAGTATAACCCTTACTGAGTCTTATAGATGCCATCCATCAATATATGAGAAAAAGGAAATGACATTGGACTAATTCGGGTTCCTTCTGAAAATCTCTCCGAGCTCGAATAGCTCAGCTGGTTAGAGCGTCGTGCTAATAACGCGAAGGTCTTGGGTTCGATCCCCAGTTTGAGCACTTTTTTGCTTCTTTTTTGTTTGTGTTTTGAATATTTAGGCATACATCTCATTCATTTCTTTATTTGTTTGTTTCCCTCCTATTCATTTGCCCATAGCATGCCTTTCCTTCAACAAACACATCAGAAACCAGTATCATTCAAATCAACATCCAATAAACCCGCAAGTTCGTCTTCCTTCTCCTCTCCCTTCTCTCGTCCTTTGCTTGCACCACCCACACTCACACCAGCACTAGCACTAGCACCCACACCTCTCTCGTTTGTCTCTGCATACTCCGCAGCGGTTGTCGTTCCCATATTCTGCATCAACCGCTTCGACAGCTTCGACTGCCGATTATCCACATATTTCGTGCGTCCTCGCAGGTCCAGCGAGTACAGCGACAAATGATCCAGCGACGCTCCGCACACGAGACATTTATTCATCTGGAAATGATTCATGAGCTCAACCCAGATCGGATGCGACCGCAACGTGTTCGGATTGCCGATGATCACAATTCCGTACTTGGCTCGCGTGATGGCGACATTCAACCGTCGCATATCGTTCAGGAATCCCAGCACGCCATCCGAATTCGACCGAACGCACGAGAAGATAATATAGTCGTTTTCGCGTCCCTGGAACTCGTCCACGCTCGCGATTTCCACCTTTTTCACCTCCTCCGCCTTCTCCATATGCCGCGACAGCACCTGCCGCAGCAGCGTTCGCTGGCTGTCGTACGGCGTGATCACGCCGATGCGGTCTCCGGGGATGCCGCAGTTGATAAACCGCTCGACGACCTTCTCGACGCAGGTGGCTTCCATGCGGTTCAGGAAGGATCGGCCGGAGGATCCGGGATCTTCCGAGCCCTGCACGCACCAGAACATCATGGGCATGTCCGAGCGGGGCCAGGGGAAGGCGAGGTTGCGCGTGCGCTCGGAGGAATGCACGGCGTTCTTGAGCGCGCCGTTGTAGAACATGTTCGACGGGAAGATCGACAGCGCGGGGTGCATTCGGTACTGGATGTTCAGGCAGTACGGCTTGATTCCTAGCGACAGCAGGCGCTCGAACAGCGAGATGTCGAACTCCGCGCGCTTGGCTTCCTGGTCCTGGATCACCGGGCCCAGCTGCTTGTGATCGCCCACCAGAATCAGCCGGTCGCAGCCGTTCACGATCGGGATCAGACACTCCGGCTCGCGCGCCTGCGTCGACTCGTCGACCAGCACCGCGGGGAAGCTCAGCCCGGCGAGGCGCGCGTCCAGAGCGGCGCTGCAGGTGCAGCAGACGACCTCGGCGTGGGAGAGAATGGTGTGCTCGGCGATGGTGAGGTAGGACTTGTAGAGCGCGGCCTCCTTCTCGCTGAGCTGCCCGTTCTCCTGCAGCTTCGCGTTGAGTTTGTAGAGCTCGCTGGTCGGCCCGCCCACGTACACGGCGAGGTTGTGCAGACAGACGTTCTCGACCTCGCTGCGGACGCTCTCGCGGGAGCGGGCGACGAGGCGGACCACGCAGAGGCCGAGGCGGTGGAGCCGAAGCGTGAGGTTGTCGACGGCGATGTTGGACGGCGCGCAGACGAGCACGCGCTGCTTGTACGATTTCACGATGTGGTAGATGATGGTGGCGGAGACCACTACAAAGGAGCGAAGCCAAAAGCGCGGGACCTGTCTTGCCGGTGCCAGGCGGGCCCTGGATGAGCGTTAAGTGCTTGTTGAGCGCGTTCTTGACCGCGTCGAGCTGGAATCCGTTGAGCTGCTTGAAGTTGGGCAGCGAGTAGCTCTTGATGTACACCGGCGGATACTCCTTGTCCGGCACGTTGTACCCTAAAATCGACTGGTAGATGAAGTCCGTCATGCGCTCCGGGTTGAAATACGAGCTCACCGCCTTCAGCATCCGCGTGAACGGCGTCGCGTTCCAGCAGAACGTCACCGAAAAACCCGTCTGGCGGCCGGTCGGCGGCTCTTCCTGCGATTTCATGAGGACTTTGATGCGGTTGTTGTCGATATGGATGACTTTCCCCGCGTAATTGCCTTCGCACACCGTGTCTCCCACCTTCGTCTCGTAGTGGATCACGATCTCCTGCCCCACGTTCATGCGGTAGCGACTGTCGAGTTGGTCGTGGACGAACGTGGCGATCGTGCTCTGGCCGATGCCCGTGTCCCAGGTGATCGAGACATCCGTGATGCGCTTGAGGTTGTTCGCCACCTCGTCCGCCTCCATATCCAAGCGGATTAGCGGAGAGAAGATGCGGCTGTACTCCTCCGCGTTCTCAAAACGACTGGGCACCTTTTCGATGGTTTTTATGAGTTTTTTGGGGTTTGAGATGATATCGTATATGGTGGCTTGCGGGTTTATCTTCCATAAACTCTCGAGCGTTTGGATTTCTTTCTGGGAAACCGGAATTGTGAATTGACCTTCCGGGGGACCGTTACTTAGAATCGAGTCAACAAAATGACGGTTCTGAATAATGTGAGTCCACGAATCTGCGTCCCAACCAATTTCCTTTAGACGTGACCGATCCAAACAGTTGTCTCTGCAAATGATCGTATAATCTCCGTTCACGCTCTGGATAATTCCCAGACTAAACACATTTGTGTGCTGAGCGTTATTCAAGCAGCTCAGAGGAGTGTCTTTTGTCATAGGAATGAGTCCATCTGGATGGAGAATAATTGATCTGTGATCATTGTAAATCAAATGCTGAATAATATGGCTCCTTGATTTACATTGACTATTGCAAAACCATCTTTTGCACACGGCGCATTGCGCTACTGCAGTGACATCATCGTTACGGCAATAGCAGCATGCCCAAGGAGGAATGGTAGCATCGCCTTCTTCTTCGTCTCCCTCTTCGCCTTGTTCCTCAATATGCTTTCTTCTTCTCAGTTTTACATCCCTTTCTTGTTCATCCTCTTCATTGGAGGATGGCTCGCTTTCGTAGTTAAAAGCACTCTCATCTTCCTGCTCGTCGCTGCTGTTATATACTCCATCAAAATATGGCTTGGACATGCGCTAGCTACCAAAAACAAGGAATTTATGCTAGAAAAAAGACAAAACAATCCTTTTTACTATTATTTTTAGTATGGATTACCATCAGAGTTGGTCCTGTGAAATCGCTACAGAGGATTTTTCCTATCATTGGTGCCAACTCTCTGTTGATTACATGAGTGGTTGTTTTTTTGTTGATTCATCAATGCTTTGCCCAATCCAGGAGGCTACGATCTTGGTAGCGAATAATGGCAAGGGGTATCTGTGTTGGGATGCATTTAAGTGTTAGAAACCTTTGTAGCATGCAAGATGCGAAAAAGGAGATCATATGTTTCTTGCAATTTGATTCAAGCGAAAAGTTGCAGGAGATGTTGAAGGCGCAAGAAAAATACGGTGATTTATTTAAGCATGAATATAGAAACGAGGATCCAATAACCACGCCCTCTGATTTCGAGAATAACTTGCGTAATGTTCAATATCATTTTAAGAGCCCAATTCCAACATGCTATTCTAATTTTATGATTTACCGCACATATCGTGTAGGATCTGTCCAATATTGGTTTGATTCTAGTACCTTTATCTCGTTGCGGAGGTTCCGGACTGTCATGGCGATGGATTCCGTCTACTGAAAATCGAACTCTGCGAACCTGGAACTCTGAGCGAGCCCCTCTCCGATATCATCTTCGATGACGAGCGAACCTACTCTAAGAACGAGATTCAGATTCTCCTCCGCACGCTGCACGATGGAAACAAATCGTAGCAAATGTTTGTTGTGCATGTCATTCAGCATGGGTGGTCTCACGCTTGTGACCTCCGCCAAAGCCATTCTGGGCTTTATTCGTTTTGTTCGTTGTTATTATCTGGTGGTTGTCACCGAAACCAAGCCCGAAGGCATCATCATGGGTCACGTGATCTACTCCATCACCGTACGAAACAACCATCGAATTCCAAATAGAACTCCGAAGTCATTCCGCTCAAGATCGAGCCCTCCTCCAAAAACAAGCTCAAATCCCTCCTCTCTCTCAAGAGCGAGGAAGACGTTTCCTTTCCGCGGGGATTTCAGGAATAGGACCTCGAAGATCACTGCCTGGGCCTCTTCAACATGGTCGATCTCACCAAGGGATTTTTCTTCAGCTACAACTATCCGCTGCCCTGCTCCGTCCAGCAAAACATTCTCCAGTGCGTCCATTCTCCCGCTTCTCCCGCTTCTCCAGTTTCTACCAACCCTGCAGATTCGAATGCTGGTTCCTCGGTTTCCCCAGTTTCCACGAACCATACCAACCCGACTCCAGTCTTCCCAAACCAAACCAATCCGATCCCTGGCTCCCCAGTTTCCCCGGTTTCCCCGGTTTCCCCGGTTTCGCAGCCTCTGTTCGATTGGAGGTCGCTCTGGGACTCGATGTTCGTTTGGAACGCGCACTGGACCCGGGAGGCCCGCGCGCTGCTGGCGTGTCCGTGGCTGGTGGCGCTGATCCACGGCGTGGTGCTGCAGCAGCGCTGTATTCAGAGCGACCGGCAGTTCCAGCTGACGCTGATCGCTCGGCGAAGCCGGTAGGGCTGGGCAGTGCCTGGGAGGTAGGTAGAATGTACGCGGGTCCGCGGTATCTGAAGCGAGGCATCAACGATGAGGGCTATGTGGCGAACGAGGTGGAGGTGGAGACGGTGATCGAAGACGAGTTCGGACACATCGCGGCGCACACGCAAGTGCGAGGGTCCATTCCGGGGTATTGGAAGCAGGACGTGAGCGTGGCGGTGCCGCGGCCGCCCATCCAGATCGTGCGGAACGACCCGCTGTACCGCACCTTCACGACGCACATGTCCCTTCTGCTGCAGCGCTATTCCGCGCCCATCCAAGTCCTCGATCTCGTCAAAACCAAGGAGAAACACCCCAGAGAGTCCCTCGTCGCCAACCTTCTCCGCGAGAGCTGCGCCTTCTTGAACCAGCGAACGCCGCCGGGCATGAAGATCTCCTATTGGCACGTCGATTTCGCGGATATCGCCAAGCATTCCAGCGTCGAGAACCCTCTTCTCCACGACATTCTCTCGCGCTATGCTCGCTCCTCCATGGAGTTTCCACGTTTCCACTTTCGTGACGGACAGATCGACCGGGTTCTTCGCTTCGTACATCTCCCAATCGGCGCGACGACATGCACAGAACGATGAAACGCCCGGTCCCTTGTCGGATTCCATGCGGTCGGCGCTGCTGCAGTGCGGCCATTTGGAGCAGCGCGGCGTTCTGCGGAGCAACTGCATCGACTGTCTGGATCGCACGAACGTGGCGCAGTTCTTCCTGTCGTACACCGCGGTTTATCACATGCTTTTCACGCTGGGGATCGTGGAATCGCCGGCGACGCCGGACACTTCGCCGCTGCAGCAGATTTTAGTGGAGATGTACAAGGACCTCGGCGATGTGATTAGTTTGCAATACGGCGGCAGCAACGCCCACGACAAGATCGACGTGACGCGCGGGAACAAGAAGAAAAAGGACTTCCTCACGACGATTCTACGGCATTACAACAACGCCTTCACCGACAAAGTGAAGCAGGAAAGCATCAACATCTTCCTCGGCGTCGTGGACCCCCTCAAACACGGCCAGATCATCTCCATCACCAACGCCAAGCCCAACTACGACTACTACCTCCACAACCGCGGCTACCTCCAGAACGAAACCGTCTCCATCCGCACCAGCGCCACCTGGTGGCAGGCTCCGGTCGTTTCTTTCGAGCAGTCCGTCGTTTCTGACCTCCCGACCTTCCTGCAGGCCTGCCCCGCGCTGGACTGCCGCTTCTGCGGGAAGGAGCCGGCCGTCCCCAGCGCGCTGTGCTGCGCTTTCTGCGGCTCGCTGCTGCGACGACGCCTCCCAGCGCTCCATCGCGGGAGTTTCTACGCCGCCTCGCACGAGACCGGACTCGTCTACGAGCAGTTGGTTCCGTCCGAGAAAGAGTGGAAACGGGGGAAACCGCTGAGCCGTAGAAGGTCGCTGTGCGAGCTGGATCGCTTGCTTGCGGTTCCGTGCCTCGTTCCGCACTACCTCAACACCGTATCTCGCTGGTTTCTCATTGGCTCATTGGGAATAGTGTTCCGCGGAGGACTGCACCCCCAACACGCCCGTGAAACTCCGCTTCTGGGAGAACTGGAACGCGCGCACGCAGTCGACGGTTCAGTACGTGGGCGTTTCCGACTGGAACGAATCCACGCGCAAAGCGCTGCCGCGCGAAGACGAAGACGACGACGATGACCCGGACGACCCTCCGAGCGTCCTCGACAACCCCGCGGTGCGACACTCGCATCGGTCGCCGAGCAACGGTACGGACCGTCCCGCGGGGATGGAGGAGGACCGCGAGGCGGGAAACGGGTCGCTTCTGCTGGAGAAAGAACGGACCTCCGAGGCGAACGCGCAGCGAGACGAGATGGAGGAGGCGGAAAAGGCGTGGAGCGGGAAGTTCGCGAGCGAGCGAGGCGTGTCGCAGCGCGATCTGCTGCGCTATCAGGCGTACTCGGCATTTCCCAGTCGGCTGGAGAAGTCTGCGTTCGAGAGAGAGGAGAATTATGAGTGTGGGGATGGTGGAAACGTGGAACCTGATGGATAGGCGCGGATAAAGAGATCTACTCGGAGTATGTGATGCGAGGCCGGCTGGACGAGCTGATCGACCCGGTGAACTGCTTCAATCAGCAGCAGGAAATGGCGGGGAGCTACCACGTGAAGGTGGGAAATGCCGAGTATGACGGAGACACGTCGGCGTGCGTGCTGCTGACGATCGACGAGGAGGACGCGAAGCTGTTCGAGCATTACATGAGCGGTGAAGGGCTGTTCAAGTGATCGTGCGCATGGAACAAACAGGCAATAAAACAAGCTTTGACTGAAGTGTTTGTTGGACCGTCCCGATGACTCGCTTCAATTCCTCACTACACCTCATCTTTTCGACACAGCTCCCACTTCCCCGATTCCAAAACGTCCTCCACACACTGCTCCCACAAATCTGGCCGCGCTCGCGCGAACTGCACCAGCTGCTTCTCCTTCAGCAGCACCAGCAGCACCAGCAAACTCCACTCCGCACAATCCGCCGTCATGCAGCGCCGCAGCAAATATCTACAACCCATCGTCCTTCCGCGCCAATCTCACTCCATATCTGCTTCGTCTACCTTCGACTCGCTCGTCGGAAGACTCACCAGCTCTGCATCCCGCAGCTCCATCCGCCAGCCACTCCCGTGCATCAAAACCGCCAGACTGTCCGCATAGTTGGCGACCTCGCGATGCATGGCCGTGTCCCACTCGAATTCCACGCTTTTGAGCAAATGCACCAGCGATTCCGTGTGTCCTTTGAACAACAATTGCTCCACAATCACGCTCAGCACGTGCGACACCAAATATGCCGCGGGAATCGGCTTCTCCGTCTCGTCGTGACGCGCTTCCTACGTAAAACTCCCGACCCATCCTCACTTCCATCAGCAAAAACCGATAAATATCCGCGAGGAGCGCGTATTCCCCGCGGATAATCGCCACAAACAGCAGCTGGAGTCCGCTGAGGTGCGCGACGCACTCGCCCTCCACGTTGCAGCAGAACACTTCGCTGTAGTCGTCGATAAGCCACTCCTCGCTGCCCCGTAACGCCTGTTTCCACGTTTCGATCTGCAAGGGGGACTGCGTGGCGGCGTTCCAGGCATTTCCGACGGAGCAGAGCAATCCCTGGAGGATGGAAATGGTGGTAACGGCGTATTCCATGTCGTTGTTGAAGAGGAATTCGAGGTAGAGCGACTGGATGTCTTCCGCGTTCTGCACGGCGAACGGCCACATGGAACGCTCCTGCTTGCGCAGACAGCGCACTAGGATGTGCGAGAAGAAGGGCAGCTGGCTGAGCAGCTGCAGCGTCGCGGAGAGAAACGTGGAGTCGCCGCAGTTGAGCGCGTAGTGGAGAAGGAACTCGAGAGAGGCGGGGAAGCCGGGGAGATACAGCGCCGTTGCTTGCTGGAGATAGCCGGAAGCGATGAGAAGCTGCTGGCTGTGCAGCAGCTCCGCGAGGAGGAGATGAAACGCGCAGACGGCGATGGGACGAAGGCCGAGAGAGTCGAGCGGATACTCGATGGTGCTGTTATAGCCGCTACTGCCGATGGTAGTGGTGCCGGTAGTAGCAGTGGTAGTGCTGGTGCTACTACTACTGCTACTACTACTACTGTTGATGACGGTGGCTGTGTTGTTGGGGAGCATCGATAGAAGCACGCAGTCGCTCCATAAAAAGGCCCAGATCGCGCCGCAGGTCTGTGACTCGACGAGACGATGCGGATGAGAGACGGAAGAAGGGAGAGAAGAAGTCGCGGGGAACCAAGCCTGCATCGAAAGCGTGGAAAAGTGGAAACGGTGTAGTAGTTGCTGAGGGAGAAGAGGAGAAAGGTCTCGAGATTCATGGGGTTTTGGAGAACGCCGCGATCGCGATAGTCGCAGAAAACGATTTGTTTGACTTGCGCGAAGAGCAGCGAATCCTCCGCGTCTTCGGTGAGATGCGAAAGATACACAGCGTCGTCCCAGGACCACACCAGCACGTCGTTGCACGTGACGAGCGAGGACTCGCCGGTTTCCAGCTCGACGGCGCGCTGGGAAACCACGAAGAGTCCGCGGCGGACCCACCAATCGGTTCGAAGCTCGCCTTTGGTGACGAATTGAACGGGGAGGCGAGAGAGCGAAGGCGCGTTGAACGATTCTAGCGATGGAGCGAGCGAAGAGGAACTACCCGACTCAGGCACGGAGAATAAATAGAAGAGACGATGCGTGGTGCAGCAGAGAATGTGGTTCTCCGCGACGTGGATCGAGGAAATGTAGGGGAAGGCCACCGTGGGCATGCAGCGAGGAAGCAACGCGCTGAGCGACGGCGTGAAGACGGGGCCTTTGAAGTTGAGCTCCACTTCCTGGAGGATCTGCGAGCTGTCGAGATTGTGGATGTTGAAAGCGTAAAGAACGGCGCCGGGCTTCGCCATGTGGAAGGGCGAAACGGCTACGAGAATGACGGATTCGGAGAACCACTCCGCGGCAGTGATGAGCCCGTTCTGCGATAAATCGATCTCAGAAAAGCGTACAGAGATGAATTGGTTTGCGACGGTGAATTTGCCTCGCTTGCTCTGATACACACAGAGCGAGGAGGCGGTGAAAAGGAGAAGCGAGCTGCCCGACGGAGAGGCGGATTGTCCTAAAAGAATCTCTTGGTTTGCGAGAAAAGAGAATGGGAGCGGAATCACAGAGGAAAGAACGGCATGTGAGGAGTTTGTATTGCTATGCACGTGAACGAGAACGGTGCTCGAGTAGCCGAAACACGAGCAGTGCTCGCTACAGTCAACAAACAAAACAAAAAGCCAACGTGGCCGAAATCACGTCGGGAGTCACTACAAATCGCTGACAGAGCAGACGCGAGTCGCGCACGAACACTTCATTATTCGTCCCATGAATCACTTTTTCGTAGGGAATGTTGAACAGCAGCGCCGTTCCCTCCATATTGAACGAGCAACAACTCACCTCCACCCCCAACCCGCCATTGGCCTGATCGGAGGCAGCGAGGGAAGGGCCCGAGTACGAGAAAATCAAGTTTCCTTGCGTGTCCAACACCATGATTCCTTGATATTTCATCCCCAAAGCGAGAAACGAGGTTCCGGGACACCATTCCGCACACAGAATCGTATCATACGAGTAGAGATAGGACAGGTTGACTTGGGGGTATTGCCGAATGTCGATCGTGTTGAGTAAATTGGGAGCAAACCAGTCGCCGTCGCGCTTGATCTGATAAATGTTCACAGAAAGCCGCGAAGAAGCGACAGCAAGAAGAGGAAGGCCTGGACAGACCGAGAGGAAGCGGACGCCGTCCTCGACGTTCTTGTTAAATTGGATGACTCGCGAGGGAAGGCGAGAGGAGGGCAAAACTTCGAGGAGAAGACAAGAACCATCATTGATAGCGAGAATAAGAATGCACAACTCGGGAATCGAGGCAACACTTATAGCATTCCGCTTCTGCAGAGAATAGTCTTTGGGAAGTAAGGACTCGGGAACAAATCGGTGGAGTGGGCAAGCCAAGATGTTTCCATTCCAGTTCAATTCAGCAATGCTACCACTATCGAATACTATATATATTTTGTTAGATAATAGACAGGCAGACAAGGGATATCCAAATTGATCGATCCGAATCGAACACGTTTTCCTTATTGCCGCAGAAATACCAAAAACAGGAGACGATACATCTTCGCACACATCTTCCAGAGAACGATAATCTACAGAGATTTTGTAATAATCGACCTCTCCTTCGGAACGAACAACGATAAGCTCACGGCTATTGTCTTTCCAAAGGACGAAAATCCTATTCAAAAGCGCTTTACTATATCCAGCAGGACGATTGTGCCCAATACTTGCAAGAAGAGATATGGTAGGATGCACTGACCAAATCTGAATCGCGCTGACGGTTACAGCTGCGAAGAGCGATCCGTCAGGCGACAACTCCAAGCAACGATAATTTGATTTTGGAGGAACTGCGTATTCCACCAAGCGTTCGAATGGAGTTATCATCACCAAAAATGATCTTTCTATGAAGTTTGGTAATTCTTGCTTGAACGGATTGTGAGGTTTTTAAAAAACAAGAGCAGTTCACAACGCAGCAAGCTGCTGGACCACAGTAGTTTTCTTTTTCCGATTCGGGTGGACTTGGAGATAGGCCCGAGTCGTAGGGCGGTATAGGCATCATTGGACGAATATCGGTGTCATGTGCATCGATTCGTTTGCTTATTTCTATAATTGGATGAACCAAAATGCATGTGTATATACCGCTTAGAATGGTTTCAAAGGCTTTATCGATTCCAGTGGAATCATAAGCAGAAGTTTCGATAAACGCAATATTGTGCTGTTCAGCAAATTGAACGGCTTCTTGCGATTCGATGACTCGCAGATTGGCTAGGTCGCACTTGTTTCCTACCTGCATTGTAAGCAAAAGTCGTATTGCAGCTTACTAGTACGATCGTCATGTCGTTATCCGAATAATGTGATAGCTCTGCCAACCATACACCAATGTTGTCAAATGTCGATCTCACTGTTATATCATATACAAGGAGAGCTCCAACAGCTCCTCTATAATACCTGTGTGTTATCCTATTTGACTGCTTCGTACGCACTGGTGATGGCTCGATAGCGTTCTTGTCCCGCTACATCGATAGCACATGGCTCGAAAAGCACATACCTGTATCCCAAATTTGCGCCTTGATCGTTTTGTTGTCAATAGTCACACACTTAGAGGCGAATTCCACTCCAACCGTTGATTTTGTATCTGTATAAAACTCGTTCTTCGCGTAGCGCGTAAGGATGTTCGTTTTTCCCACCCCGGTGTCACCAATCAAGACAACTACACGTTATCCACGATTTCAAATCGTTCTTTTGCACAAATAGTCGTATCTCTCTTCTGGTTCGGCTGTTGACATATGAATTGAAGCAGTTTTGAACGATTTCTTCAAATCTGGAATTCCCGGAATTGAGCCTATTTTTCTCCTTCTTCACTTCTCAATTGAAATCCCTTCGATGCAGTTTATTAGCGAAAAGAAATCTAGCACCACAGCCGTCCCTATGAAACGCACAACGTACGTGTATATCGGATTTGGTTGATTGTTAGGGATCCGATTGTGACTGGAAGTACGGTACTAGCAATGAAGTACAGAGACGGCGTGATGATGTGCACGGACACTTTAGGTAGGTGGTACGGACTCTGGTTGTTGTTTTAGCTTCCTATGGAAGTATGTCAATGTTTAAGAATGTACAGAGAATGTACGTGCTGAAGAATAATGTAATCATCGGATTTGATGGAGAATATAGCGACTTTGCCCACATTGTTGAAGAACTTGAGAAGATTCTGTACCTTCTGTGAATTCTGAATTGACGGGTAGGGATGAATCCATTTTCCAGGACGACAATTCTATGTTGACCGCTGCTTCCACATTCAACTTTTTGCGAGCTTGGCTGTACAACCAACGCACAAAGATGGAACCTCTCTGGAATACGATTGTCGTGATCGGCCTGGAGAACCAAAAGCCGTAAGTACTTGAGTGTTGTGAGTTGCGAAGAGCCCAAGCGTTCTTTCGCTTTGTACACGCTCGGAAAGATTGTCTTGTCAATCGTTGTGGAGCGATCGGAGCGATGATTCTGCTTCTGTTTCCGTTGACAGACATTAACCTGCATGTAGCTTCCTCGGCATCGTAGACAAACTGGGCGCCGCCTATGAGGAGAACTTCACCGCCACATCATTTGGATTGTATTTCTGCCTGCCGCTGCTTCGCTCCTTGTACCGAGAGGACATGACCGAGGAGGAGGCCCGTGCGACGTTGGAGGAGTGTGCTCGCGTTGGATATTATAGAAATTGCTATGCCAGCAATCGCGTAGGCGTAGATTGAGGGAATAAGGCGTAGATACAAATGGCGAAGGTGACGAACGAGGGATGCGTGATAAGTGATCCGTATGTGTTGGAGACGCGCTGGCTTGTCTAATTGTGTGTGTTTGTTCGAGAAATGTGCGCGTGGTTTATAAGGCGCATGGTTTCGGATGCAATTTATTCGAAATGGAGTTATTTCCTAGAAAGATATGCAATGAAGTATGAAAATGTACAGAGATGAACTATTTCTCCACATTCCTAATTTCTGATTCAAAATGATATGAACTCTGTGCCTCAAACCGATCGATCCTACCTCCAACCCAATTTCATTCCCATTCTCCGCTTTCACGCATCTTTTCCATCCACTCGACCTTCAACATATTTCAACAAACAGCTCATCCACCTCTCGGAACAAACTCACTGTATGGACTTCGGTAATGCGTTTTCCATGCATAATAGTGACTACTAAACTTCCAGCTATAATAAAACTCGATGCACTCCTGCGTGCTCTTCGTCTTCACTGCCCTGCTAATATAATAAAACTCCTTCCCATAGACACAGATCGCTGCCTCAAACACAGCCACTTCGTACGGCGTCCATCGCTCTACGCTCGATTTCCCCGCGATTCCCTACCCAACGGAGAAACGGGGATGAGTTCCGACGACAGCTGTCCGAGGAGCTTCGCGCGGTCGAACAGATACTGCATGCCAAAAGTGGAAATGGAGTACCAGTTGGGTGTGGTGGAGTCCGTAAGGAATCGCGCTGCGCGTGTTGTAGATGCGACTGACGCAGCCGAGATAGTCCTCCATCTGCTGCCGCGACTGCCCGAGATACTTGCCGTGGTTGTTCGGGTGGAGACTTTTCACGTGCTGGAGCTCGGTCCAGGGCTCCGAGTCGAGGTCTGTGGGAGAATGAAGGAAGGAAGGAGAAAAGTACGGAGAGAGAGCGAGCAGTCGAGGCAAATGTTGGATTCGGGCTTTTTATCGGAGGCTTCCTTGCGATCCTGCTTTTTGGACTTGGAAGAAGGGGCGTCGGAGGGGTCGTGGTGGCTCGAGGACTCATCTGCAGGGGAAAAAGACTAAGGAAGGCTACGGGATTTGCGATTATCTTTGGAATGGTGGCTTTTGTCGGCTTTCGATGACTCCTTTTCTTGAGGTTTGTTTCGTTTGATAAATGCTCTTCTACCGGCATAAAAGAGCGATTTGAAAGGTTTACCGCATAATTGTTTGGCGCTTTGCGGCTTCGGGTCGAAACATGACCTTCCGAATATGCTCTATGATCTTTAATTGTTTATTCATTTTCAGATGTCTTTGTGTCAATTCTTTCCCAAAGCTCAACTCTTTGGTCGATGGAACACGTGCTATTTCTTGCAGGTATCGAACGGCTTCAATAACATCTTCTACAGACTCAAACACAATAACACGAAAAAATACCCCGAGTATACTCTTGCGGCATCGTATTAGAGAATGGACTCGTAGCTCGACCTGCCTGTTAGATAGATAGATACAATAAATTAATATCTAGTTAGAAAAATTGCCGATTACAAACTTTATGTGGATCCTTGCTCATGGTGAATGTGAAAATGGGAGCATTGGAGATATGGATTCTATCTCTGTCAAACTTGCGTCTTTGGTGATTTTGCAGAATTGTTGACGAATCAATCCTATTTCCCTTTCAGTGTTATTAGCAGACCATTTCGCATATTGCAAAAATAGAACCTAGAAAAGTGACTCTGTTCCGTAATGACGCGTTCTTAACCATCGATTCCTATTCGGAGTGTTGTGGACACACGACCCCATTCAAACTCCGTATTCAAGTGTCTTCTCTGTACGAACCTTGGCGAAATCGAGATAGTAAAGTCCCATTCTAGAGCAGACACCGACCCAAGCATATTTCTTGTCAAACAGTTTAGCAGACAGCATAATCGATCCTGTGCGATCCACTTCCATTGGCGTGAGCTCGATAACACTATTCGAAATATCTCCTGTATATGTGTAAATATCCTTTGGCAAATGCGTAGGATGATGACCAGTTCCACGATTCCACGTTTCCACATAAGCTTCCAAGGTTATTCCATTTTCTAAAAGATTGTTGTATTCGAATGTTCACTCGCGGACTTATTGCTGCGTCGACTAAGACATACGTCAGCTCTGTCGATAGCCCTATTCTGAATATGATTTTGTAGATGCTGAAAATGGCTCCTAAAGCCGTGGGAGCTGTGCGAAACCTTAATATCCATGAATGGCAGAGCAAGCAGCTCATTCAAAAGTAGCGGATTGGGGGAGCTCACGATTTTAGATACGGAGGAAGAGCTCAGTCTGGAGAAGTGGCTTATTCTCCTGAGCGTTCAAAGGACATTGCTCTGCAGCTGTGGAATCAGTGTAGGTTGTGTCTGTCTTGTGTCATCCGTAGTCCCTGGTTGTAAATTTGTGGTAAAGGCTCAGGTTCTTGCCGGAGGTCGTGGAAAGGGCCACTGGGAGAACGGCATGCAGGGAGGTGTGAAACTCGCCAAGACGTACTGGTGATGGGTGTGTTTGATGTCTAGCCCCGATGAAGTGTACGCCATCGCTCAGGAGATGATCGGCCACAAGCTGATCACCAAGCAGACCGGTGCGAAGGGCATCAACTGCAACAAGGTGATGGTGTGCGGTGCCGTGAAGATTCTTAAAGAATTCTACCTGGCGATCCTGCTGGACCGCGCGATGGGCTGCCCCATGATCATCGCGACCTCGCAGGGAGGCATGGGCATTGAGGAAGTGGCTCAGAAGTGCCCGGAGTGCCTGTTCAAGATCCCCATTTCGGTGAAGAACGGTCCCACCAAGGAGCAGCTGGCCAAGCTGGCGTCCGACCTGGGTCTGCAGGGCGATCTGGCGAAGGACTGCGCCGCGAACGTGCAGGCGCTGTACAACGTGTTCGACCGCTGCGACTGTACGATGGTGGAGATCAACCCGCTGGGCGTGATCGAGACCCCCACGGACGAGCAGGTGGTCTGCTGCCTGGACGCCAAGCTGCAGTTCGATAACGACGCGGAGTTCCGCCAGCGCGACATCTTCGCGATGCGCGACAAGAGCCAGGAGGACCCGCGCGACGTGCGCGCGTCGATGGCCGGACTGAACTACATCGGTCTGGAGGGCAACATCGGCTGCATGGTGAACGGAGCCGGTCTGGCCATGGCCACCATGGATACCATCAACTACTTCGGAGGTAGCGCCGCCAACTTCCTCGATGTGGGCGGCAACGCCAAGAAGGAGCAGATCTCCGAGGCGCTGCGCATTCTGCGCTCGGACGCCCACGTGAAGTCCATCCTCATCAACATCTTCGGAGGAATCATGCGATGCGATGTGGTCGCCCAGGGTATCGTGGAGGCTGCCCGCGAGGCCGCGCTCGACATCCCTCTGGTGGTGCGTCTGGAGGGAACCAACGTGGAGAAGGGAAAGCAGATCATCAAGGAGAGCGGACTGAACATTATCCCCGCCGACGATCTCGGCGATGCGGCCAAGAAGGCGGTGGCTTCTGTGAAGGCCTAAGTGTGTTACCGTATATCAATTGCATTGCGATGTTTGTTGGAGGAAAGAAGGAAAGGGAATATTTGGATGGTCACGATCTCTATCTGTTGGCTAGCGGACTTTGTATGTTGGTGCAGCATAGAGCAGGAAAAATTAATAATAATATATGATGTCTTTTGGCTTTTCTTTGAGAATAACTCGCCAATCGAATTCTATTAAGAAAAACGATTCCTAATCGCGATAATCTACTCTTTAGATCATTGCCCTTTTATTTTTAGCAACCTCCAACTTCGTTCCCTCTTTCCTGCTATTTCGAGTCCTACCTCTCTCAAGGGGAAACGGAGAATAAGACCCGATTTAAATAGCCCCAAATGTTCCAAATCGTATAGGAAAAATGAACCGGCCCTAATTATTAGGGACACTATTTCAGTCGTTCTCTCACTATTCTCCATTCTTTCTCACATCATGGAAGACAAGCACATCCTTCTTCCTTATATATCTCCTGAAGTTAATACAATGGTTTCAAGTACCTCCTATGGGCAGGGATTTTATTTTCAGACACTTATTGGAGTGGTGTTGATCCCTCGATATTTTTACCTGAAACAACAGAGTCGACTGAGGGCGAGTCTGTGGAGTCCTCCCCCACGCTCTCCCCGACCGAAGCTGTTGAAAGACGATCCCCCGTGACGACAATTCAAGAATACAGCCGCTTGGTTATTGACTGCATGAAGAGGGGAAAGAAGATGAACACCACAGAAGTGGCCCGCACCATTCTCAGCTCTGTTCGCCCCAAACCTGCTTCTCTGGTAGGATGATGAGGCTGGCGAGCGTAACAATCAGACTGTCAATATTCGAAGACGCGTCGGAGATGCTTTGAGTGTGTTGGCCGCGATTAACTATGTGAAGAAGGTTGGCAACGGGTATATCTGGATTCGAGATAACGGTTCTCAATGCCACACCGAGTTGGATAGTTTGCACTTCTCGCTGTGTTTCACGTATAGAAATGAAGAAAGAAGTCAGTCTTCTGGAACTCAAACTAGAGGAGAAAAGACGCAAGCTGCAAGCTCTCATTGCTCAGGTTCGAATTCATTTCAACATTTAATATGCAGAGAAAGCAAAGGCAGATGGAAACACAACTACAAAACTCCACATTCACTTCGCCGATCCCTGATGAGTGTTCGATCAGTCTGGACACTCCCTCGGTTCACGAAGAGAGCGAGCCCTCATTCCATTCCATTTCTGTACCTGAATTTACCTTCTCGGATCTACCATCCCTGTGTGAGCCTGAAAGTTGTCTGCCGAACGACGACTTTGCGCTGTTTACGTAAGACTGGACTGAGAAATTGATGGGTAGACCCCACTTTTCTTCCATTTCAAGATCATCTTCTTTTGGGTTTTTTGGAGAGCTGGAAGACTCGAACTAGTTGAGTTTTGTAGTTTTTCTATTTTAGTTGGAACGTAATTCCCATGTTTGTTTTAAACACTTCGATGGAAGTCGTGAGTGAGACGAATGGAGCGTTGGAGGCGTGCCTAAAATTGCTACGTGGAAGCAAGGACGAACAAAAGTTCGCGGGATTGTTAATGGCATCAAAGCATTTGAAGCCCGAGGTAGGAGCAATCCACTGTGGTTTATAATCGATCTAGAAGGATGAAATGCTCACAAAAGAGATGCTCGACGAACGGAGTAAAACTTTGATATTTCAAATGAATTCTAGCTTCCAGCATTTTTCATGCTATTGGTCTCCCGTTTTTAGAGCGGTTGCTAAAGAGTAACAAGGATGACACGTATTGTGATGTGGCTGTGTCCCTTCTAGTCAAGTAGGTCAAGAGACTTTCGTTCAGAATAGTTTTTGTGATAATCCAAGTCTTCACAAGGAGATTGTCCAGCTCATCGTTCCTCTGATTCAGCTTCTCTGTAAATCCGAAAATGACACGATTCGCGGCGATATCGTCACAATTCTCTCAGCCCTAGCCGGCGATTCCTCTCTTCTTGCTGTATTTCTCTCTCTTTCAATCCGAATTTCAGTTTCTTAGCAATAAAATCGTCGTTTCCTCGCTTTTGACGCATATCAAACACATTCTCTCTCATGATGTCTCTTCGTCCTTAAAAGAATCGTATATTCACCAAACTTTTTCTTATTCCCAGTTCTATTTCCCTGTTATTTTACCTTCTTCAGCATTATCCTGCCTCCCAAGCCACGTCTCCCCTTCTTTTGGAATTCCTAAAATTGGTCTGTTTTTGCCCGTTGATCGAATCCTACGGGTTGTTTCCCTCGCTTTCTCTGTTTGTTTCTCTCCATCCTACAATTTCCTCCACGCTTTCCCACTCCATTTTGTTCCACCTCCACTTGCTTTTTTCCCGCCTTTTCACTCACAAAATGCCGAAGGAGCGTCGAGCTGATTTGTTTGAGCTCGTTTGGACGCTGCTTCGCGAATTTGGTTTTGATTGGCTGAACGAATCGCTGGAAGGAAAGCAAGGCGAAGTTTCGGATTTAGAAAAAAGCGTAACGAACGAAAAACTTACGATCTTAATTACGAAACTGAGTAGCGTGGAGGTGCGCGTAGAATTGGATTATTTTTACAAAGACGTTGTGAACACGTACGAAAACGTGAAAGACAAAAATAGGGAAAATCGGAAAGACGCCAGTCGATTGTTGTTTGTGAGAGCACTCTACTCGATGTGAGGTGTAGAGTTGTTTACAAATCGTCATGCTCATTATGAAAGAAGTCGGCGAGAGTGTCGAAACAACCAATCGTTTTTATTCTTATTTTTGAACGATTATGCATTGTAGCCTTCACTCAGTTTGATTATGACACGGTAATCGAACTCAGTACTGCGTGGGCGGACGCTCTGCGCTGTGTGAAAGAGTTTATTTCGCTGGCATTGGGCGTTACAAAAACAGACATGTATTTACATCAATATAGCCGTTATGAACTAGATATAAAAAAGAGTGGAAAGAAAATGACGAGTTCCGCATCATGAACGAAGTCTTGGAGTATTGCGCGCTGTTTATCCACGATTGTCTTCAAGAATTCCCGGAAGAGATCGACGACGATGCGATGATCGAAGACCTGCTGAATTGGCACGAACAAACGCAATTTCACCTGTGAGATGTTAAGAGATGTTACGAAATGTTACGAAATGTTATGAAATCTTTGAAGCGTTCTGAGCTGTTTGAAACCAAACACAAAACAGAATATGAATGACTTTCACCGATCCATTATAGGCATTGATCGTTTTATACGCGATTACGGCCGCCTTGCAGAACACTTCGGAAATATTCTCCCCACTCTTTGCGGAACATTCGATTGCTTCAAACTGATTGGCTGCAGCATAATGAATGATGTCTTCCGATTTGACTTTCCGGTTCGCCGAATCAATTTTATTACCAACAATCAGAACCTGGACGTTCGGACTCACTTCTAATAGACAGTTAAGCCACTCATCCATGTTCGAGGCCGAATCTAAATCTGTAACATCGTAAACAAGAAGCCCAATCACGGCCTCTCGCAGGAAAAAGCGCGTAACGGAACGATACTGCTCTTCTCCGGCAGTATCCCAAATGTGAAGCCTATCCTTCATATCTTATGATCGATCTGTACTTCACGGTCACCTCTTCTCCGTCCTCACGTTGGAGAACCATATCTTTTGAAGCAAACGCAGAACCGATTGTGAGCGCATGGGCGGCTGTAAATGTGTTTTCTGTAAACCGCTTTACAATGCTATTCCTCAGAAATCATGCAGATTCATACCTAGACTTGCCTACTGCACGATCTCCAAGGAGGACGATCTTATAGGCTTCAGGAAGAACCTCCTTGCTTTCGTCATTATCCACAGGAATATCAATCGGCGCACTCTACCCATGATTCCACAAGCGTTTTTTTCACTTTTTCTTTTCCAGAACAGTTCCCCATAGTATTTGGTACAAGTTCGAATCAAAGAAGGAAAAAAACGGAAACAAAATTGTAGGTCGCAGCTATCATTCGTACAAACAAACAAGGATCCAAACCAAAACTAAATTCACGCACGAAAGCCGAATAATCCGAGCAAGAACAGCATGCCGACTACCAAAAGTTCTTCATTGATCAATAGTTTCTAGAGATAACGCATCGCACCCGTTCCTACGTATTCCGAATCTTCTGTCACGCTGTTATTCACGATTGGAGGAACAGCAGGAACAACATCCGTATTCGCATTGAGATCTTTCTTTTCTGTTTCGTTTTCGTTTTTCTTTTCATTTTCGCTTGCTGTTTCTTTCTTTTCTTCACTGCATGCTACAATTTGCTTCGCTGACTGCTCTTCAGTCGCCCCTTTCACTTCCCTAGGTGGATCTTGTGGCTTTTCCGAAACGAATTTGTGGATTTCTTGGAGTGTTTCATTCGTTTCTGCCCACATCTCAATGTGATGATTCTAGAAAACGTGTACCTGCTCTTGGGTAGCTTGAATGGACTCTACTTGTTTTGAGAGAGCATTCTATCTAATGAAAACGAGCATCTACGCTACATTCGACGAAATGGTGTTTTCCATGTTTTTTCGAATTCTCTTTCGATCGTATCGCGTATAACAGAATGTGAGGACGTTCAAAAACAACATTGCAATATACGAATACTGACCCAGTCTTCGAATCTTCTGTTCCCACGCTCGTTCCTCATAATATCGCTTGTAAATCTTCTCTTTGTAGTCTTCCAGCTGCTTCTTCTGCGTTTCAAACAGTCTACGGAACACGGAATGCCCTCGATTACTCTTGGTAGTCCTTCCGAAGGCTCTCTAAGGGAGTTTCCCATTCGTTCTCGTTGGCTACCAATTCGGCGAGACGCTTGTTTTCCTCGGTGGTTCGTTTGGGCTTTGCCAGGAGTCCTGAGCGTTCCAATTGCAGCTGCATCACTTTTTGCTGCTTATTCTACTCTTTAGGTTGAGAATGCAATACTGTACCATATAAGAAGCGTTTAGATCTCTCAGCTCTTGCGTAGTTTTCTCAAAGGTTCGTTCTGACTCAATCACTGCCTTTTCCATCTCCGTGATTTGGTCGTACCCCGTTGTTTTATTGATAACGTCGCTGGACCAATCGATAAATTGATTGAACCGAACCGAACTCTTGGATTTTGCTTCTGCGAGTTTTTTCTCCATTCTTTGCTTTTACGGCCTACAATCAATTCTACTCTTTTAGATAGGGCTCCGAATTTGCTTTTAACTCACCCGCTTTCTTCTTGAGCACATCGAGAGAGCTCTGCGACTTTGCCTCTTTCGCTACACCTAACCATTCCCTTTTCTCCCTCCTACAGAAGTGTCTGCACCAGCACGCTGCCCTCGCCAACATGCGCACAATTTTCCAACAAACAGGTTCCACAATCTATACAAACGGATTTGGCATGATCTTTCCGCCGATCTCCACCTTCGTCGCCTCTCTGCGCGCGAACGGGTTCCCCGCGGACCCGGTCGGTCTTCGCATGATCGCCAGCTCTCCCTTCTGCCTGGCCGCGAACGGGTTGAATCCGGGCCTTGCCTCCGGCTTTTTCTCGGGGTGGCGCACGATCGGCGCGAACACATCGTACCCCAGATTGGGTTCCGGCGTGGGGCTCGGAACCGGCGGATTGGCGCCCACGCGGCTAAACGGATTGCCACAATTCGGAGCGAACGGATTCCCGCGGGGAGACGGCGTCGCCGGAGCGATGTACGGAATGCGTTTCCCGTGGTTAAACGGCGTCGGCAGACCCTCCGGCTCCTCGGGGGGCGGTAAAAGCGGGCGGCGCGGCCGCGGCATTCGGCTGAGAACCGCGGGAATCGGAGGAAGCGCGTCATCGGAGAAACTGCTCTCCGAAAACGAATCTTCGCTGGAAATCGAATCGAACCGGTTTCTCCGGTTTCCACGTTTCGTTCGATCGAATTCTTCGTCCGAATCGTCGAATTCCTCGTCTTCTTCGGAATCCTCGTATCGACGGTTTCCACGGTTTCCACGGTTTCTCCGATCGAATTCTTCCTCCTCTTCGGAATCGTCGTACCGGTTTCCCCGGTTTCCCCGTTTCTTTCGATCGAATTCTTCGTCTTCTTCGTCGAATTCTTCGTCTTCGTCGCGGAACCGCGGTTTCCGCTCGGGCGTTTCCTCCTTGGCGGGCGTTTCGCCTTTGGGCTCGGCTTTTCCGAGTTTGAATTTGGCGAACAAATTGCTCAGCGCCGCCTTCGCCTTGTTCTCGCCCGCGCCACTCGGTTTCTCCGGTTTCTCCGGTTTCTCCGGTTTCTCCATGGGTCCGTTGGGTCCGTTGGGGCGTGGGGGTCGCTTCGGTAACCGCGGGGGCAGCTTCGGTCTGCGGGGCGTTTCCTCGTCGAAGTCCTCCTCGCTGTCGTCGCGGTACCGATTCCCGCGGGGAGGCGGGGCTCTGGGCATGCCGGGTCTCCCGCGGGGCGGTGGTACCTCCTCGTCGAAGTCCTCGCTGTCGTCGCGGTATCGATTCCCGCGGGGAGGCAGGGGTCTGGGCCCGCGGGGCATTCCGCGGGGCGGCGGAGCCATGCCGGGACGCGGAGGTCTGGGACCGCCAGGCATTCCTCTGGGACCGCCGGGCATTCCTCGAGGCGGAGGCATGGGGGTGCGGCTGCGGGGCGGCGCGGACGAGTCGTCCTCCTCGTCGAACTCATTGGCAGCGTCGGCCTGCGGCCCCTGGCGCGGCCCCTTCATGGACCCAGCGGCGAACTCCTCGCTGGGCTCCTTCTTGGGCTCCTTCTTGGGCTGCCGACTCACCGCGATGTCCTCGAGAGGCATCTCTACGGGTCACGCCTTCTCTCCGCTCCCACGCGTCAGCGACGCGGCCATCGCCGTGCTGGACAGGCCCTTCATCGTCAGGAACAGCGTCTACGCCTCACTCCCCCTCTTCTCTCCCACGCCCTGCTCCCCTGCCTCGTTCCGCATATGCACCACATGCCGCAGATACCCCTCTCGGTCCAGCTTCGCGAACACTTGGTCCAGCGGCAGCATCCCTTCCCCGAGCACTTTGCTCGCTCCCTGCACGATCTGCACGCGGATCCCCGCCAGCACTTCCAGCCCCATCGCGCCCGACCCGAACCGGAAGCTCTCCGCCCAGTTGTACGGGACGATCCGCACGTCCTTCGTGCGCCGTTCCTCGTCGCTGATCGGCTGCCCCATCGCGTCCACGCCGGACAGCACCACGTGCGCGGGGCTGCGCGTGAAGAGGGAAACGGGGAACCTACCCGATGATGCGCAGACCCATGAGGTCGTTGACGCAGACCTGCAGCCCGGAATACCCGCGGAAATCGATGTCCTTGAGCGACAGATTGACTGGAGGTGAGCGGAGACAACGCAGACAAACGATTGGCCGCGCCGATTCCGAAGAACTTCCACCGCAGAAGGATGCAGAGCTCCTCGAGCTGCTTCTTGGTGATGTCGATGACGATGCAGTCCTGCATGGCGCACAGCGAATCCTTGCAGTCGTCCAGGATGCGTCCCGGGCTAATCAGCTCGCTCGACGCGGTGGGCGTCACTACTCTTCACCAGCTTCCCTGTTTCTACGATCCACGTCGAACTCGTTCTCCTCTTCGCCCGACTTGGGCTTCATCATCTTCGCCATTTTGGCGGGATCGCCGACCATTCCCTTCCCCAGAATCAGCACGTGCCGCCGATTCTTCGCCTTCATCGACGGCGCCCAGATCTGCTTCCCGCTCTCGATCTTCTTCCCGCCGTACAGGTCGCCGATGAGCTTCAAGATCTGCAGCTTGAGCCCGGTGAGCGGCAGCTGGTTCTCCTTCACCCAGTCGAACATCACGTAGTCGAACCGTTTCGCCGCTTCCTCCTGCGCCGGATCCAGCTGTGCGTTACGCGAAGACACCGAGAAAGAGTACGGTCAGATAGGTCTTGTAGGTGTCGCGCGTGAGCGACCAGAGAAGCGTGTTCGCGGTTGTCTTCGCGGTGTAGCTGCAGCGATTCTGCTCTTTGAGCAATTCGGCTCCCAGCACCGCGCCGGGACCCAGAATCGCGATTACCTTCTCGTCTCCCTCTATGCGTTACCCGGTTTCCCCGATTCGACGCGGCGTTTTCTTGGTGACGCGGACCTGCCCTCCGACGACGAAGAAACAGGCGGCAAAGTCGTCTCCCTCCTTGCAGAGCACGGTGTCTTTGTTCATGTACGTGGTGGTGAGCTGGTAGCGCAGCAGATTCAGCTACGTTCGATCGAACTCGATCTCCCCTACCGCCTCCTCGTCATAATCCTCGATCATTCCGTCGAGCATCGTGACCAGGCCCTGCACGCTCTGCCCCATCAGCAGCCGCTTCACCGACAGCGCGAGCTCGCGATGCCCCTTCTTCATCATCCGCTCGATCGCTGCCCTTCAGCCCTCCTTCCTCACCCTCCTACCGCTCACGCTCAGACTCAGACACACCGTATCGTCCTCCGCGATCGCCGTGTACCCGCTCACATCGTCGATCAGCGCCTCGCCGCCGAACCATTCGCCCGGGCCCAGCGTGACCAGCTGGTACGTGTTGGTCACCAGCTTCACTTGTCCCTTCACGATGAACAGCAGCGACGAGCTCGCCGAGTCGCCGGATTTGATGATCAGCGTGTCGCGGTGGATGTACGCGGGAGAGAAGTACTCCGACGCCTCTGCGAGAATCTGGGCGCGCATCGGCTCGATGAGCCCGCGGTTATTCACCAGCAGGCGCAGCAGCGTGTTCTGGCAGGCCACTTTGAACATTTCCTCGCGGGGAATCGTCGGAATGATCTGCACGTCAGTCCGGTTCCACGGTTCCACCTTCCGGAAGGTGTTTCCCTTGTTGGAATTCGGTCCGATTCGCAGCGTCACGGCGCCGTACACGGGGGAATGGTCCGAATCGCGGATATAATCGATCTCGTCATATCTGCGATCGGATTGGCCGCACCAATCCCCACTTATAAATGTACAGCATCGACGCGACGTCCGTCGGATACGCCTGGAACAGGATTCGGTCGGTGAAGCTACGGATTACCGCGGTTCTGGTCCTCTACGAGGGAGTTCTGCGCGTGGCGCCCGCGTCTTTCATTTCGTGGTCGTAGCAATTGAACACGACCGCTAAATCCTTGTAGCCCTTCGGATCGCCCTCCTCGTTCTTCTACCCGTCACATCCCCGCGGTGAGCGCACCTTCCGCTTGTAGGTGGGGGCGAACCGCGGCAAAGTGAGTTCCTGGAAGCCGGGGAAGGTGGCGGCGGTGGCGAGGCAGGGCGTCAATTGGTCGTTGTCGATGAGCGTGTAGGCGGCGTCGGCGTCGTTGTTTCCGATGGCTTTGACGATTAACTGCAGGCACTACGCGGGCAAATCGCTCGATTACCGAATAAAAAGTACGTCTTCGGGCGCCATGTCGATTCGGTAGTTCATATCGCCCATAGTGAACACATAGCCTTTTCGCTCGCTGTCGTCCAGCACCAGCGCCTGCACCAGCTCGCTACGCGTCAGCGCCTCTTCTCTTCGCTCTCTCCTACACGGCGTTCTTGTTTCGCTTCGCCAGCTTCGATTCGCCGTGCTGATCCGACGCCAAGTGGCAGCAGATGAAATCAACCTGCGTGTGCAGGTCCGGAACGCCCTCCCACGCCGTCAGATCCAGCGGGCAGCGCACGCGGACGCCTCCCTTGTTGCTCGCGCGCGTCACCACCAGGTTCTTCCCCAGAGCGACGTTTTTCGTGGCGATTTCCGCCATGGGGACCAGTCCCGACTGAATCAAGTCGATCCGAATGAACAGCTGCGCGTGAAACGGGGAAACCGAGGCTACGATCACCGCGATATAACCGTGGAAACCGACCTCCTTGCGCGTGCTGCCGACCTTCTCCTGGACGGCGTGGAAATCGCTGCCGATGACGCCGGAGGCGCGCATTTCGAGCTCGGGGAGTTCTGCAATGCAGACCAATCCTTGTGGATACTCATGCATTCCTCCACCCCCACCGCGATAAGGTCGAACGAGTTGGGCACCCACTCCTCCAGGTTGTAGGGAGGGTCGCACTCGCCCATGTTCCACGTGCCGGCCCAGATGTCCAGCGACTGTGCGTTAGATTTCCGCGGGAGACAAGAGCCTACCAGCGTCTGCGAGTTGTCGCCCTTCACAGCGTTTAGCAGACGCGGCTTCAGCTTCGCGCGCAGAGCGGAGACGGCGGCGGTGTGGTGCATTTTGAGGTCTTTTGGCTGCGGTGGAGAGGGGAAATGAGGCATACACGACGAGTGTCCGGAGTGATGATCTCGCCGGGACTCAGATAGTCGTCTTCGTCGATGCTCTTGAAATCTTCGCCTTCTTCGAGGAACTAGACAGGCAAGAGCGGGAAATCCCACATACGTCGATGTTTGCCTGGATAGCCGCGAACCAGCCTGTGTAATCCATATCCATAACGCACTCGAAGCAGAACTTGCACTTTTCGTTGGGACACAAAACATTGAAGCGCTTCTTAACCTGCTTATCGGCTTGGATCTCTGCTCCGTTCAGATTGATGCACGCCTACGAGGAAGAGGAATTCGGAATAAAACACCATCGCGACTGGATCTCCCAAATTTGCATAGACCACGATTCTATCCTGGAGTAGAACCACGACTCGTTTGGAATAGCCAGGCGAGCGCTTTCCCTTCTTTAATAGAAATCCACTCTTCACGACGGGTTCTTTAATCTTTGGTAGTGTGCGATGTCTACACATTGATTTCATCAAAATAATAAAAACAGTCGTCTGTGCTTAATACACACATATTCAGGAAGAATTTCCTTTCCATGTTGTAAAAACATGCGTTGACTCTTGCATCCCTCATGGACACAATTAACAAAGACCAACTCTCCCTTGTTGGACATATTTTGGGACAAAATGGGAATTACATGGATTTTCCTTGATCATCAACGACCACTGTGCGTACCAACAAACAGCCGAAAAGAAAAAATACAATTTATAATTCAATAATTCAATAATTAATTAATCACAATGATAATTCAATAATAAAGTACAATAATTGCTATATGCAGATGGATACAATAATGACAGTCACCAACACAATGACTCCATACTGATAACAAGTCACATTCACCTTCCTCCGAAGCTCTACAATGAATCCACCACTCGCAAACCTCACCAAATTCCATTCGAATTTCCTTGTCGTGCGCGATCTCTCCCAATTCCTACACATCACCCAATCGCGTGAGTTCGACCAGATCTTTGCCTCGATAAAACGGCAATCTGCAAACGGGACAAACCTTGCTCTGTTTTCCAAGCCATGGAACAATACATTGGTAATGGAAAACATGTCCACAAGGAAGCATGGAGACTTTTTCTCCCTTGCAAAATTCGGCTAAACAAATGCTGCATAACGTTTCCTTGATGGAAACATCGTAATAGCTCGAAGGGATCGTCATGATCCGCCTCTTCACCTTTTCGTTGACTCGTTTGTTGATCATTTTAGAGCTAAAGTGATACTGCACCATACCGTATCCGAGAACCATCAAGAAAACGATGATTCCCATTACCCACTTTGCAATGATGATAGTTCTCGAGTGGACTAGAAGCAATGAGAGTGAATAAATGCGCCATTTACTTTCTCCTGATTCACTTATTCGGATATCGAAGTTCGTTTCATGAAGAGAATGGGCAAGAGCGTGACCGACATTTTTCTCGACTAAAATGGAGCAGATTCGCACCTATTTCTAGAATGAGGATTCGAGCGTCGTACTGCTTTTGCTATGGATGCGTTAGAAATCGAGGGAATATAAACTCGCATCTCTTGCTCTGTGGTCACGTTTGCTGAAAATACAACTGCAGCAGCGCCATCTAGTTGAGCCTATTTGTTAGGCACGCGAACGAGAGGAACGGAATAAATCAGTTGTTCCAAAGACTTGTTAGAATGTAACAAATCGGTGTACGAAAAGAAGACCGCTCTTTTATTAATGTTGGACTGTTTGTAAAGCGAACTGTTATAGTATAGTAATTCACCACTATAACCTACACTTCACAAGCAAAAACTAGTTATACGACACATAAACACACTTCCAATTTTCAAGCGAATATGTGTATATGTAGTTTCCGAGGGATACTTCACAACTAAGGATTGGCACACAGATAATAGAAAAGTAACAAAAAATATCGCACAGAAAGTCATCATTGAATTTCGCAAAAGAGATGAATCAATACTCGTAAAAATGATCCGTTTTTATAACCTCTCCTATTTTGCTCCACTTCCGCGGGGATCCGCCCTCTTTGTTCCAACAAACAATCCACTCGTTGTGTCAGCTTTCTCACCCTTAGAGACGACCTCCCGATCCAGCCATGGGAGCCACAGTCTCCTCCACCTTCACGCCCTCTTCCTCCTTCTTCACGACATCGGCGTGCTGCTCCATCAGCTTCACCGTATCGATCTTGGGCGACTTGATCATCTTCACCTTGCGGATCAGCGTGTTCTCCAGAGGATAGATCTTGTTGCACTCCTTCTGAATGCGAGCACCGATCGACTCCATGCACAGCTTCGGAACCAGCGTCGCAAGATCGCACTTCGACACCTCGTCCGTGATGATCTCCACCATCTTCGCACGAATGCGGTGGATCTGAGAGGCCTGCGCGTAGCAAGTCTTCTTGTTCTGGTTGTCCTGCTTGCGGGTGAACGCGATGCAGAACAGACGCAGCTTGTAACCGTCGGTGGTAGACACCTCCACGTTGCACTCGATCAGAGTCTTCCACTTCTTGATCAGAGAACCCAGCTTGTCGCGGGTGATGTCCATTCCGTAGAAGAGGGTGATGCACTTATCTCCCTGCACGTCCTCCACTCGCAGCTTGATCTTGCGGTAACCCTGCTCCTCGTTCTTGCTCAGATCACCCAGATTGGCCTCGAAAATACGTCCCTTCAGACCCTCCGAAGCGATTTTCAATCCCGAAGTACGAGACACGAGCGTCTTGCACACATCACGCACCAGGAACTGGTTCGGGGCACGCACGTCGTACCACTCCTTCTTAGCCATGGTATCAATCACCTTCTTTCCCTTTCCTTTCTTACTGACTTTCTTCTGAGATTTGCCTAGAAATCGGTTAGCACTCTACTGTTCTCCAAAAGCGGGAACAAAACGAAAATTCACTAGAAATAGAAATTTCTTACCAATAGCCATTGTCTGACACAACAATTGTTGAATAGAAAGAAGAAAGACAGAAATAGGGTACAGGGGCGAGATATAATCACCAAATATGCAGAATTGGGTCACATTGCTTATTCCAGCTAGATTATAAATGATGATTAATGAAAACGCCTTAGAGTTAATATGGATTGTGAATCGATAGATTCATTTGTTGCAAACTGTGACAGATTGTTAACCAAAGCACATAGACGATTACTAGATTTTTCAATGTGTATATTACCATTAATAAAACCCAAATTTTGGCATTACGTAATATTCAGAAAAAGTCATCGAGTTTTCCTCTACTGCGTTTTTGGAGTTCATAGTGATAGATGACAAAAGGCCGTATTGTGGAGACTATTTTAATCGCGTTCCTTTTGCTAGTTGCTATTTTTGTATATGTTGGTATAGAATTGTTTGATAACGGTTAGACAGATATTCGTAGATATAACGATATTGTAAATAATGTGGAAGATATCGTGTTTGTGGTAATGTTTTTCCGTTGGTTATTTTTGTAGAGACAGTATTTTGGAAGTGGTGTTGCCCAAAGAAAGAGGGGGAATATTCGTTCCACAACGAATCAAGTCACTTCTAGTGAACCAAGTGTGTTGTTTAATGCTTTCAAGAATTCGTTTGATAATGTGAACAAGCATCTGGATGCAAGCACGTTGATTTCTTCAGACGAGAATTCCGAGTCGAGTAGATTGATTGTTTAGGAGAAATGAGAAATAGTCGATGAGACAGCCCAGCCCACTTTTGCAGCAGATGAGGAATTTGAGAACGTCTCGGGTAGTGAAGCAGTGGATGTAGTCGAAGAGAGTCAACCAACCGAAATGGCGAATTTATCCGAGGAATCTCCAGTGAAAGAAGAAAAGGGGCAGGTGGAAAGCAACAGTGAGAACGAAAAGGGTGAAGAGACGATGGAATCGGATGAGAATGAAAGGGGAAATGATTCTACCACTAATCCAGAGGGCGAAGAGAACGGAAAGACCGAAGACAACAATAATGATAATGATAATGATAATGATAATGATGATGGCAAGGAATCTGAAGAGACCAAAGAGGCCGAGGAGACAAATGAATCAGAGGAGTCGAAAGAATCGAATGAATCAGAGGAGTCGAAAGAGTCGAATGAATCAGAGGAGTCGAAAGAATCGAATGAATCAGAGGAGTCGAAAGAGTCGAATGAATCTGAAGAAACAAAAGAGAGTGGTGATGACAAGGAATCTGAAGAATCTGAAGAATCCAATAAGTCTGAAGAAAGTGAGTCAAATGAAAATCCCGAAGAGATTCAAAGTGAAAAGACTGAGAATCTTCAGGACTCACAGGAGGAAAAGGAATCTTCGAAGTTGGCCAAACCCGAAAAGCCCGGCAAATCCCAAAAGCCCAAGAAAAGCCGAAAGTCCTCCAAATCCGCCAAACCCGATAAGGTTTCCACGGTTTCCACGGTTACTCCATCAGAGAGCAGTGACGAGTCATCGGTGGAAACGGAGGTCCCTTCCTCTGCGGTGGAAATCGAAGAGGTGAGCGATGAAAAAATCGCGGCAATCCAAGACGAAGAACCCGCCAAAACCGAGAAAAACCCGCTCTATGATGACGAAACTTCCAATGAAACTGGAGAAACTGGAGAAACTGGAGAAACTGGAGAAACTGGAGAGGCAGACAAGGAAGAAACGGAAGAAGCAGACACAGAGAAAGGGGAAACTGGAGAAACAGAGGAAACCGGGGAAGCAGAAAAAGAAGAAACGGTAGAAACCGAGAAAAGTGGAGAAAGCGATGAAGCCGACGACTCTGAGACTGGAGAAACTGGAGAAACAGTAGAAACGGAGGAGAAAAACGCGGAATCGTCGAAGGAGGAAGGAATAACCGCGGAAGAGGAAGCGTCGGACCCGTTGTTGGCGCAGCTGCCGTCGGATTCGCTGGGTGGGAAGAAGAAAAAGAAGAAGTTGATCCGTCACGTGCGCATCTCGAAGACGATCGTGATGGTGAGCAAGGACAAAACGCGTCGCTTCCGGTTCAACAAGGACCACATTCCTCGCACACGCGGCGTGCGGCTGAACCTCACGATCCCCGTGGCTCCGCTGCCGCCGCAGCCGAAAGGAACGCGGTTCTCTCTGGTGGCTTTCACGACGGCGGACGTGGCGCGCGTGGGCGAAGCAGAGAGTGGTGACGGGTAGAACTACGCGCACAGCTTCAAGATCGTGAACTGGCTGCGCATGATGTGTCTGTTCCAGCGCGAGTTCAACGCTCACGCGATGGTGTTCACGCGCAGCAAGCAGATCATCGCGCAGGCGAGCGAGTGCGGCATCACCATCGTCAAGAAATACCCGTCGGACTGCGCGGAGCCGGTGAGATGTAGGACGAATCGGTTCGGAATGCCCTATGTGCGCGGCATGTTCGCCAAGGCGAAGCAGATGTTCGATAGCGATTACTACGGGTACATCAACAGCGACATTCTGCTCACTTTCAATCTCTTCGACGTCCTCGAGATCTGCAAGAAGAACGCCGAGCTCGGCATCATGAGTCTTCGCGTAGTTTCCACGTTTCTACGATTAGGAATAGCACGAAATCGCGGGGAGAGTGCACGAAGTGGCGAAGTACAACCCGCTTCCCAACGAAAACCTGACCGTCTATCTCAAATATCTTCGTTCTGCGGCGCTTCGCATGCGTCCGTTGCGTCACGAGCATTCCGCTGTAGGCGATGAAAGTTCCTCTCACGCAGGATTACTTCATTTTCTCGCGGTATTTCAACTTCTCGTCGTTCAAGCCGGTGGTGATCGGGCGTCTCAAAGTGGACAATTACTTGCTTTCTGTGCCGTACGAAGCGCCCGAAACGCCGGAGGACTGGAAATACGCGGTGGACCCGAAGGACGGGAAGCGTGCGAACAAAGGAAACCTGATTAACACGTCGCATAACGGTGAGCGAAGCGCGTTGGATGCGCTGATGTTTAGTGATCGGGTTCCATTTGGGGCTGGACGGATATCACCATCGAATGAAGCGGGATCATTTGAACTCGCAGGATAGCAATTGGAACTTGGAGTATTTCCGCAACGTGCATCGCTCGCATGGATCGCTGATGTACTCCAATTTCGTGTTTCGTAGGCGTGGGATAGCGGAATGAGGCGTAGCGTCCTCTCGCAAGGCATTGATGCTGGGCTATGTGAAGGACTTGGAGCGACGACGAGCTTCTCTTTAGTGTGGAATTGAATGAATGGATTGTTTGTTGCGAGAAGCAAATCGAGGAGATTTCCGAGTCGTGTAGAATGAAATGAAATGAAATGAATCGATTCTGTGCCACATCAAACAGAAAAGGGAAGCAAGTCTCTCGTGTAGAATAATAATAATAACACCTGATTGTTGAATAAACTCAACAAAACAAATAAGTCTTTCGTGTAGAATCGAATCAATAAATTGTTTGTCGCTCATACTCAACACATCGAAGAGATTTCCCTTTCGTGTACAATAGAACGAATCGATTGTTTACTGCATCAAACAGAGTAAAGAAACAACTCTTCTTGGAAGAAATCGCGATTAAGCAGCTCATTAAATCGTCGATCTGCGCTCGCGATCACTGCGTCTGCTTTCACCGCATAAAATCCGTTTCGCGTTTCGCTCGCCTTCTTGATCAACGCCGGCACACACACATGAATCACATATTTGCACAGCGAAACCTCACGAACCGACTGAATCATCGCTTTCTGTGCATCAAATCCTCTCTCGTTTCACGCACCTGCGATACGCCGCAAGGCTCAAACCGAACTTCGGTTTCGCGCGGCTTTTTAGTCTCATCGCACATCTGTCCGTTCGCGTAGTGATAAGCGTAAAAAGGAATCGGGGGCGTGGAGGAAGTGTCTAAGCCGTATGTTCCGTGCTGTGTGGTGTCATGTGAATTTTGACTCGCGAAGCTGCCTAGACTCCAATTCAAATCCAAATCGTTTGATTGGGTTTCGCGTTTTTTGTGGAACTGCTCGATCGATTGTTTGTGGTTGTAGCGGTAGCTCCAGTACCCTACAGAGTGAACGGGTGCGGAGATTGAATGGAATGTGTCATCTAGAAAGGCGTCAATGTGGTCTTCGTCCACGGCGAGCATATCAGCAATGTCATCTTGCGTGTATTGGGAGTAATCTTCAGGGAGATCGTATCCAAACTCTTCCTCATCATCCACAGTCTCCACAAAGAACCCCAGACTGGATTTGCAATGGTTACATTGGATGGACGAGGAAATATGGCCAGGGAAATTAGTACACGACTTCTTGTCGGGGAGAATCGATACCGAGTCCGAAATGTTCTGGAAATACAGCATTTGAGCCGTTCCCCAGTCTATCTATTCGTTAATCAATAATTTGGCTTGCTCTACATTCCCGATAAACTGGTCGTAGTGAATGTGCAACCCTTTTTCCAGACTTCCCAATTCCAGACGCGAGTGCGCCTTCGAGGATGTCTTATCCGTCCAACTTGAATAATTTGCTATCAGCGCTCCACACACGCGACAGTAGAAATGAACCTCTTTGCCCTTCGTCTCGCACGAAACAACCATACACAGCAACAGAAGACTCAAAAACAGCTGTTTCATTTTCCAAACAAACAAAGATTACCATAAAAGAACTTTGGTTACATTATGAATCACTCGATTATGCAAAAACTTCATATACAACGCAGCCATCGCTTCCCTCGTTTCTTTCAAACTCATCACATTCATAGTTTTTTCATTCCTACAAATGACCCCATTTCCTCTTCTACAACTCTTTCATATCGATAATAATCAGCGAAATATTCGATAAATTTAAGATTCCTTCTTCGGCCAACTTCAACACGCGATTAGGAACTCCGATCGCAATTGACGATTTTCTTTGCAGCGCTTTCTTCTGTTCCTCCACTTTCATGTGCTTTCCAAACAATTTCGGGATGAAAACGTGGAGATCCGACAGCGGTCTGCTGATTACAACGCTTCCGCTCACTTACTTCAAAAGCTCCGTGCAACGAATCGCTGAAATGCAGAGAATGAGAATGGAAGGTCCGGATCGCATCCTCTTTTTCGATGTTAATGATGATTTCCAATCTGGGATGATTTGTTTAATTCTGCCTAAAAGAAGCGAGTCATCGTGTGGCTGCTCGGCTAGCTGCAAATACTGCTCTATCCTGAAGGAAACTCTCGAATCATACCTTGGAAAGGATGTTCCATTCCATACTCATCGAATTGATTCTTATTATTATTGTTGTTTTTCTTATCATTGGAGCTGCTGTTTTCTAAGACAATGTATGACCAAAAGTAAGCTGCCTGCTCGACGGAATCCATCTTGGAAGTGTCAAAGGTAATGCGGTTCTGGGCATTTCTCTCTTTTCGCCGCCTCTACAAAAGAAAACACGAATTATGAGAGTACTTTCAGTTCCTCCAACCTTTCTTTCTTCTTTTGCTTCGCATCAAGCTTTACTGTGACGCTGTCCTCTTCACTCTCCTCAGGCTCATCTCGTTTCTGGGAAGTGGGCACTGGTAATTCAGGAGTATTCAAATCAGCGGTATTCTCAGCCGGAGTGGGTTCTTCTACTATCACATACATAAATATAGACACACCCTGATGGTCAGAGAGAACAAAGGCATCATCGTCTGAATCTCCAGTAAACTCTAATACTGAGTCGAATACTCAATACAAAACTCTCAAACAAACTCATTTAGAAAATTGGATGGAACAAACAAAACAATGGCAGAAATCTATTCTCTGTTTTTGCTCTCTTTGGATTGAAGATATGAGTCAATACACGATTTCTTGTCTCGAATAATAGAGTATTTGGAGAATGGCTGCAGTGACTTGTTCTCGATTGAGTCCAAAATCCACTGAGGGTCCAAAACACGGAGAGAGGGTTTCTATGGGAGAAACAAAACGATTCTGCGCTCACTTTCAAATATTGCTGCTCCTTTGAATAGCAGACATTCTTTGCAATAATAATACCAACGCGAGAGCGAGAATAGAAATGCTCTACGTCTCCACCATGTGCCCGAACGAGTTCCACGAGTTCCAAACGCGTCTTTTCCCCAAGAAATCCGTCAAAATAAAACGAAAACCCGGCGAACAATTGGGTGCAGATTGGATAACTGTCTAAACGTTCAGAAAATAATACAAATATACTGTCGCTCCTATTTTCGTAATATTTATCATGTGATTTGGAATATCTACAGATGACATTGACAAGATGACCAAACTTGCCGAAATCGAACTTCTTTTTAAATGGAAATGGGGCGGAGAGCAGGTATTTTGATTTTTTGCTGTATGTTGCACTTTTCTTCTGAGTGCCTTTCCGTTTCACATAGCGATCCATGGAATGGTTTATATTCTGCAGATTCTAACAAAATATAAGAAAATATTAATAAAAGCAGATTGCCTCCAAATAATACTTAAGGAGAGAATACAGTTTGTATTATTGTCATAGGAAAGGCATTGAAAAATGCAGAATCGTCTCTCTAGTTCATTGTTAACGTGTTCTGGATAATAACAGTGCAAGAAATGATTATTAATAATATACTCAAAATAGAGATGTTCATATGCAGAGATGAGCGTATGGAAAGGAAGCCAGTGAAGTGGTTTAACGGGACAGTTACAAGATATTTTAAGCGGATGTATATATTATATGATGCAAGTATTTTCTGCCTTTGATTCTATCGAAAGAGTGCCTTTCGTTTTCCCACAGACGTTCCAGACTCGATTGTTCGTTCTGTTGAATCGATTTTTTAGTATGCCATTACTCGAATAATACCTTGCATATATCTATTTCAATGCTCATTTACACATCACAATCGTTTATGTATTATCGGATGTAATGCCATTTCCATATGTATTGGATATTATTGCCTATTATTACTTTATATCCAAAATATGAAGTAGATCAATCTACCAGGTCTGCTTGCATTTGAGTATTGCAAAATGTACAAACTATTACATCTAACACAGAGACTAATATGAAATAAACAATAGCGAACAGACTTCATATCATCTATTATACAGTGTAGATATTTCATAGAGACAAATATAAGCATATTCTCTAACAAGAAATAAAACAAATAACTCAAAAAGTATACATATTACGACATATCTACAAAAAGAGAAAAACAGGACATACATGGAATACTATGCTCTTTGCAGTTAAACCTATTCAAAAGCAATAAAGAGATCGTTGATAACCAAAAATCGTTATATGCCAAATGAAGAATTTTTTCAAATTCCGAACTTTCTTAAAATCATTTTTATTGTAATGTACAGGATAGCTGATTTTCTCAATTCTGCGAGTAGTAACTATCACATTGATGGTTCCACTATTCAATATGTGCAAGGACGTCTGAATGAAGATAGGAAAGTGGATGGCTGGATTTCACTAATATTGAATAACAGAAAGTGTATAGTTATGAAATTCAATAATGGAGTATTCATAAATCAAGGATTTCTGGTCAATGAGCAGAAAGTGTTGAAAGTGATTGGAAATCATCAGATTGGTGCTATTTCATATAACGATAATTGCATAGTGGAAGAAGGAATAGTGGATTTGGATCATGGAAGTCGATTTGAAGGCTTGGTATTGAAAGAAAGAGAAGGCCAGATTGGAATTCCATTTGGATATGGTGAAATGTATGATGATGATGGAATATTGGTATACAAGGGCATAATGATCAATTGGAAACGATTCGGGTTTGGAACGAGTTATCATAATAATGGATGTATTGAATATGAAGGATATTGGTGTGATGATAAGCAATTTGGACAAGGTATCGTATACGATCAATATGGTAAATTAGTAACTGAATATAACTGGTACGATGGAATTGAAAGTGATATTTATAAAGGAAATGGAAGCAAACCAATTAATATCGCAATCAAACATTTGAAACTGACTAACAGTTGTGCATTGGTAGATTGGGATGTTTCATTGTTGTATAATTTGGAATCAATTGAAATCGGCGATGATTGTTTTGGATTAGTGAAAACATTCAAAATCGAAGGATTGAATCGATTGAAAACTATCAAAATCGGAGAAAATTCTTTTACGCAAAAAAAGAACAGTAGTGGAAATGATGTATCGAAATCATTCCACATATTGAATTGTGAATCACTAGAGTCAATTGAAATTGGTCGATTTAGTTTCAGTGATTTTGCTGGCGACTTTGAATTGAAGAATCTACCACAATTGAAATCAATTCAAATTGGTACAATTGGAAGCAAATCATACAACTTTATCTGCAGTACCTTTGTGGCAAAAGGTAAGAGTTTTATAATACATTTTTAATGTCTAGATCTTCCAAATCTACAATCCATCATATTGGGTGATTCTGTTTTCAATTACAGTAATAAATGCACTTTTCAAAATCTACCTTCATTACATTATATATATATTGGCAGTGATTGCTTTGGACTCGTAAGAACGTTCAGAATCGAGGAATTGAGTCAATTAAAACGCATTAGAATCGGGAAGAATTCGTTTTCCCAGAAAAAGAATCAGTTTGGAAGTGACAAATCGAAATCTTTCCACATCATTCATTGTGAAGCCTTACTATCTATTGACATTGATGAATTTAGTTTTATCGACTTTGGTGGAGACTTTGAATTGACTAATCTACCTCTATTGGATTATATTAGAATTGGTGAACTTGGCTGTTGGTCACGTAATTTCTATAATAGTTCATTCGCAATTCGAGGTATTTTTCGACCGCCATTTTGATTAATAGATTTACCAAAGCTAAGATCTGTTATTTTGGGGAATGACGCATTTGAATTTTCTCTGTCGACAGTATTTGAGAGTAATAAATATGAGCGAAGTATTTAACTGTACTAGACCTTCCATCTCTGCAATCCATTAAACTCGGAAAAAAAGCATTGTATGGAATAGATGACAAGTCGTGCTCACTGGAAATGAGAAGTATTTGTGAAGTGGATTGTAATTATCGAATATAGATATCCCGAATCTAAAATATATCCAATCTGAAGGATGGAGTTTCTACTGCCCTCATTCAGTAATTTTGAAAAGTAAATGAAATAACATAATTTTGATTTGATATAGATATTCCAATTATACATCATATTAATCTACCAAGATCGTTTTTATGTGTTCAATCAGAATCTATTTCGAGTATTGTATTAATTCATCATTTCTAACACAGATACTCCATCTATTCTCGTTGATCTTGTCAAATTACATGTGAAACGACCAGAACAATCCGATCATACAAAACATCCAAGACAACTAAATGAAGTACATCTGCATTATCTAAATTTACCAATGCAATCACAGCTAAAAGAAAAGAGGCAAAGAAAGAAACATGCAAACCAGTCAAATAAACCTAAGCAGAAAGGCGCATCATGCCAATCAAGCCTGCCACAACAAACAAGCACATCAAAAGAGCCAAAGAAACAGGAAATACAAAAAGAAATGCTTGCCAATGAATCAATTCCACAAATCCAATCAAAGAAGTCACAAGAATCTAACCAACCACAGCAAACGTATGAATTCAATGAATCCGATGAGCTGGGTATTTTCAGACCTTTTTTTCAACCCAGTTTCCTGAGCGAGCCAGAGGATCAAGAGCAGAAGAAGAAAAAGAAACACTTCAACAAATCAAAATGGAAGAAGAAACAGAAAGCATTTAAAAAGTTACTGAAAGAGAAAAAGAAATTAAAGAAACAGAAAAAGAGGGAGAAAAAACAAAGGAATAAACAACGGTGTAAATCAACTCCACATAATCAAACAAATGCAGCCAACGCATCTAAGCAAACTAATGTTCCTAAAGATTCAAATGTTCCCAATGCATCAAATGTACCCAATGTACCCAATACATCTAATGAACCCAATGTACCCATTGTATCCAATGTTCCCAATGTATCCAATGTTCCCAATGTATCCAATGTACTCAATGTATCCAATTCATCTAATGAACCAAATGTACCCATTGTATCCAATACACCCATTGTATCCAATGTATCCAATGTATCCAATGTATTGAGTGTTTCAAGTCAACCAAGTCAACCAAGTCAACCAAAGAAACAAAAACAATCAAAGAAACAGGCAAAGAAACAGGCAAAGAAACAGGCAAAGAAACAGCAACAGGCAAAAAAGCAGGCAAAAGAGCAGGCAAAGAAAAAGGCAAAGAAACAGCAACAACAACAGAATGATACAACTCAACATAGTCAGCAGAATGGACCAAAGAATCAAAAGAATCAAAAGAATCAGAAGCAGTCTAGTGGATCTAACAATACTGGTCAACGCAGCCAAACACATCAGAAAAAAAAACAGAACAAGCCAAACCCTCCGAAATAGCCAAATCAAAAGGTATATAATAAGAATACCAGAGCTGTGTAATCAGCAAAGAGCATTATTCTGTTTGTTGGTACTCTCATTATAGAACTATTTTACTTGTCTTGGATGTTACTTCTTTCACTGTATTTCGATTGATTTCATCGTGAATCAACACTTTATGAAAGACAATTCCTTATCTTTTCTTTCATAAACCACAAAATATAGTATTTACATATACAATCAAATTACGAATTGGTGTTATGGCTTATATTGACTATCAAACCCTATTCTTTAAATGATTCTAGTATCAACAATTCCAAAAATCTTACCATCATCCCACCCTTCTCTTTCGAACAAACAAATAAACTACTCTCAGATTACCCATTATTCATTCGCTCCAGAAACATTCGCTTGACTCTTGTAAAAGTCCACGACTTGCTCTGCAGTCGTCGCTTCTTCCGGCTTTTTGTCCTCTCGAATTCTCACAAATCGCGGGAATCGCAACGCTATTCCCTTATCTGCATCCACCAATCCGATGGCAGCCGTATGAACAGGCGAAATGGACAGATCGGCAGCGCGGACTTCCCAGACTTGCACCGGATTCAGCCAAACATCCGGTTCGACTGAAGGATTCACACTACATCAAAACTACCCCCAAAAAACACTTGAAAATCGGAAGTTTGTGGTCAAGAAGATTGCCATTCGAAAAGAATTCGGAATACTGTTTCAACGCGTCATCACTGAATCCCGTCCCAATCTTCCCATCATTTTTAAAATCAAACCAACTACCTTGCAAATGCTCTGAAATTCTTCCGACGATTCATCAAAACAAGCCAGCAAAAACGCGCCAAAATTCCCCGTTCTTTTGCCTTTCCCATAATACCCGCCAATTGGCACCAGATCCATCGAATCCCCCAAATCCTGCAAATAATCCTTTTTCAGCTATATATTCGCCATTCCAAAAAAACGGCCTACTTTCAGCCAGTTCAGCGAGCGCTTGGAAGGCTCATACGTCGCGTTTTCCTCCAGCGTTTTGATCATCAGGCCCTCGCATCCGTTGGCCACCGATTCCAAAAGAAAAGCCTGGATCTTTTCGGTGTCGTTGTCGTCCATGAACGACGCAAAGTGGATTTTGCCCTCCACTTCTTTGAAGTTTTCACGCAGCAGCGCGCGTCGCTCGCGCAGCGGCTTCTGGATCAGCGACTGCGGTCAAAACCCGATCAAACGCCCACCTCTCCGTTCAAAAACAGCAAGTCGAACGCGAAAATCACGACGTGGATCTTCACTTCCTCCTCCTTCACTTCCTTCCTCGCGCGCGTGCTCAAAATCTGGAACGGCAGGATGCGCTTCGCCTCGCGGTCCCACGCCACGCACTCGCTATCCACGATGAACGTTCCTACCGACGCAGACACGCAATCCTGCAGCGCCTTCACCAGATCCGGGTACTTGCTCGTGTTGTCCTCGTTGTTCCGACTGAAGATCTTGATCGTACCGTCTTCTCTCCGATGGATCTACTCCACAACCGCGGGAATCCCTTACCTGCGCGCGCTCGCCGTCGTATTTAAACTCGCACGTGAACTGCCGGCCTTGCAGCCGGTCCAGTACCTCCGAAATGCCCTTCGTGGGCTTGGCGAGCATGGGATGCACCGGAATTCCAGGCGTTAAGTGGCAGATCTGGTTCAGCTGCGACAGTGGGGCTTGTAGAACCGCGGGAATGAGCTTGTCGTAGGAGGGACACTCGCTGAGCGCCTGTTTGACGGTCTCGACCGCGTCGCTGAGCATGGTTTGGAGCTTTGCGGGGTTGGTGTGGAGGGAAGCGTCGAGAACGGGGGGCGGGAGAGTGGCGGAAGGGGGCGTGAGAACGACGGCGTGCGCGAGAGCGGCGAGAACGGACTGCTCCGCCAGTCCGACTCGAAGTTTTCCTTGCAGACCGCGCACTAGAAACTTGATTTCGGAGCCGTGAGCGGAGACGAGGAGGCGCTTGATGACGCCTACTTTCCGACTCTGGGTGCTGTTGCCCTGGAGAAGGAGAAAAGAGGGAAAACTACCTCAAGTTGAGCGAGCGAGAGAAAATCTTTGAAGAGACCGCGGACGGTAAGAGGAGGGGGAGGAAAGAGAAGGCGCTGTGTCGATTTACAGGTCATTGCGACATCTCCAAGATCTCCATGTTTCTTGAGTTCAGACTTAATGGAGGCGCTGTGAATGAAACCCGAAAAAAACGAGTACGATGATTTACCAGTAGCTTCTTGAATAGCCTTGATAATGATTCCGTCTCCTATTCCAAGCTCCAAGCCCTCATATGAAGGAGCTACTTGGTTTATCAATAAATATACTGTGGGGAGCAAGTCATCCGGAGTAGTCGCAATTATACTTCGAAAAAGGTTTGCGGTGAGGGAAATGATACGATTTCTATGAATCGAACTAAATATCGAAAAATAACCTCTCTCCGATCTTTTCGACTTCATCTAAAAGGGAAGCTACTGCTTTGTAGGGGACTCTGCAAATCAGCAGACGACATATAGTTCCAACGCTTCTTTTTGTTTCCATATCGCACCCTGAATAGGGTCATACTTGGAAATCGTAGAAGACATTTCGTAACAACAAGAAAATAATAAAGCAGGAATATGATTATCAATTTGAAGTGAAATTTGTAGTATTTTTTAAAAACCAAGCCTAAAAAGGTAAAAAGCATGTATGTGATTTCATTGTCAGTTTCTAATGTCAAATCGCTAAATGCGATATGCAGAGATGTTTTCTCTATATGCATGATCAAAGTAGAGGGGTTGATTATTTATAGTGTTGATTGGGTCAACATGAGAGTTGTGCCTCATCCATATGTGTGGTTTTCTAAATTACAGATAGGTATCTGATAGAGATGCAACGTCGTTCGCTTGAGAAACGATTTCAGGACAAGTAATAGCTGAAATGGATTTTTTGGCACTAGCTGCATATGCATTTATATTACTTATAGTTTACAATCATTAATAATGAAATCAAACACCTTTCAATCAATTTATATATGTATTTGTAGAAGTAATGATTACTAACAATACAGTTTTATCACGCTAGAATAGTTGGATATCATCGAAACAAATAGTGACAAAAGGAGTTGATTCAAAAAACATAAAAAATAACGAACGACCCACAAAGCACTTTCTTATTATCTGCATTTTATTCATTTCACATACGCATATGCTGATAATTGAGCACATGAAGAAGTACGTTCAGAAACTGGTATATCTTTATAATCCTTGTATGAAATATATACATATATATATAATTTGTATGAACACACAATATACATTATTATTAATACTATTGTTTTGGGGTAGAATAATTATTCTTTCCCTTCTAATAATTACGATGAATAACATAGTGAATAGACACAACAACTACTAAAGACTTATAATAACTGATGATAAAGTGGAGGTAAGTCTGAATGGGCTATATAATAAGGAAAAGCTGTTCTGTTTCCAGTTGCAAAACATATTTGTGTGCCAATTTCAACGTAGCAACAATACCATTTTCAAAAAGAATACACCGATGACAGTCAAACAGAGAGCTTAATTTACTAATATCTCTCAGTGCAAAGTGAAGTACAATAACGCTATACAATAAGACGTTCATGGACAAACACAAATTATTATTTACTTTTATAAATAAAACAACAATGTATAATCAATAGGAAGAACAAATAGGAAACTACAATGAAAGCATAAATACAAAGAGTTAGATTGGATTCCTAGATTTTCTAGCAGAGAATTAATATGGGTAACATTGCTATAAGAAATGATTATATAACGGTTTCACTCTGATACCTATTGTTGATCATAGCAGAATAACAGATTTTAAACGAAAATAAAATCTTTTATTTCTTAAAAAGTGTGTGTATGTAGTGACGAAAACAAACTATTTCTACATTGAGCGATATTTTATTTACCGATCGATTTTAAACAAAGTAATTTTCCAAATTTGGAAATTACAAATACTCTTTAGAACTAATATGAAGTGTTTTCAAAAGACATCAAGAAATGAAAGTATCAAATCATAATTACTAGGCAGGAAATGAAGAATAAACAATCACTCTCTTCTGCCTGTGATATAATCAACGAGGATAGGTGAGACATCTACGCAATCAAATCATACAACAATCGAAACTTGAAATCGATTTTGATCGAACGTTCTTAAATGGTATTAATCCTGTTTTTGTAGGTAACTTAACAATTTGGAGATTCGGAATATCTAAACCACTCAATATCCACTATTTTGAGCGACTTTCTAAAATAACTGAACATGGCCAAAAGAAACTAGATCCTAAAGAAGTGAGGGAGGCGAGCTTTGGAAGATCTGCACATAATCATTATCGACCATATTATTCATACTTCTCATTATCACCGTGCATGATTCATTACAAGTTCCGAAGAACACACCCCAGCCAAGTGTAATGGATCGTAATGATGGAAGATCTATAGTAATATCATATCACTCAAATTATTGCAATACTGTCAAAAATAATAGATAATGGATATGAGAATGAACTGTTACCTATAATAATGAATTGCAAACTTGGCAGATATAGTCATTCAACTATTCAATATCATATCAATACTTCGAATCACAAATGAACCCCAATAGAAATTGCGTGAATTATCTTCAACTGTACCAAATTGCAGATAATATAATTTTGGAAGATTACTTATTTCGAAGTCTCCAGCAAAATCACTAAAGCCATATTGATCAACTTGGATCAATACCAATGATTCACAATTCAATATGTGGAATGATTTCGATTCATCCCAGCCTAGGCTATTCTTTTTGTTAGTAAATGACCTCTTGCCGATTTTTAGGATTTTCAATCGATTCAATCCTTCGATTTTGAATGTTTTCACTGATATAAAACAATCATCACCGATTTCAATTGATTCCAAATTAGAAAACAATGAAACATCCCAACGTCTCAGAATACAATGGTCACTTAGTTTCAAATGTTTGATTGCGATATTAATTGGTTTTCTTCCATCTCCTCCATATTCAATAATATCACTTTCATGTCCATAAAACCAGTTACAATCCTTCATAAGTCTCCCTCTGCGATCATAAAGCTTTCCACTTCCAAACAGAAAATCATCACACCAATATCCTTCATATTCAATACATCCATTATTATGATAACTCGTTCCATAGCCAAATCGTTTCCAATTGATCATTATGCCCTTGTACACCAATATTCCATCATCATCATACATTTCACCATATCCAAATGGAATTCCAATTTGGCCTTCTTTTTCTTTCAATAACAAGCCTTCAAATCGACTTCCATGATCCAAATCCACTATTCCTTCTTCCACTATGCATTTATCGTTATATGAAATAGCACCAATCTGATGATTTCCAATCACTTTCAACACTTTCTGCTCATTGAGCACAAATCCTTGGTTCATAAATACTCCATTATTGAATTTCATAACTATACACTTTCTGTTATTCAATATTAGTGAAATCCAGCCATCCACTTTCATTTGTATATTCAACCGTCCTTGAACATTTTGGATGTTAGAACTATCAACATGATAGTTATTAATAACAGAATTGAGAAAATCAACAAAGTTTGACATTGAAATAAATAAAAGACAATTGTTCCCCTCATTCTCCATAACAATTGTTTTGCTTTTTTTCTCTGCTTTTGTATTACAGAATAGTTATCGGTGATACAAATGTATTTTTGTGGTTTTGTTCACTCTTTCTTTGAAATATAAATGTTCTGCGTTGTTTTTTTGTGTAATGAGCTTTCTAGTTATCCGGGAGCTCCCTCGGTGATTTATTGAACGTAGAACAAATTACTATTCATAACGTATATTTTCAAACACAAGAAGTTGAATATTTGAAGGTATAATTACAGATGAATGTAAACTTGGAAAATGTGATCTATATTCGTGAGTTGAGTCAAGAAGAAGTGTTGCATTTCAGTTTCGAGAGTGTAGAAATTGCAGAAGAATGGATACTTAGTATTCTGCGTGCAATGAAAGGAAAGTCTCTAAACGAGGCAACTCCCTGCGAGTCGTCGCCTATCGACGATTCAATTCGGCGTTTACTATGTGAATTTGATGGATCTGTTTCTTCCTGCCCGCGTTCTCCGTTGAAAACACTTTCGTTGGTAGACAATCGTGCTGCACAGTTAGAACTAGTTGAATGTGTCTCTGAGCGTTCAGTTGGAACACACGGAGATTGTGTCCTCGCTCTCTGCGAACGATTTGTACTGTTTTGTGTGTAATGTGGATGCTTTGTGTGTGTCCTATCATGTAGTCGAATCTATCGATGAGCGGAGTTCGCAGCCTTGTTTGGAAGGTGGCGTTGGGTTGTCTAAGCGCCCATCGTAGCTACGAGATGGTTGTGCTATCTAGAGCCGTTGGAGCAATGGTGCAGGGAGATTGGGTTGCTGCGCGCACGGTACGAAGAGCTGTGTCGGGACTATTCTCGTCGGTTTGCTCCGAACGTTGCGTCGGAGGAAGGTGAGGTTCGTGTTTCTCCGCGATGGAGCGAGGATCTGCGCGACCCGGAGCACCAGGCAAGCGAGCAAACGATCCGGAAGGACTGCACGCGCACGTTCAGCCAGCTTCTGTTCTTCAAGAGCGCGGCGGTGCAGGACCTGATCGTGCGGCTGCTGCTGGTCTTCGCGTTCGCTCACCCGGAAATCGGGTACAAGCAGGGCATGACGGACCTGCTGGCCGTGCTGCTGCTCTGTCTGTACTGCGACCGGTGGCGACTGGGCGGCGAAGGCGGAGGCGGAGGCGGAGGCGGAGGCGGAGGCGAAGGCAGTCTTCCCCAACGGACCCAAGACGTGCTGGACGAACATCTGCGCTTTCAGAGCGAAGCGTATCGACAAGAGGCGGAGGCGTTCCGGCGAACTCGTTCTCCCTCGCAGCGCCACGCCATCGCGTGTCTGCAGATTCTGACCTCTTCAAAGTATCTGGAGCACGACTGCTTTTGTCTTCTGGAGGCGGTGTTCGCTCCCCTTCGAGGCTGCTATGTGTCGGACAACAGCGATTCGAGTCTGGAATTGCGCATGGATCGCGTGCTGTGGCTGGTAGGACGCTGGGACTCTGCGTTGGGAAGCCATCTCGCTGTATTTCCGTGACTCGAATACGATTCAGATGCTGGAAATCCACCCCTCGATGTTCCTATTGCGTTGGATTCGGCTTCTGTTCTGCCGAGAATTTGCTTTGGAGGATGTGCTCTATCTCTGGGATCGGCTGTTTCTGCACGCTCTGCCCGATTTCCCCGCGGTTCCCTATCTCTGCACATCGATTCTGCTGGGCATGAGAGAGAAGATAAAGGGGTGCGAATCGATCTCGATGTTGCTATCAGCGATGCAGGAAGGACCGAGAGCATTAAACATAAGTGCGGTATGGGAACTAACGATGTGGTTGTGGCAAGTAATGGAGGGCGAGATTGCTTTTAATCATAGAAGTATGAAGTGGTTGAGTACGAGAGAGTGGTGGGAGAAGAGAAAGAAAAGGAGAAAACGAAGGAGAAAACGAAGGAGAAAACGAAGGAGAAAAAGAAAGGCTTGCTAGAGAGACTGCTTGGCAAACGAGCGAAGCACCGCCCTTCTAAACTCGAAAAGAGCGAAGATAGTCCTAATTCAGCGAGTTGCACAGAGTTGGAAGCAAAGACTTTCATCGAGTCCGGGAAGGAATGCAGCCAGATTCCCTCTCCATCAAGCGAAAACACGGGTATTGAGGGTACTGCCGCTTCCATCCTATCAAAGTACTTTACCTGCCGTGTTTGTAATAGAAACGAGATAATAGGGTATCTAGAGTATAATTATTAGAGGAAAAAGAAAATAGGAGGAAAACAGATTTAAAGGAGCAATATTCTCGCAATTCAACAAAATATACTCTATATTGGATCGAAAAAAGAAGGAATGCGCATATGGATACGTTGTTAAAGTGAAAACCATTCACTGTGTTATTACTTGTGAAACAAGTTAAATAGCGTGTAAACTATGAATAATCCGATTCATTAACACTGGAAAAATGGAGGACACGAAAAGAGTGGGAGATAATGCAGAAGAGCAACAAACCTACTGGAAACGGTCTAATATGGATTGCATTGTTGTTGCTATATTAATGACTCTTCCCTCTATATCCACATTTCTGATTGTGAGAATGAAGTTGTATCTATTCGTGAACAATTGACTCAATACTCTACCACCTCAAGAGAAGGAAAAATACACACAGATTATGCAACACGCCACAAATATAGATATTCAGAAGAGTGAACAGACATAGTGAAATACAAGCAACAAAGAACATCAATATGAAAGCACTCAGCTGACTAATATTCAAGGTTGCAGTTTGCACAAAAATCCTAATTGGCTGTTTAAGAGAAAAATATGTAAAACTGTCATCCAAAGCCCTATGAATATGTACACGGACTAATATTACACTATTATCAATTGAGGAAGAACATAAATATAAAAAACACACACCATGACGTTCCAAAACTGTATTTATCTAAATAACCAATATAATACAATTTTCTAAGCAACCACTATTTTTGATAGAGCAAACCATTTCACTCAAAGGCCAATCCTGGAAAACTATGAATAACAGAAAGAGGGAATCCGTAAAAGTCTTCCAGTTCGAATCTATGGAGTGAAAGTTATGCAGAAAATAGGGTAATCACACAGGTGAAAACTAATCCCAACAACCATGCTTTCTATACCAACTTTTCAACACAAAAAATGAAGTAGATAAGATTCTTAAGTAATACTGTGCTACTCGATAGAAACTAGTAAATGAGAAAATCATTTTGGTTGAAAACGTAAATAACCCTAATTCTTATAATTCATGTACTATAATAATGCAGAATATTAAACAGTTCACTACATCTACAACAACTCCTTCCTGACTTGTTCTCACCAACTAATAACGTTCTCACTATTATAATTATTATTATTCATTGTAACTCATGACATGAAATATCCACATTTCTTCAAACGAAAGATTCTCTACAGAATAACAATTGTGAAATGTAGTGATATCACAAAGCAAGTAATGCTGACTCGTTCTAGCACATTGTTTTCAAACAAACGATACTGATTATTAGAAAACCAATAGTGAAGGCTATTTCCATATAATATTAGTATCTTTATACAGCTATACATGTTTCTTTTATGTATTCCCCATTTCATGTGTTTTCAAGAATTAGCTTCAATTCACAAGAATCCATTGTATATTATTCTGCTATTACTAATAACGCCACACACATCGAATGAGAACAAAATACCTCTTCACAATATCTAGAGATACGGTTTTACTTTCAACACTCTCGTTTTTCCATTATTTGTATTAAAATGAAGTGGTTTGTTTTTACTTTGGTTTTCACGTTTATTTTCTGTAGTATCCTGGAATTTGACCTAATTTCTAGCCACGGTTACGAGTGACTGTGCCGAAGGAGAAGTCGCTGTGACCTTCCAACGAACTACAAAGAACTACTGTGATGAAGAGTCTATGGACATTTATGCTGGAACCTCTGCTACCGGAACACCTGTTTATTCTGAACCTACAGGTTATTATACCACGATCGGTGTACATCCAGAAACCAATCACTGCTTGGCTTATGGAACGTATTATGTACAAATGGGAGACATTTATGGAGATGGATGGACCACTGGCTCAACTCTCTCAATTAAGCAAGGAAGTGAAGAAATTGTTCAAATTGTATGGACTTGTGGAGGAACCTCTAGTAATCGCGTCTATACTTGTAGTCAGACATTTACGATTGAGGCTCCCGCAGAATGGCAGTATTCTTCGACTGCCCAAACAAGCTCTTCTTGGACTACTGGAGAGTTGGATTGGACTAGTTATGCTGGATATTATCCTGCTCCTACTACCACAACTCGTTACTTCCGTCGTTCGATTGAAATGACTGGAATTGATAATTTTGGTATCCATGTTACTCTTACAATTAATGGTGGCGCTGTTGTATATGTAAATGGTCAAGAGCTTACCCGATGGAATCTTCCTGACGGAGAGATTTCCTCTTCTACGGAAGCAACTGCCTCGACAACTGGTAAACACACTTATGTTCAGCTTTTGGCTGCAATTCCTACGCCTGAAAACAATACGTATGTTATTGGTGTTGAAGTGCATGCTGGCTCAAGTGCTCCAAGTGCTGAAGAGTTCCAGTGTAGTGTTTCCTATTTGAATGAAGATTATCGTCTTATTAATTCTGATGGATCTTATGTTTGCACTCCGGAAAATACTAATCTACCATCTGAAAATGGAGCCAAGTTATATGATGGAAGTACTTCAACTAAATGGTGCGTGGACGTTACTTCTGCATCTTTCCCTACTACTCACATTTGGACGTTTGGTAACAACGATCGCTTGGTTGTTAACAAGTATGCGTTTTCGACAGCTAACAATTATGATATTCGTGATTGTGTTGATTGGGACATTTTTGGCTCTAATGATGGAAGCCAGTGGGATCTTCTCGATACTCAGAGTGGTATAACATGGACTGCGCGTTACCAGACTAAGTACTTTGAGATGGAGAACCAGCTTGCTTATAACAAATACAAATGGCAGTGCAATGCTGTGAAATCTTTATCTGGATATTATGGTAATGTTATTCAGATGTCTGAGTGGAATTTGCTGTTCACTGGTGCTGCTTACGTTCCTCCAGGCATTTCGTATCCTCAGGATGTTTATTCCTGGTCGGTGGGTATTGATAATGTGGACATTACTCCTGGTAAGTCTGGTTACACGAACTGGCAGATTGCTGGAGCTGGTGGCGCTTCTCTTCCTGCTGGTCTGAACTTCGATAGCACGACTGGTGCTATTACTGGTATTCCTACGGAGGGTTTGGAAGAAACTGTGTTCACTGTGTCTGCGACGTATTCTGTGGACAGTCAGGTCTACACTTGCACGATCACGATTACTGTTTTGTCTTGCGATCTGCCTAACTACATTTCGGTTTCAGTGGAGAAGGTAAACTACAATACCGCTTCTGAGACTTGGACGATTAAGAACAGTGAAGGAGAGTCGGTTCTTGCATCGAGCAACACGGAGAGTTTGGTGGGTACTTGCTTGCCTGTTGGTGAATACACGGTGACGATGACGAGTTCTTCGGGTACGACATGGCAGAGTACTTCTTTGATGACGATTAATGCTCTTGCTGACGGTCATTCGTTTGTTCTGGCGAAGACTCGTCTGAAGATTGAAGGTGAGGATTCGTTTGTGTTGCCAATCACTCTTCCTCTGCTTCCTGCTTCGGCTGGTTCGTTCAAGTATCTTGCTGATGGAACGGTTCCTTCGAACTGGTACACGAGCGGTTTCTCGGATTCTGCCTGGACGACTCTGGATGCTTCTTCGCGTCCTACGACTGCGCAGAAGGTGAAGCTGTTCCGTGCGACGTTCAATGTGGCTTCGAAGGAGGGAGCTCAAGGATTTGAGTTGTATCTGAAGGCTCGCAACGGAGTTCTTGCGTACTTGAACGGAGAGGAGATCTATCGGTCTTATCTGGAAGCGGGCGATCTTACGGCTGAGTCGACTCCGACTGGAGGAAGCTCGGTGTATAATTGGAGACGTGTGACGGGAGCGATCAGTCACATCAATGCTGGAAGCAACACGATCGCTGTGGCTGTGCTGACTCTGGGAAGTGCGGATATCGAGATTGAGTTTGATATGCATCTTCGATTGCTGAAGGATTCGCACATTCATCCTCGCTATTGGGATTATTCGACGGCTGGTACTACTTCGAGCGAGGTTGGTAAGCTGTTCGATATGAATCCTTCGACTTATGCTTATGTGTACAAGGCGACTACTCCGACTCAGAAGTTCACGATCCAGTTCGCGAACGATGGAGCCGAATATTTCAACAACTACTGCTTCATAACGAGTTCTCAGTCGAATAATTATGATCCTCGTGAGTGGAGCATTGAGGCATCGATGGATGGTCAGACCTTCAGCGAGTTGAAGAGCGAGTCTGAGGTGTATTTCGATTCGCGTTCTACGGAGTATTGCTTCTACATGCCTTCGAATACAAAGGCGTGGACATACTACCAACTGACTCTGAAGAAGGCTCGTGTTGACGATACCGATAACTACTATGCTCTTGCTGATTGGAATTTGTTGTTGCAGGACTATTCTTCGCTGGAGATTCCGGAGCTGTCGTTCAGTCCGAGCGAGATTACTGCCTATACGGGTGCTGAAGTGCCTGGATGGACTTGCTCTTCTTCCTATTACAACACGTTCTCGATCACTCCTGAGCTTCCGAGTGGACTTTCGTTCAGTACGACGACTGGAATGATCACTGGAACTCCCACGGACATCAAGGCTTCGACCGTGTACACGATCACTGCGCTGAATCCTCTGGGCGAGGAGAAGACGACGACGGTGACTCTGACGGTTCAGGAGTGTGCTGGAGACATGGTGTCGTTCAGCATTGAATTGACGTTCGAAACGGGAGCCTCTACGTGCTCGTTCGTGTTGAAGGATCGTGCGACTGGCGAGGAATTGGAGGAGCGCTCGAACTTCGCTGACTACAGTTCGCTCTCGATTCAGATGTGTCGTCCTGCAACAACGTATGCTCTGGTGCTGAAGAAGCAAGGCACTGGCGGTTGGGGCAACAACAAGGCGACGGTGAAGCTGGCGGATGGCCGCACGCTTCTGTCGGAGTCGTTGGCTGCCGGAGCGACGGAGAAGGAGTACAACTTCAATCCTGCGTATTCTGTGTATCCTCAGTGGACTCACTGGAGCTACCTGGTGGACGGCACGGCCGCTCCTGCGGGCTGGAACACTCTGAGCGGAGCTCCCTCGAACTGGGAGACGCAGCGACCGGGTCAGTTCCCTGCGGCCAGCGGTGTGACTCAGTACTATTTCACGAAGTTCCAGATCGAGGATCTGACGGAGTTCGCTTCGATGGACATCGCTGTGAACGTGAAGGCCGGAGTGGTTGTGTATCTGAACGGAGTGGAGATCCGTCGCTACAATCTCCCCGAGAATGCGGAGGTGAAGGAGGATACTGCGGCTACGGGCGAGAGCGGCGAACCGTTCTTGCTGGTGATCGGAGAGGCTGTGCAGAGAGAGCGGCTGGTGGTGGGCGAGAACATTCTGGCGTTCGAGCTGCATCGCTATGAGGCGAACGAGGAGACGAACAGCTTCGATGGATCTGCGATTCTGATTCTGGACAACATGTACATGCTGCTGGATGGTACGGGTACGACGATGCCTGCTTTGACTGGAAACGATGGATCGGACAAAGTGTTCGATAACAATTCGGCTACAAAGATGCTGACTGCTTCTGGAATCTGCGAGGGTGTGGAACTGATCTGGTCGTGGAGCAATGATCGTCGTGAACCGATCGGTCGGTACGGTCTGGTGTCTGGAAATGACTGCAACAACCGCCATCCTTCGGGTTGGACTCTGTATGGTTCGAATGACGGAGAGAACTGGACGATTCTGCAGTCGAAGGCTGGTCAAATGTTCACTTCGTACTTTGAGCAGAAGCTTTACAACATGTTCAACGTGAATCCGTACAACAAGTACAGATTGGTGGCTACGGAGTGCTCCAACAGCGATCCCATGATGAATTGTGATAACTGGGGAGCGACGAAGAGATTCCAGCTTGCTGATTTCTATCTGTTCACCAAACTGATCGCCTCCACTGATTACTGCCGTCCTGAAGGCGACTTTGAAGGAGCGATGAACGGAGATATTGCTTATGCTGAGTGTCCGAATCTTTATGAGGGAACTCGAAGCCGTTATTGCAACAATGGAACGTTCGCGGAGGAAGTGACTGCCTGCTATCCTTCCATTCCTCAGGGTATTGATTATGGTGCTACCACTTTGGAACTCGTTCAGAACAAGGAAGTGAACATTGTTCCTACGATTATTGGAGTTGAGGTGACTGTGTCTTCGTTCCCCACATTGCCTGCGGGTCTGACTCTGGTTCCTTCGACTGGAGCAATCACTGGCAAGCCGACCACGGTGCAGGACTCTAGAAAGTACACGATTTCTGTGACAAACGAGGGAGGAACGATCACCACCACGATCACCATTCGGGTATTGGAAGCTCCTGTGAACTATGTGTTGATTGTGCTGATCGTTGTTGTCGTAATCATTGTGATCGTGGCGATTGTTGTTCTGATAGTGTTGTTGAGCAAGAAGAAGAAGAGGGGAACGAAGAAATTGATGCCAAAGTCGGCTAAGTCTGCGAAGGCTCCGGCTCCGAAGCCAGCTCAGGTAAAGACGAGAGCTATTCGATCTATTCAGGCTCCGACTTCCCAACCAACTCCTAGGCAATCTCCTGAAGCATGTCCTGAACCAGGGTCAAAACAAGATCCAAGAACATACAATGAACCAGCTCCTGAACTATCTTCTGGACAAGTTCCTAAACCATATCCTATTATTATTGAAGTAAATGTGGAACCTTCTATGAGGGTTTAGAGTTAATTTTGTATATTATTATTTTAATTATTATGGAGTCTATGTTTTGTTGTAAAAAAGCATGTGGAATGATACGAATACCGTGATTTTCAAATAGATGATTCCTTATCGATAAAGTGTCTTCACATTGAGTAAATGATCACACTTGTAAGTGAAATAAGAGAATAGTTTATTACCTATTGTTTGAAGAAACATGGATTATATAAGTGGAATACAGAATCCTTGCGTGCGTTTCTTTATTGAGAGGGAATGTATAAAAACAATAGGTAATTATACTTCAACTTCAATATCAGAACAGTATTATGGTAAAATCACAGATATGATTCTAGAATTGATGACAATATCAGACAAGGATATATATACACACTTGATTAATGCTTGTTCTACATGCTGTTACTTATTACATGTCATCGAATAGTATTCTTAGTATTCAAAGTACAATTCTATTTATTTCGAATAGTATTATTTGAAATACTGTTCAATTTTTACAGTATCATATCCTCTAAAGAGTTTAGTTGATCATATTTCTTTTCTACAGAAATCATGATGTTCTTACGCAATATGCGCAAATGAATTCGAAAAAACGAGATTCATTCACATTCATGTTGATAAACTGTAATCCAATCATTATCCATACATGTTCGACAACACAGTACAATTCAGTTCCACCACTGGATCTTTTCAATGTTATGGTCTGCTTTCTAGTGAATAGTTAACATGACACATTTCTATCTTTTACTATGAAACAAGTTTGATCGTATTATTATAGTACTTTAATATCTCAATTAACCCACATTATTCTTCATTTCTTCGAATACACAATGGATTAAATCACTCTCGCTAAACCAATCTGGTCGATGATAATAGAACAAAATAAGAGATAATTTTGTAATAATATAGCGACCCTAGTGTGACGGTAAAGAATTTGGAACAAAGTTAATTACTAAAGAAGTAGCTAAATGATGCAAAAAGTGCGAAACCATTTTCTGCCATTTTGGTCATTGTCTGCCCTTTATGTAATGGTAAAGAGAGAAAGACCATGCATTACTCCATGCTCATACAAAGCTCACAAACCAACGGCACATTCACCTGGATCAATCCGTACAAGTATCGGAACCCCTACATCACTTCCATCACTGTCCTGTTTCCATAAGACCCTGTCATAGTCAGCAACGTTGACACGACGAACATTGTCACGAATTCGAATGACGAGAAAGTGATAATTCACGCTGGTTATTACACGATCAGTGAGATCATTGCCTTGCTCAATACCATGACCGATACTACATTCTCCATATCCACGAATGCCTCGTCGTTCGGTTGTATCTGGATTCAGTCTCCACACACGATTGATTTCACGGATGCACCTGACATTCGTGAGATCCTCGGCTTCGATGGACGAACGGTCATTCTACCTGCTTCGTTCGGTGGATCGAACGTGATTGATATCACGCGAAATCGCCAAGTGATCCAGGTCTACTCGACGATCGTGCGATCATCGGACCTGAAGATTGCCAACCAGAACAACAACCTGCTCACCACAATGATCATTGACGATCCAACGGCTGACTACGTGCGAACTGTGGAAGACGTGTGCATTCCAATGATCACTCGGTTTGATCAATTGATGTTCGTGTTCCGCGATATGGATGGCAAGATGATGCGACTGCACGGCGAATTCGAACTCCAGTTGACGATTGATGACGTGTATGATGAAGTGCCTTCATCGATTGCCTCTGCGAACCAGTTCTCCATGATGGAAGTGTTCGGTAATATCACCAAGAAGGAAGTGAAGCTGGACAATCCTCTGTCGTTCGACCAGTGCTACATCTCGTCTGTGTCGTTGTATACGGACTTCGTGTTGCACAACGTACCGACTGACCAAGTGGTGCTAATCAATGCTGGCGCTACGATTCAAGAGATCGCGATACCACGCGGTGCATACGACATCGAAACGATCATTGCAAAGCTGAATGATAGTGATGCCCTGTTCGAATTGGTGTATAGCGGTGAGAATGCGTTCCACATCACGGTAGATCACTTCTACATGATTGATTTCACGAATGCACCAGAGATCCAATCGATCCTCGGATTCGAATCGGACACTTTGGTGAAAGGACTTGACAATCCGAAGCGCTACTACCTGTCTTCCTCGTATAATCAAGTGGTTGTTACTGACAGCAGGGAATCGCACATGTTGACATTGCCTGTCGGTTACTACACGTTCAGCGAGTTCATCGAGGCTGTTGGTGCTGAAATGGTGAAAGTGCTTCCTCTCATATCAATGATAATCGAGGATGACCATGTACGCTTCATTTATCAATCCAACTCTTGGTATTTCGATCGAACCTTTGTTAACACGACGATCGATGGTATTGGTTGGACTCCATGGTTCAAACTGTCATTATCGACTCACAATATTTGTATAGAGCGTCCCGTGGAGACTGTGTTTGATACCAACGGACCATCTCTACTAGATGAGACGAATGATCAAGGTCTTGGAGGTCATGCATACCTCGATCCATCACATGTCGTGTATGACAGGAAATTGCGCACGAATACATCCTTCTTCATACTGAAGCCACAAGTGACGTACAAGATGACGAATACTGATGGTTCATTGTTCGATTCTGGCACATTCTACATAACGGAAGACACGGAAACACTGATATCCTTGGAAACACTCAGGAACTCGTGCTTATCACAGTTGAATGTGAAGTACCAACAGGCACGTGATATCACATCATAGCACCAGGAAGCCATTGCATGGATTGGTGGCAAAGCAGACGATAGAGTTACGTGGACTGCGAAAGCTTACGCGCCTGATCTCGAGTACGACATGACAGCTGAGAACATGAATGTGTCCATAACGATTAACGAGGATAAGCGAGGTGGATCATTCGGACCATTGTACTCCAAGGACAGTGTGTACAACGATAGTGTCTAGGTTGATACCACACATCTCGTACTGTCTTACGAAGGATACGACAAGAAATCGAGTGTGACAATCGAACGAGGAAAATACACTGCTTTGAAGATCGCGCAGATGGTGGCTAATGGTTTCAATGCTATCGATGGTTATCGCGTCATGGCTCGAGAAATACATCGTGGTCTAGCACAGAATGGACCTCGTTCCAATGCTCACCCTGATATGCGAATCATATCCAATGACAACCCATACTTGCCATTGAAACCAGGATTGACTCGTAGAATCGATTTCACATTTTATCGCAATTACTACATCAGGATGCCCGAGTTGACATCACCTTACGAGTTTGCGATGGCGAACATCGATGGTCTGAATGCGACGAATATGATCAAAGGTAGTACGTATTCCGATCGTGCTGTGTCACTTGACTTCATACAACCGACACGTGTTACGTATGTGAGGAATGATGAAGTTGTTGTTCCATCATTGAATACCTTCGTTGACTGGGATCAATCTGAGTCGTACATGACAAATACGACGATACGCTTCCCGTACGGAATGATGACACTGGACGAAGGGGGAAGCATGGCGGAACTACGTTCCGCCGGGGCAACTTTGTCGCCCCAAAGCACTGCTTCCCCCGAGACTGATATCATGTACACGGATGACATTCAGACATTCACGTGGACCATACCATCACGATTGACACAGGCTGACATGATATGGCACATGAACCAGTGTTTTGACTCGGCTGCACTGAACATACGATGGAAAGCTGAGTCAGATGGGTACTACATTCACGCAGACCACGTGTTCTCGTTGAGTGGTAACCTGGGAACCATAGTTCCCGCTTCAGGATCGCAATCACATACATGGCGTATCCCTTTCGACAATGGTGTGTACTATGCCAACTATGGTCCAATGGTTGCCGAGTATCCTGTCGATATCACGAACGGTCTATCGAACATACAGCTGTATTGCAACATCGTGAAAAGCAAGACCACTCCACTGCTTGCGAATATCCCGATGGACAGCTTGTACAAGAACTACTTCTACAAGAATCGCATGTTGGTACCATGTTCTGAATTGCTTGATCGCATCGTGTACGAATTGAAGGATGAAAATGGTGACCCGCTATCGTTCATTGGGAGCGTGTACCTGCTAATCGGATTCACCGTTTCAGGAGGAAATAATAAATGAATCTAGTGTTCAACATTGCTCGAACGTACGAACATGAATTCACGAGTAACAATCTCATCAAAAGCGACATGGTAATCGATCGGATATCGATGAAAGGCGATTCGACTGGCACCTGCCTTGTCCTTGATCGAATGAACAACATGCAAGAACGACGACAGTCTCCGTTGGTTGTATTGAACGAGGAGTACACGGAGAATGCACACATGAATGTCGTGGTACCCAAAAGTCGCAAATGGTCATTCTCGTTGACCGATAAGACTGGTGCAACGATTGTCTTACCAATGCCGATTACGGTGTGCATTCACTTCCATGTTCTCCAAAGTAAATGAGTCATAATCGTGCACTACCGGTGAGTGTGATTAACCACAATACAGTAATTCCGAAGAACAACGAACGATACCATGAAACGTTCAACACGGTGATAATGCCTCGTGACCTTGTGTACAAGATCACTTCGATTACATGCAAGATCGATACGACATCTCTCTGGAACATTCGTGCAATGAATGTGGTGAAGGTTCAAATGCTGTCAGGGTTTGAAATGGTCTACAACGTCGGTCCTGGCTACTACTCGATTACCGAGTTATGCCGTGCGATAGCCGATTCCATCCAGGTAGACGATGTCAACCGAGCACACCTGAACAGTGACGTGGCGACCGCTGTTGACCTTAGTGGCGCACCTGATTACACGAGTATCCTCAAGTTGGAAGGTGTCGTTGAGGCAGGCATGGTAGCGAGTGAACCCTACGACACCACGAATGGCATGAGTGTGATCCGAGTGTACAGTAGTATCAATGCTCAAACATTCGGTCTGAAGAGTCCGCTGATCGATAACCTGATTCATGTATCGATGGGACTGAACAACATGATC